CAGTCAGAAACAACTCCCTTCTGCCGAACAACAGAAAAAAGAGGTTTGCGAAAAGGACAAGCAGTTCATTGGTAAGATTATGATGATGGACTGGAGGGATAGGCCTACGGCTAAAGAGTTGCTTCAGGATGAATGGTTTAAAGATGATGACTGAAGACATACAACCTTCCAGCAGGTTGATAATACAACGTATAATCTGCCAATATTGTAGTCCATCAACTGGATGAACACTGTTCTAAGAATACCAACTACCAACTACTTACGCTCATTCTTAGACCTCCCTATAGATGACTTGTTGGTCAATCCATTCGCGCATTACCATCTTTCAGCTACTTTTGTATGAATACCCCGAAATCTTACAGTATCTCCGCTTTTTTCGTCCATTCTACACCAGCAAGGTGAATTGCCCAAACTTGCCTCAAACCACTAATATCATAATACTGCATAGTTATTCATTGTCAAAGGTATAGGCAAAATTTGATTATAAACTCCTACCCCTGACCGCGGAAAGATGTCTCCATACATAATAGTCGGCTACCTATCCCTGCACCTCAACACTATGGTTATGAATTACTGCATGTACTAACGACATGCCCCTACACCACCTGCAGCTATCCTGGTACGAGCAGGATAACCGCCCAGGTACAATGGAAAATATATCCCTCGCTCGTTCACACGTGCAGCTTCTACTGAACCTACTCCCTGACCCTGTGCTTTTACTGCGTGTAGGCCCTTCACAATGCCGGTCGACCGTGGTATTGTATTGACATCCAGGGGAGAAAACTCCGGCTTCATATATCTATCAACTATATTGAGGTCAGTAACTTTAATTCCTCGAAAGACGATAAAAGAGGTTCTTCGTCCGTGACTCAAAGAAGAATGCTTGCCGAATGGGAAGCTCAAATCGATACCGAACAACACACTTCAGGGCAGCCGTCAGCGTGGCGGGATATATATAAGATACTGCGCCTCCCTGGGCCGTCTTGTCACCTAAGGCAATACTGCTGACAAGATCCCCTTGGCAAGAAACACTACAAGCTCAGGACGTATCACCTGGGGGTTGGTCAAGTATGTGGAACAGAGCGGTATTGTAAAAACACACGATGATACATACCCCTGACATAATCCGCGACCAGCTCTACGCAGAGGAGCAGTAACGGCTCAAGAAGCAACAAAAACCTAGCAGCCATCATACAGCGTACCCAATGTTGCAACATCAATGTCCTTCCATCCCAAACTCCGCCAGGTATAAACTAGCTTATATTCCAGAAGCGGAGATCCACCGCAACCTAGGGATGTTGAAACTACGGGAAGCAATATGGAAGTGGTTGAAGCGGCAAATATTAGAATACAATCTAAAGATAATTATAAATTCAGTATAGAAAAGTTAGCTAATTGTTCTATATGATACGAAGATATTAACTATAATTAGAAATTATTATTCCGAAAAGCTACTATCACCAAAATACATTATTCTCTTATCATTATTCACACCGGTTAACGCTAGAACTTGACTTGCGTAAATATATATAACGAACCGAAAGGGAGGACACAGAGTGACTAGAAGGCGAAAAAGCGAACTCCTTAGACTACTCATGGATCTAAGCATCGGGTTAGTTTTGGTCGGCGAGTTCATTATCATCAGCATCTTCAGCACTCACCCCTACAAACGTCATCGTGCCCGCTACCCTCATTAACACAACCTCTATTGCAGTATCCAACGAAGAAAGGGTTATCACTACCACCGCATTGGAATAGTGCATTCCGATAGTCGTCAACGGCGTTTGGGTTGGGAAATGGATCTTTATTGATTATATTGACGAGCTCAGTCTGGCTCCATCCTAGAAATATGGTTAGATCTCTAGCATTTCCAATCTTGATATAACTAGCTAACCGTGGAGGGGGGAAAAGGTCGATTGAACTACCTACCTTTACCTTGGAGGGTAGACCCACAGTACAAATACTCATCTCCGCACGATCTAGCTTCAGCGTGAGACAATAGGCCCAAAAGGGTGAAGAGTGCAACGTAGCTGTAGTGCATTTCTTCGAAAATCAATTAGATTCGTGTAAAAGTCAGCAGGAGAATGCGATGCTTTGTGCTTGAGAATGTGTAATGTATTCAGGCCGATGTTCAAGGGGTTCCATACCATACCTTCTTATATATCCGGTCACTTTCTTAGACCAGAGGTTGAAAAGTCTGATATATTCTTTCCCGCCCTTTTTTCACAAATTCGAAAGCTGACCGATGAATTGATAATTGCTCTTACCCCTCTCTTCTCCCCTCCCGCCCTTTGCTTATCTTCTCTAGGAAGCTGGCCGAGGTGTGTGTCAAATGTCCAGTTATGGAAATAATAATCGATACCAACTCGCAAGGTGGTTGACAACTCATGAAATATTTCATAGTCAACTAGAAACATTTCAAATACTGCTACCAGCATCTTTTTCTGGTTTCCTAAATGAGGATCATGCTGCGGAGAGTTGCTCCGCGGCTCTAGCTGCTATGATATTGGCCCGGTGAGGCAGGGATAACGTGTTAAATGTTCATGCAGTGTATCATGATGCATGTAGTGAGCTGCTGATAGGTTTACAGTTAAGGTCAGCGGGCCGCCTCCGCAGCGGGGTATGACGATCAGCCAGGGTACTTATCGTGGCAGGGGGCGATCCAATGAATGGTTATAAAGTACGGGCAGAGGGTATCCTGCTGTCCGGGTCTGAGTTGAATCGAAGCAGCTCGCCTCAACTAGTTTGACACCATGAGTAGTACCAGCCAATTCACTGATGCCCAACTGCTGGGCCAGAGTGTTGTTTTGCTACCAAGGGGTATGTATTCACTTCACCGGAACCTGAATGATAGTCTTCTAATGCGGTCTAAAAGGAAGTGACGCATTCGACCTTGACGTAGTCCTCGATCAAAAGAGGAGAATCGTCACGCTCAGCGAGGACCAGAGCACCGTTACGTTCCCGGATGGCGATACCTATGCCATCCCTAAGAACACGAAATTAACAAATTCGGCCGGCGGGACCACAACTAATTCCATGAGGGTTGAGACCGGGACAGACCTGGCCAGCACGCTTGATACCAGTGCGAGTTTCAGCGCCAACTATGCTGGTGTTTCAGCGTCCACCTCGTCGCAATATAGCTATTCTCACTCTCTAAGCACGGCGAAAGTGTATGGAGTCATGAGTGTTGATCACCGTTCGTTCTTCTTGGAGCTCGATTACGACGGATCTCCTGTCGTGGTAAACGAAAGGCTCCTTGCGGCAGTCGAAGAGCTTCCAGACTGGAAAGTTGACCAGACCACCTTTGATCAGTATATGAATTTCTTCAATGACTGGGGGACGCACGTCATGGAGTCCTGTGTATTTGGAGCACGGTACCAGCTCAAAGTCAACAACGAACTGACAAAGACGGAAACTAAAGAGAAGTTCGAGCTTCACGTCAAGGCCGAATATAATGGAATAGCAGATGTCAGCGGGGACGTGAGCGTCAAGAATTCGAGCGATTATAAGACGTATCGCAAAACACGCGAGAACCAGGTGTATGTTCGCGGCGGAACCGACGCTTCTCGAGTCGAGCTCAGCACCTCGCAGCCTGATGACAATCCCGAAGAGTACAGGAAGACCTTCAATGAATGGGCGCAGACACTGAACAATTCTAATACTGCCTCCCTAGTCAATATCAGAGTTGATAGTATTGGCAACTCCTTGCGCAAAAGCGGAAATCCGGAATACGAGCCAGCTGCAAGAAAGCTGATCGATGCTCTGGGATATATCTCAGCATTGCGAGTCATCCAAGGCCAGATATCGGTTGAATCATTTGGAACCACCGAGCAGCCCGAGTACACTTGCTCTCTTCACAATGTTCCTGGTATGCAGCTGAAATACATTAGCGCGGGTTCGGGCAATCTATCGCCTGTTGACCAAGAGCCAACCTCGTTGAAACTTCGACTTCAGGCCAACCCGACACAGTCCTCGGAGCCAGATGTCATCATACCGCAGTCGGGAACCTCTGCTTGGGTAAATGTCCAGGTCACGACGCCGCAGGAGGCGTCTGTGGTGCATCTCGAAAAGCCTACGAGCAAGGGATGGTACAGCTTGGTTCTCGATCTGCAGCCCGGAGGACCTAAAGTACAGTCAACCGTCGATGACAAGCAGACTACTAGAGACATCCCTGTCGACTCCCTGGCAATTTCCGGCACGTATGGCACGTAAAGGCCACGATTTCCATGCTAAATTGATGTCTTTTTCTTTATGAGGAATTTTCGGTAACTTTGAGATCAATAAATGGGCCTAACCTAGGTAATTAGTTAACCTAGTTAATCAAACTTGCAGTAATTAGTTACAGGCAATTGATCATCACCCAACGTAGTTATGTAGTAGTTGGTTACCTGGTTGAAGATAAAACTTGGTGCATTAAAATAGATGCCCTCTATCGCTTCTATACTTCTGAACTTCTGAATCTAGAAATGCCAGCGGGCGTACCATAGCTTCATGATCCTTCGTCTCGTTCGACGTAGTTGAGCTGGCCCGGGTAGAGCGCCCGCGTAAAGACAGCCAGGTGGTCCCTGGGCCTGCTTCAGCTGCTGTCCCCGTCATCATCTTTAAGGCTGCTACTGCCGCCGTCGCCACCAGAAAATGCCAGCTCCAGAGTAGGGGACCACGGCTCCCTCCTGGCCCAGTCGACCACCACTGGCGGTAGCATAACGGGCAGACGGTGGCCCTGCTCAACTATCTGACTGGCCAGATACTAGAATTATTATACTGTATCGTACCTAATTTGGAAATGTACCATATTGATTGATGATGAAGTTGGGATGAAGCTTCTTGCTGCAGAGTCAGTCGTGATCGACAAATTGATCTTGTTCCACGGAAGACGAGCGTGCCGTTAACAAGAAATCAATGCCAGGCTGGCGTTCTATTCCCAGACAGTGCGCAGAGCCTTATTGTCAGAAAGGAGGAGGATGACATTGAGCTCTATCAAATGTGCGAGGTCTGATAGCCAAGCAAGGTGGAGATAAGATGACTAATACAAGGCTGCTCGCCCCCAGCGGCACAGCGTTGTCCGTTCGGCTTCTCCACCGACCGGCATGGCTAACAAGTAGTTAATCAAACTTGACTCCAGCACGGTTTACCAAGATTGCCTTTCCAAGAACATAAACGTGGTTTAGCCTATGAAAACCACAAAGAGTATGAGCGGGTAGGCTATCATCTTGCCCATAACTCTCTACTAGGATAGCGGTCCGATCCTCCGATCAACGTGATTGACAGGTTGCGCCGCCACGCTGCAGGGGCTAAACATAGTACTTCTACCCCTGACAGACGCGAAGGATCATGACTTTGAGCCGTGCCTATGCCATGCCACTGCTGGATATACCCAATATGGAAGTCATCTCGTGGAGATGGAGAACGGCCCCACAGATGAAGTGACCGATGCTCAAGGCGGAGCTGTGAGGCTGTTCACTGTCTTCCAATGACGGCAGGGAATGAAGCTGCTATAATGAGCAGTCAAGTTTATTGCTCAGGTACTGGATGATACAAATACGCCCCCATTTCGCGTGCTGGGGCATCCTCATTCTGATTTACGGGAGCCATCCACTCCAATTATATTGTAATACCACAATGAAGTTCTTCAGCTCGAGTTTTTCTTGCGCTCTGGCGGTGATCTATGCCGCCGCAGTTACCGCAAGCCCATATAGCAATATTTCCAGTGTCTCGGATTTCATAAATCTGCTGGACGTCAGCAACGCAACCGGGGCAAAGATTGCTGATACCCTACAAGATTTGGATACCAAGAAAATCCGATCCTTAAGCACTCAAGGAAAGAATTCTCTCGGATGTCAAGTGAGTCGTTTGGTATTCGGCCGCGATTTTCTGGACTCAAGATCGAGCAACTATGATAAGAGAGTAGAAGTCAACTGGTTCGTCATTCTGTGTTTAGCTAGGCTTTTGGATATGATTAACGCTGACAATGGTACTAGGTCTGCTGCATGCTGGCTGAGGCCACGATGTATCATCCAACCCCGGTCTACAGAAGATGTAGCAAAGGCCATGAAGATTGTCACATTTTTGGCCACAAAGTTTTCTGTCCGCAGCGGCGGGAATAATCCAAATCCCCGCTATTCAAGCATCGACAACGAGGGTATTCTTATTGAGATGATTAACCTGAATGAGATTACACTGAGTGACGATGGTTCGGTGGCACACCTCGGCCCAGGAAACCTGTTTAGAAGCGTATACAGCAGACTGGCTGAAGCCGGCAGGACGGTTGTAGGTCCACGGGTTGGAGACGTCGCTGTCGGTGGATACTTCCTTGGAGGCGGCATCTCGTTCTTTTCTAGCATGTATGGAATTGGTGCAGACAATATTCTGAATTACGAGGTTCGTAAGATCGGAGATATCGACATTGTTTGGCCACTAACTAATGAGCATACCTAGGTTGTCCTTCCCGATGCAACCATTACCAATGCGAATGCCACACATAACAGAGAACTTTGGTGGGCGCTTAAGGGGAGTGGTACGAACTATGGTGAGTTTACCAGCTACTTGTGGCGTTCGAGGCGGCGGATAGTTAACGTGAAACTCAGGAATTGTCACCCGATACGACGTTAAAACTGTTCCCAACAGCAAAGTCTGGTTTGAAGCACCGCTCTATTCTCCTGAACAATCAAAACTGCTCCCTGAAGCTATAAGAAAATACGCTGCTGCTGCAGAAAATGACCCACACGCAGCAATCATAATGTATATTACGCCGCAATCCGGTCTCGTTGGGATGGTATATGGCAAACCAACCCCCCGTCCCGATGTATACAAAAGCTTCTACGACATTCCAGCAACACAGAATTATATAAACTCGACCACTGGAACATGGGCCGACATGTACAATGCATTTACCGGGGTGCCCCCCGCAGCAAAGAGGTACGCGAGGCTGATGTATTTGATATGTCGGTGATATGATCTGTTAATCTGCTGACACTGTCTGGTAGGAAAATGATTGCCACGATTGCCTGCAAGTGGGATGCCAAAGTCCTTGAGGAAAGCTTTGCGACATATTTAGACATCTCTGCGAGGGTTGCAGATGAGTTTGGTGCGGTGCTATCATACAGCTCACAGCCTATTACGACTGCTGCTGTGAAGTACGGGTCAGAGAACGGAGGAAACCCCATGGGCCTCGAGGAAATATCCCAGAACTGTAAGACATCCTCGCATATATGTATATCTTAAACCCCAAACATGACTTCTCTTTTCCTAACTGGGCCATCTTGTCAGGGTTTGTTTCCACTATCGAATATGCAGATAGTGCACACGACGAGGCAGCACTCAAAGCCATTCAAGCACTGGGTGAGAGCGTGAAGAGAGCGGCAGTGAGTAGGGGAGCCCACCTGTCTTTTCTCTTCATGAACGATGCCAACTATGAGCAAGACGTGCTCAGCAGCTATGGGCCGAACAACCTGGCACGCCTGCGAGCAATGAGCCGAAAGTATGATCCGTTGCAAGTTTTCCAGAGTCTGCAGAACGATGGTTTCTTGCTTTCCAAGACAAAAAAGCGTAGTTAGATTACTGTAAATAGTTTATTATGAGTTATGCCTTTTCAATGATATCCTGGATTCTGCAGCAACTCTCAGTCAAGTCAGTTATTCAGGGGCTGTTTCAAGTCCAGCAAGGCTGCAGAAGTCAACCATATATCTATTTGTGAAAAGCACATGTTCATGGCTATCCAAGCCCAGGGATCGATAACTACAAACCTCGTGCTGCCAGGGCTTTGGCTGAACTGGGCTTGCTCGTCGATCCTGAAGTTTATGCATAGTGAAGGCTGGCCCGCATGGTCCCAGCCTCACGCACATGGAGACAAACAGGGGTTTTACCATGTTAAGACCCAATTTGCTGCGTGAAATCGCGGTGATGGGCTTTGTTCAGGTGATGGAGGATTCGCCTGAAGAATGCGGCCCTACCCTGCAGTGGTGCTACATAGCAACTTGAAAAGCACAGCGTCGTCCAGCTAGCTCAGCTTCGTCCTTCATCCTCCCTCGACGGATCCAAGCTGCTCACTCGCACTGTCACACACCATGAGTATCGACCCGTCGCAAGCTGCCCCCCTCAACCCGGGAGACCTCGGTCGGGGGCCCGTTATCATGGGTGTGACTTGGGCACTGACAGGCGTTAGCTTGATTATCGTTAGTACTCGTGTCTATTTCCGTTGGAAACGGCCACGTACGTTGGCCTGGGACGATGCATTTATCGTCGCGGCAATGGTGAGATGAATCTGCCTCTTCTTCTTCCTCGTCTCATTACTGGAAAGTGAAACCACGGCTAATGGTGAAACAAGGCAATTCAAGTCGTCTTCCAGGGCTTCGTGAGCGAGGCCTACAGATGGGGACTCGGCAAGCGAGATGAGAACCTGACGATTCCCGAATTGATCATGGTGATCAAATGGCTCTGGATCTCTACGACGCCCGCAATTGTTGTCTCGATCCTGGCGAGGATATCGGCCGCCTTAATGCTGATCCGCATTTTCGGGGGACGAGCCTGGTTTAAATGGTTCTTGATCTATTTTACCGCCTTGCAAACTGTTGCCGGTCTGGTCAACCTCATCGCCTGTTGGACTCAAGCCTCACCTATTCAGGCGGTATGGGACCCAAGGGTCACCGCAACACGCAAGATGTCGCCCCAGTTCCAAAATATTACTGCAAACGTATCACAGGGTAGGTTATTTTTCTTCTCTTTTCTTCTTTTTCTCTCCTAAATTATTCCATGCTCATAAGTAACTAACTTAAACGAATATTAGCCCTGTTTGCCCTCTCTGACTTGTCCTACGTCTTGCTTCCCACCATCTTTATCTGGAAGCTCAACATGCCGCTACGCCAAAAAGTCGGTCTGTGCATCACCATGAGCTTGTCGTTAATTAGTATGGTTGGGGCTATCCTGAAAGCTGTCACGTCGAACACAGTGGTGACGCAGTACGATAGCTCGATCGTGATTCTCTGGTCCGGTATTGAACAGGCTCTCGTCATCTTCATCAACTGCGTGCCTGCTTTGCACAAGGTGTTCCTGTCAGAGCTACTCTGGGTCCGCAAATTGAGCTCGTCGCTCGTCAAATTTGTCTCCCTGGACCGAAACGGCCGTGGGTCGAGCTCAGCTTACAGTCGGTCTAACCAGGGGGTGGACAGCCGCTCAGAGGCGGGGTCATGGACACGACGCAAGGCCTCTGCCCAGGAGGAAGGGCGGGATTCGTCTTCCACAAGCGATGTCACGTATACCGTACGTATGCATGAACTTGACACGCACAAGACTCGCGGGGATTATGCGGTATAATATAGATCAGTGTTAATTATGACTCCTTGATGTTTTCCAAACCCTTTTGTTTATAGCTACTTATGAATGTACTGTATATAGTATGAATAATGTTTGCCCTACGAGGTATCTATTGCTCTGTAGAAGCCTTAATCACTTAGCAATGATATCAAACGAGACTCTAAATAATGCCAGAAGCTATTTTGATTTTATACTACTTTAACTATACAAGAGTTACTCACAGATGTCGACCCTTACTTTGCCGGCGATAGGCTATCCGTCAGGTAGACGCCCATGAACCACCATGAGATGCAACCCTCCAGCCTGCAACCCTCCTGCCACCCTGCAGCTATCCACGTCAGACCCCTGTTCTTTGTCGTTCCTTCGCTGATCCATGGCGCTTCGATGATAATCGAAGGATCTACGCTAACCTAAAGCGGCCTCAGCCTTGCATTAGCCTCGTCGCGCCAAGAACAAAAACGTGGGTCCTTGGGTCGGAGCTCGTTCCGTAAGTGGGTCCGCCAAGATGCGATGATCCGCACTGTCCCGCGAACTCTAACCATAATACTAACCTGACGGCTTGCTTCTGTCCACCGCTTCCGCTGCTTCCGCGGCTTCGCTGCCCATAGCGTTTCTCTCTTATCTTTGTAGAGCTTTGCTTCGGCGTGGGCTCTCCAAAGCAGTTGATACAGCAGAAGTCGAGAGACTCAAGAGACCAATAAACCAAGATGCTCTCGTATAGCACGCCCACGCTGGTGGCGGCCGTGATGGTCGCGTTGCTGGTGCCTTTCCTGACTCGCGCAGTTCTGGTTCGCCGCAGGTTCTACAAGATGAGAGCTAACGGGATCGTAGGTGCTACTGCTTGCTATGCGCGAGGCTCTGCACCATTTGTTTAATCCTAGGTTAGACGAGACAACGGGCTGACATCTTCTTCCACAGCCCATCATCGAGCCATACTCGCCCTTTCTGGGCCATCTCCCGCTGATGAGGAGCTTGAGAAAAGGGCTGCCTCGCGACGCTCATGGCTCCTATACCTCGATGAAAATCATACAAAACTGGCAAACATACTTTCCCACCGCGAAGAAATGTCCTCCCTTGATCTATCTAGATGTCTGGCCCTTTATATCCCAGCCTATCATCATGGTTATTGCGCCCGAGCTCTGCGCGCAGCTCACCCAGGAGACGCCCCAGCCACGGCATCCCATGTTTGGATGGGCAATGACCCCAGTCACAGACGGTATTGACATTATATCTATGAACATGGCTGACCATAAGGTCTGGCGCTCCAGACTGAACCCAGGGTTTTCGTCTAGGAACGTCATTCAGAATATGCCTGCTATCCTTGAAGAAGTCTCCCTTTTTGCCCAGAGACTGAAGGACACAATTGATGGGGATAGCGGAGAATGGGGGCGCATGTTTACTCTCTATGACCGAGCAGTTGCGGTGACCTTTGATATCATCTCAATATTTACCCTGTAGCGCCCCCTCCTCGCACCCGTCTTCAAGGAGTCTGCTAGTTTGTTTGCTGACCGGACATATATTCACAGTGATCTTCACCTTAACGAACAGACAAGCGGGCCAGGGCCGCTACTTAAGGCTCTGAGGAATCTAATCACCCGAGTGAAGCTAAAGAATATCAAGAACCGGCTAGAACGATATACTCCAGGATTTAGGCGCGACGTATCGCAAAACGCGGCTACTATGAGAGATATCCTACTACCCCAGATACAGTCGCGGTTTAATGAATCCCCTAGTTCAAAGAATCAGAAAACTGTCATCGACCTAGCTATCAAAGATCTGAAAGAAAGCGGATATCAACCTACATCTAGATTAATGAACATCATCGTCGCCAATCTAAAGGCTTTCTTATTCGCCGGTCATGACACCACTGCTCAAACCCTGTTAGTTTTTCCCTTAGGAAGCCTAGATAGAAGCTGCTTTACTTTGCTAACTCGCTTTATTTTGCTAACTTGCTATCTTAGTTGCTGGGTTTTCTACGAAATCAACAAATATCCCGACATCCTTGAAAAACTCCGCGCCGAACATAATCAGGTGCTAGGGTTCGATCCAAAACTAGTAACCGAGATATTGCAACAAGCCCCCCACAAGATAAATCAGTTAGAATACACGGCTGCAGTTATCAAGGAAACACTACGCATCCACTCTCTAGCCAACACCTTTCGCCAGGCTAACCCTAGCTTCACCTTCTCACTTGATGGCATCCAGTATCCAACATATAACTTTATGATCCAGACAACTCCAACAATGACCCATATTCATCCTGATCTATGGCCTCGACCAATGGAATTTATACCTGATCGCTTCCTGGTCCCGGATGGTCACCCCCTGTACCCCATTAAGAATGCCTGGCGTCCGTTTGAGTTAGGGTCGACGAAATGTATCGGCCAAGAACTAGCCTTGCTAGAGCTGAAGCTCGCCTTGGTGTTTACAGTGCGCGAGTTGGATTTCGATTTCAATTATGATCTGTGGGAGGGAATGAAGACAGAGAAGACAACGGGTGCAGTGCCGGACACAGTCAATGGTGAACGCACATATAGATGCGGTGATGGCATCGGTTCAGTCAAGGATGACTTGCCTATGAGAGTAAGGCTAAGATAGCAGGATTTTTTTTTTTTCCTAGTAAGAGAAGAATTAATAAATGTCTCTAAATAACCAGCTACACGTTGGGCTTTATATATAAGGGGAATAGAAAACCATTCACTTCTTTCCGTTTACCTCCGGAACCTTCATTCGACTCGCAATATCACGCACCACATATATCTGGCCGTATAAATCAGTCACATCACAAAACATACGCCATACCCCCATCTTCCGCTCATGAAGCTTCCGCGCCATATGGCTAGTTGCTCGCTGCCCTTCCTCCTGGAGCCTTTTGAAAGCATCATCCAGACAACTGCGCTCGTACTCCGCCAGCCTGAACAGGGCCTTTTTCTTTTCCTCCATCGTGGCCGGGCCCGTCGATCCCGCTAACATCTGCAATTCCGGAAAGTTGACCGAGTTGACGTTTCCCTCTGCCTTGTCACGGGCTACGGACCCGTAATCGTTGTACATGCGACACATGGTAGACAGGTGCTTGCAGACGGATGCGGCCATGTACTTCTCTTCCGCAGTTCCAAAGCAATCTTTCCCCTGCCCGAGCGAAGCGCCCAACAGGCAGCTCACAAACTGAAAAGAATACGGGCATGAAGTATGTTCTGCTGAGGTGGTGCGTACCCAGTGGGAAAAACTGTCTGTGGCCGTGCTATAAACCCCTCCGCTAGAGGGGTGCTCGAGCTGGAATCTGGCGTTGTCTTCTATCTGCGTTACGTGGGCCAAGAGGAATTCCTTCAGGCGCCGACGCAGCCCGTTGCGGTCCCAGGCGCTGGCCGACTTGACTGACGGGTGGTTAAGGACGAATGTCGTGAACTTGGTCAGCGGCAAAACAACCTCACGATTGTTCTGTTGTTTACCATTGTTACCATTACTGTGCTCTTCGTCTTCTTCCGGGTATGGCCGTTTAACGCCCCGCAACAATTCACTGTCGGAACTCTTGCCGTCAAATAGGGTATCAATCACTCGACGGAGCTCGGGAGTACGGCCGGTATAATGAGGGCCTGCCACCGCTTCGAGAAATTCGTCGGCCTGGTAGTTCAAGAATGAAATGATCATCATATCATACAGGAATGAAGTAGAGGCGAATGCACGATTACGATTGTTACAAGCTGTCCAGGTAAAAGGGATTATTTCGAAATACTTGTCCTTTTCCATGTCCTTGCGGGGAAATACCTCTAACCTGCGTGCTTGGAGTAAAGGCTGGAAAAGCCTTGCCTCAGTCATCGAGGCGCGGATCTGCCATTCTGGAAGGGAGGTAAAAAGGGGTGTCTGCTGGAACAGCTTTACAAGTTTGGTTGTATTTGCCGTTGAAACGCACCAGAGACTGCCCCCAACAGATGAGGTACTGGAGGGCAACGAAGTAGCTGCTTTGATCGCTGCCAGTTCATACGCTTCAGCCAGTAGGGGAGAGGCGTAAGTGACCTTCTCGATCCAGATGAAATTTCCGACCTGGCTTCCACGGTTGGCATGCAAGAAGCTCACGCCGCGCCCGGAACTTCTTAGTCTCCTGGCTTACCTTATTGGACACAATACCCTGTCCTCGCCTCGGTTAGTATGAGGACTCCATAGGCTGTCTGTTCGGTTGAGCCATTCCACGATCCGTCCTCATGCTGATTGAGCATTGCCCTCAAACAGGCCTGGAAGAGTGTGATGGCAGCCCTTGATGCTAGGTCTCGTCCAAGTAACTGCTCAGGAGAACTGTCTTCTCGTTCCGCTAGAGCTAATAGTCTAACTAAAGACTTGACGAGCAAAACAGACGGATATAGAGGGCTCAGGCTCTGTAAAAGCGGGAAGGAAGACATAATCTTAGTTATTTGGGCCTTTGGGTACTAGGTTTTCAAACGTACCCATTTATCCGCGATTGCCCCGTCAGTACTCCACCAGGAGTCGCATAAGAAGTTCACCACCTTTAGAATCTGTGGGGTATAGAGGGAAATATCAGGCTGATGGAGAATGGTAAGCAGGGCATTGCAGTTGGCGCTGAAACTGGGGTTTCTTTCGCATTGGTAGGTCCGGAAGTGAGTGGCTGCCTCAAATGCCTTGATCATTGGTTCAGGCCGTACTGCACCGCCGAGTAGATTCAGGGCAATCATGCCTCTAGCTGTGTCATCCATATCAGACTGAAAATCGGGAGCTGTATGTTGGAATTAATTAGCCCCTACAAATGTAATTGATACCTGTGGAAAGATGGAGTGCGGGCTGCTGATAGCTACCGTAACCAATTGTCCCATCTCCGTTACTGAATGCACGGGTAAGTATCTCGTAAATCTGCTCCAGCTCTGGGCATCTCAGATCTGAAGCGGAAAACCCGGCTTCGAGCAAGGTTGACAATATCTATCGTGGAAAGTTAGAGGAGAGATCTGATTACCTTCGAGCTGGGAGAATACTCACCCAGGTATATTCAAAGTAGGTCGAGGGAAAGGCGCTAGGGACCGCGCCACTCCCCTTCCCTGCCGCGGAATGGATGACATGGCGAAGATAGCTCTCGGCTTCGTCGTCCCAATTGGTCGAGTTCATCAGGTATGCGGCGGTGGAGGAAGGCGAGCCCATCATGGAGCCAACCACTTTATGATGGGCGACCTTGTCAAAATCGATTTCGCCAACGAATGCTTCGAGCGAGTGCAGCGGTGTCATCTTTACTGTGCCATACAAGGCCTCGGGTTTGAACCGGGCTAACTTAGCGGCATTAATCTTCACCAGCTCATCTCTGCCCTCGAAGCAAAAGCTGAGTTTCGCATCTGCCTCCTCCAACAACGTCAGGAGCTTTGGGACAATGATTTCGAACCCGACGTGCATCGTTTCTGATACACGCCATTCCTCGAGCTGCGAGCGCAGCAATATGGCTGCTCGGTCAATTCGCCTTTCGAGGTCGTCTGGATGTACTTCCTCCCGGAGCTGCAGGGGTTCTACAGCATGTCTTTTGAGGGAAAGCAGTGCCGCTGCTGTATTCACAATGCTGTCAACCTGAGAATTTGTTTCTCTCCGCCAGCCGCCATCGTCGGACTGGGTGAGAAGGAGGGAGCGGAAGCATTCAGGGAACAGCCAATGTTTCTGCCCTCCGACGGTCTTTGTGACCAGTGACACCCAAGCTGTGTCATAGGTAGCACAGCTCATCGACCCGTTGCCATACTTCGGATCGTGGCCTTTGAAGCTTCGTTTTATCAGGAGTCTTGCATTGATTCCTAGGTTAGCGACCCCCGCGGGGTCTGCGTGCTGTACGCCCATATTTTCAATTAATAAACAATGGATACGTACGGGCTTGTCGAACCATGCAAACGAGGGTACCGAACTCCTCTATGTCATCCTATATATAAATACTTCCGATGAACCGGCAATTGAACCCTGTCAGGAGCATGCCTGTCTCGACTTGTTATCTATACCTCACGTTAGATTCTCCGCTCAGCTGAAAGGTCAGTGGATATGGTTCGGTCTTCGGCCCGCAGTAAGAGAGGGGACCACTTGGGTAGCTACAAATAAGATACCCTGCCCAGGGCTCACTTGGATCTCTCTTTCTCTCTCCAGGTCCATGGCACTGCAAAACTCAATGATATCCGGCCATGTTTGCTCAACGGCAAGGCGTTTCAGCTCTGGACGATGCTATCCTAGCGTTTCTCGCAGGAGTAGTTGTCATTGGACTCTCCAGCGTGGTCCTCTCTGGGTATCATTTCCTTTCTGCCCCAAACACCAGACGGATTCCCAGAGCTGGCAAGGCTCCGGGGTGGTTTGGCCTGGCCAACGCCAAACGAGACTTCATTGCAAATGGGGCCAAAATCATTGATCAGGGATACCGCAAGGTGAGAATGACGGACTGGGGGAGAGGCCTCGGTTGAGAACGCTCCTCATGCTCATCATGGATACAGTACAAGGATTCTGCATTTCTCGTACAGACGGCAGACATGGAGCGGATCGTGCTCAGCCCGAAATACCTGCATGAGATCCGCAATGCGCCGGAGTCGGTCCTCAGCCTGAGAGAAGGAATGAGCCAGGTGGGTGGTCGACTGACAAACGAGTTAGCCTTACATCCTTCGATCTGCAGCTAACGGGTTTCATCTATACAGAGGCACCTGGGCAAATTCACGACACTGGATGTGATCCTGACGAGCCACCTGCAAAGCAGTGTGTGTAAGACGCAGTTGACCCAGAATCTTCGTAAGTAATTATGGAGTGACTGGTTAACTGGATAATTCGTAACTAGTTTATTAACTGGTTAACTGTCAGACGCCCTCATCACGCCGATGAATGAGGAGGCCCAGTTCTGGCTGGCGCAGCGGATACCGATCGACCGGCCTTCATCCGCAGTTCTGGGCCACGACACCCTCCTCGGCGTCGTTGCAGGAATCTCTTCGCGGGTCCTGGTTGGTCTGCCCATGGGCAGGGACCAGGACTGGCTCCGAACCGTTGTGGGCTACACGATTGATGTCATGCAAGCATCGGCAGGCCTGCGTCCGTATCCAACTCTGCTGCGCCCGCTCGTTGCGCCGGTAAGCGTTCCATGATGAAAGCAAGGAGGATGCTGCCTGCTAACCGTGTCTAGTGGCTCAGATGCATCAAAAGACTCCAGGGACACTTGGACACGGCCCATCGCTGCTTCGGCGACGTCTTCGCCCAGAGACTGGCTGATCCATCCAGGACAGAGGGAGAGCAGAATGTGATCCAGTGGATGGCCGAGGCTGCCACCGGCGACGACAGAAACCCCGAAGTGCTCGTCAAGAAGCTGTTGTTCATCACGCTCGCTGCCGTGCATACGAGCACCATGGCTGCAACCCATGCGCTGTTCGACCTCTGCGTCATGCCAGAGTACATACCCCTGTTGCGCGAGGAGCTGGACGAGGTCATTGCCAAACACGGCTGGACCCTGGCTGCGATCAATAACATGCCGGTGCTTGACAGCTTTCTCAAGGAGTCCCAGCGCATCAACCATCCTGGGCTGCGTAAGGACACCCGCTGATCTTTGTATGACCGACATTTGTAACTGACGGGAAAAAGTCTCATTCAACCGCAAGGTCCTGCAGCCTCTGCGCCTCTCAGACGGCACAGTGATTCCTGCAGGCAGTTTCATCTCGATGGCAACCAGCTCCATCGCCCGAGACCCGGAGCACTACCCAGAACCGGAGCGCTTCGACGGCCTGCGGTTCTACAACATGCGTAAGGCGTCCAATGGCGATTCCAGCAAGCGTCATCAGTTCGTGAGTACGGGGCCGGAGAACCTGGCCTTTGGCTTTGGCAAGTTTGCGTGTCCGGGGCGTTTCTTCGCCGCAGCTCAGATCAAGGTGATAATGGCCACCATCATCTTGAGGTACAACGTCTCCTTCCCAGACGGCCAGAAGACACGGCCGCAGAACACTTTTGTAGGAGAATCCATCGGCCCAGACCGCAGACAAGTAATTGTGTTTCGGCGTCGAAGTGACATTTAACACATCTTGTCCGTTGTCTGAGAATAGTCAGTCCTAGATGCAATATTACTTCTTAGAGTCTCTGCTGGTGGTGCCTGATGGTGAAGGAGTGTCTCTAAGCCCCATACCTAATAATACCCAAGTATGTTAAACGGCCTCTTGGTCGAGCTGAGAGCCCAGGGAAAACATCCATCCAGCTGCCATCCCTGCATCCTCGTAACTTATCCACTCTTCGGTCCGAGATGCAGATTCAACTGTGGATTCACGGATGCATGAAAAAGGCCAGGGATGCTCCAGCGTCGGTGAGGGGCTCTCGACATGGGGGGTTCAGTCGATATACTCATGTTAGTTATATGGGCTCCCCTCCAGCGCCAGTAATACCATGAGCTTCAGTTGCTTTGTCGGTTTTTGACAGACTCAGAGAGATGGAGGCCACCAACGTTAGCAGCGGGCTGCTTGGCCCGGTCTATACTGCTCTGCCAGAGATCGAATGGAACGGCCGTCAGGGCTTCGCTCTCTTCATCGTCGCGATTTTATCTCTGCATCTCTTCAATGTCTTCAAGGAAAGCCTCTTTGGCGTCAAGGCGCCCATGGTCGGCTATAGATCTTTCTTCGAGCCCAAATGGCTTTTACGTCTGCGATTTGTGCGAGGCAGCATGTCTATCATCCGCGGCGGTTATAGCAAGGTAAGCTGCCCATCCTAATGGACAGTAAATAGTTGCTTACACCTCGCGTCACTAGTACAAAGACTCCATGTTCAAGATAAGCCGCAATGATGCAGACATCCTCGTCATCTCGAACAAGTACGTGGACGAGCTTCGGAACTTGCCAGAGGAAGAGCTCAGCGGCATCGAGGCGCATATCAGGAACCTGCTGGGCAGCATTTCGACTACGCATGTCATGCTTGAGACCAACCTGCATACCCGCGTGCTCCAGACAAAGCTGACCCCAGCTCTGGGTCTGATATTTGACGACATGAAAGATGAGCTCAATTTTGCTCTGGAGACCGAGTTACCAGAATGTAAAGGTTGGTTGTCGTGACGTTTTTCCTCCCTATTGCCCCCCTTTCACTGACATTGACCCGTAGATAAATGGGTTCCCATATCCATCAACCATCTTATGTTACGGCTCCTCGCTCGGGTTTCGGCTCGCATATTCGTCGGTAGGGCCAACTGTCGCAACGAGGAGTGGCTCTCAGCCAGCATCGACTATACAGAGAACATATTCATCACAGTCATGACTCTGCGAATGATGCCGCGCTATCTCCATCCATTCGTTGCCCCCCTTTTGCCCTGGTACTGGCGTATACGCTCCAACCTGGCCACCGCAAAACGCTTTATCGGTCCCATCATACGCGAGCGTAGGGAGGCCGAGGCCCGGCAAGGGAAAGACTACCAGAAGCATGAGGACCTCCTCCAGTGGATGATGGATGGGGCAAACGAAAAGGAAAGCAATCCGGATATGATAGCCCATATCGAACTTCTCCTTACGCTGGCCTCAATCCATACCTCTTCGATGGCCACGTCAAATGTGATGTACGATCTTTGTGCTCACCCAGAGTACTTTGAACCCCTTCGAGAGGAAATGCTCTCTGCACGGCGCGAAGACGGCGGATGGCGAAAGACTACCCTGACGAAGCTAAGAAAACTTGATAGCTTCCTCAAGGAGTCTCAACGAATGAATCCCCCAAGCCAATGTAAGTCCAAGGCAGTGTATAATTCTCGATATTTACCCTTTCTCAATATCGCTTTTTTTTTTCTATCTAGTGGCATTCAACCGCGTTGTCCGGTCGACCCTTAAACTATCAGATGGCACAGTCCTGCCTGCTGGTACACATTTCAACATAGCCTCTGACGCTATCATGAACGATCCCGCCAAACTCCCCGGTGGCGGCGACCCGGAAGTGTTCGATGGGTTCCGCTACGAGCGGCTCCGTAGCGATCCCGCCCATCCCGAAAATGCTAATCGGTTCCAGCTGGCCATGACAGACAGCAATAACCTACATTTCGGACACGGGAAGTATGCATGCCCGGGGCGGTTTTTCGCCAGCAATGAAATCAAGATGATCATCACTGAGCTGCTGTTGCGTTACGACTTTAAGTATCCGGAGGGACAGGAGAGGCCGCGCAGTTTGGGTGCGGATGAGAATTTGTATCCTGATCCGGATGCTAGGGTGTTGATACGGAGACGAGAAGAAATGTAGGTGGAAACTAACTATTGAAATGTTCTAAAAAAACATCCAACAATTGATAATCTGCCTTCTTGGCCATGCAGCTCGCACCCCTTTTAAACGCCCGTCCCGACATGTATCAAATATAGAATCATACAGTATATAGATAACCATTTGGCATGGTGATGTTTCTCTCCAGGAAATGCTGCTCCGGCGTCACAGGGACAGAATCAGACTCACCAAAAGCAAGAGGCCTCTCAACCGGCCCAACCTTCAACGTCCAAGATGGCGCCCTTTCCGGCGTGAAGTTGGTACTGCGTTTTTCAGTCTTATCAAGTGTGTTGTTTCTACGCATTCCAAGCTCGAGTCGCCAGTTGAACGCATCGGCTCGGGCTTCAGCCATGCTGGCTAAGAAGGCATACCGGACTGGGTCTTCGTCTTCAGGGTCCGGGATTCTTGATAGTAGCCATCGAGGCTCGCAGTGGTGGAAGAAGTATGTGCATTCGTAGCCCATCATGATGAAGTCACTGGCCTGGGCGCATTCGATGAGCCGGTATAGTGAGCGGAGTGGCGTATCGCGGACTCGAAAGATGGGGATACAGTGAAGCTTCCGGATCCCAGGTTGCCGCTCATCAACAATACCAGGCCGTTGTTCGATCTCTTCTACCGATAGAAGCGGACTGGTTGGTGAATAGCTACCGCCACGGAAAGGGCCAGAGAAGGAAGAAGAGAGTTGACCATGGATGGGGACACTGGCGAATGCGCCGTAATGAAGGCCGAATCTTCGGGGGCGTATGGCTACGAGTTATCACTTTAATCGGGTTGCGCATGTTGTCCGTGTCTTGACTGAGAAATGGTTAGTTAAATAATTCATCGACGCCCGCAGGTGGTTCATGGATCATTCCAGTAGACCATGATGAGTACAGATCTACCCTCGGGTCTAGTCCAAGCGTATATCTAAGAAGCGCATTTAGAAAGCGACTAATTGCTCGAATGTCTCTAACTAGTTAGTTATTAACGCTGAGGAAAGGATCCAAACGTAAGACATGTTGTGGCTGACAACTTGTTGCGACGAGCCAGCTTTCCACGTCCAACATACGGAGAGACCGGATGAAACAGGGTGAATAGCAACCTCAAACAAAATGAATTGGGATGTTCTATGCTTCAACGCGGCCACTTTGATCGCCGGTGTCTTCGTGCTCGACTATGGCGCAGACAAGTTCATCGACCATACGGTCATTGTTGGGCAGCGCCTAGGGATCTCACAAACCGTCATCGCCCTCTTGACAGCCGGTGCCGAATGGGAAGAGGTATATAATTTTATACTTGAATATCCATCTATCCATCTGTTCACCCCGGCTAACCCTTTGAATAGCTCGCCGTGGTGGTTGCAGCGGTCCTGCAGCACCGCAGCCCCCTGGCCCTGGGAAACGTCACGGGCTCTGCCATCTCCAATATCCTCGGTGCCTTTTCTCTGGGACTCCTTTTTTACCCCCAGGGGTTGGAGTTTGACCGCAGCGCAAAGGTATACTCGACCTTGCTGCTTGCGGTTACCACGCTCTTCACGGTGCTGGCGTTCTTCAACCTACTCAACCGGATTGTTGGCGGCATCTTGATTGCTATTTTCGGTCTCTACATCGTCTCTATCATCTACGCTATTTACAGGGGGGTAGCCTCGCCCCCAGAGCTGTCTGATAGTGATAGCGACGGGGAGTCGAATGATGGCGATGGCCATGGCCCTCTGTCTGAGACCGCGCCTCTCATACAGAATAATGAACATGAACATGAACACGAACATGCGCCGTCATCAGATGATAAAGGGAGCAGAAGAAACAGAGGGCTTCCATACCACATATTCCATCTCACCATGGGGTTCCTCTCGCTGTCTCTGTCCGGTTACATCCTCTCTCACAGCGCCGTCACCATCGCTGACTCCCTGCATCTCTCGGGAACGGTCTTTGGCCTGACCGTCGTCTCGTTTGCCACCACTCTGCCTGAGAAGCTGGTTGCTGTCCTCAGTGGTTCCCGCGGCCAGGCTGGCATCATGGCTGCGACGACGGCAGGGAGCAATATCTTTCTGCTGACGCTCTGCCTTGGTGCCGTTGCAGCAGCGGGGTACCAGGCACAAGGGGTCGACAACTTTGTGCTCTTTGAGCTGCTCGCAGTGTGGGTGTCCTCTTTAGCATTCTGCACCGTCATCTTCTTGGGCCTGGGTAGGAATGCCGGGATTTTGCTTTTGGCCGCGTATATCGTGTTTCTGTCCCTGGAGTTTACCATCTACCGGCGGTGATCATCACCGACAGCTTAACTTTTATAACTGCCAGAAGCACTCAAGGGAAACAATTTCGTTCGCCTTGATAGATAGCAGGTAGTCAATTGTATGGAAGAACCAAGGAAAATGCATGAAATGCCTTATTCGACATATTCGAAGTTGTGCCGGAAGATCCAGCAGTGAACCATTTTAAGACTATGCCCTGGACGAATATATACTCGGGGACCCGCAAACGCTCGTGGACCTCATCATTCAAACTACGACATCATCGTCTCCTCTAAATGGATTACCTCGAGCCGCAACGTGCCTGCAAGCGAGAAACGGCTGACGCCCGGCCGGTCAGGAAAGGCCTTGATTCTAGATTTCCCCGTTAATACAGATGATAACAGTACCGTCTTTATTATTACTATTATTATCATTTTATATAACAAGGAATCAAAGGCAGCAATAGGAGCTACTTAAGCCAGAGAGAGAACAGAAGATCCGGACGAGCCAGTGAGCGTCCAGGGGTTGCCCAACCTGCAAGCAAGCTGGAATCTGCATACTAGGCGCTGGAACAACTAGGAGAAGCGGGAGCGCCGGCAGCACAAGGAGGTTATATCAGGCCATATATACATACATTATCAACTGGATCTGGGCCCGAGCTGCTTTTAACCAACTAGCGAGTTGCAAAAGCAAATACAGACATCGGGATTTGAAGTTTATAGCAAGGTTGGTTACTTGAACAGAAACGCCTCACTCCTGATTCGACCAGAGATAGAGCGAGAGCTTCGCTTAAGAGTCGAACCAACTGGTTAATAGGAATGGAAATGGTATATCCGCGGGTGCAACTCCGCGGGAGATGGTTCAGGTGTAACAGAGGGCTATTTCCTCCTGGTGTAGCAGTATGTATGTATACTGGGTAGTTATATAGTTAGGTATATAAAGCCCTATATTTATGTATGGATGTTGAGTGTCCTCTCTGGTTATCTACCAGAGACGAAGAAAATACCAGTTGCTGACTATCTCATTCATTCCACTGATTTAGTTACCGGTCAAGATGTTCATCTCCAGGCCTGTTATTACGAGCATTGGCTCCAGGGTCTCAGTTCAACTCACCACGACGGGCCTCAGAGCCATGGCCACCGGTACTGTCAAACCAGCAAGCCATCTTCAATCAGCATCAGTATCATCTAACGTTTTGTTCTTTTTCTCTTTAGCTGTTCCAAAGTTCCCCTTCTCGCGCCCTCGCGGAGCCGAGCCTCCAGCAGAATACGCCAGACTGCGCGCAACCGACCCGGTATCCAAGGTCGAGCTCTGGGATGGCAGCCAGGCATGGCTCGTGGTGAAGCACAAGGATATATGCAGTGTCCTAACAGACCAGCGGCTTTCCAAGCAGCGCAATCGTCCCGGGTTTCCCGAGCTCGACGCGGGTGGAAAGGAGGCAGCGAAGAGAAAGCCAACGTTTGTCGACATGGATCCGCCGGAGCATATGCAGCAGAGGTGAGAGATGCGGATCCGGATGCGGACGCAGTGCTAAAAGGGATAGAATGGGCGCTGATGATATTAACAGGAGCATGGTCGAGCCCCTATTCACCCGCGAGCATATTGATGGAATGCGTCCGCATATCCAACAGACGGTCAATACCCTGATTGACGAGATGATCATAGGGGGCGGGAAGCCTGCAGTGGACATTGTGGAGAAGCTCGCATTGCCAACTGCGTCATATGTAAGTGCTCACAGAGAGGGACGAAATAGTTAACATTAAGAGGCATCATCCTCTAATGAAACGAGCCCTTGGCTAGATCATCTATGGCATCCTCGGTGTCCCGTTCAAGGACCTGGAATATCTCACTCAACAGGCTGCTATCCGCAGCAACGGCAGCGCAACTGCGGCTGCTGCATCCGCAGCTAACCAGTGAGCTTCTTCATCATGCGTTCTGGGCCCGCAGGCAACTGGTTAAGGAGAAAGGGACTGGCGGAGCTGCTAACCAACGAGTGAATGTGATAGGCAACTCCTTGAATATATCGGTGGCCTCGTCGACCAGAGAATCGCCGAGCCACGGAACGATCTCATCAGCAAACTCGTTGTAGAGCAGGTCAGCACTTCCCTACCCTTTGAATGATAACTTTTAATTAAGTCATTCCGTTCAGCTCAAGCCAGGACATCTGCAGAGAGACGATGTTATTCAGATGGCGTTCCTGATGCTTGTTGCCGGCAATGCCACGATGGTGAACATGATCAACCTGGTAAGCCGGCAGCTGCTCTCGACATCCGCCATGTAACAACAGTCACTCAAACTCGTGTTTTGTATAGGGTATCGTGACACTCTTTGAGAACCCGTCCCAGCTTGCAGACCTCAAGAAGGACCTGTCCCTTGTACCGCAATTCGTTGAAGAGCTCTGCCACTTCCACACAGCATCTGCCATGGCCACGCGCCGTGTTGCAAAGGTCGATATCGAACTCGGCGGCAAGGTAACTGACTATCTCTTAAACCACTGTCTCTCCCTGCGTGCTCCCTGGATAGATCTTTCATTCTGACACACAGTCCAGACTATCAAAGCCGGCGAAGGGATCATCGCCGCTACACAGTCCGGAAACCGTGACGCCGACGTGTTCCCCGACCCAGATACCTTCAACATGCACCGCAAGCGTGGCGCAGAGTCGGCGTTTGGCTTTGGATACGGCGAGCATCGCTGCGTTGCCGAGTGGCTGGCTCGCGCTGAGCTTGAAATCGTCTTCAGTAAGTGCCAGCTAATGATTCATCAGTTGACTAAATGCCCCTGATCTAAATAATCCGTTGTAGCCACATTGTTTCGGCGTCTCCCAGACCTCAGGCTTGCCGTCCCACTGGATGAGGTGAAATATTCAGACCCATCAAAGGATGTTGGAATCACCGAACTCCCTATTACTTGGTAGGCAAATACCCGTAATGGCTGTTGCTGTTACTGTCATAATTGTAGTTATAGAAGAACAAGTAGTTAGTTATATTAAAAGGATGAGCTCCACTCACTTATTTTATAGTCATTGATAGATTCATGTACATGAAAATATGCTATCCATGTTTCGGTGTCCTCAGCTCAGCAACAAATTCAACACCGCTGGCAACGAACTGATATCTCTGCTCCCCGTCCATATCAGCCTGCATATATCTTGCCACCACCATCTTATCCAGCTCTTCTCCGGTAGTGGCTGGATCTACTCCATACAAAGGACCACACCTCACAATTCGAACAGGATCGTATCCCAGCATCAGCTCGTCACTCAGTACATGCCATCGGTTCCATACACCAAGAATGGAAGCCAGGAACGGGACTATAAGGATGAAGAGCGCGAGTTTGTTGTAGACGTATTTGTTCACTCTGGTCTCTATTGTCGTGGAGAGGTCGATTCTGTCGATTGACCTCCCGAACGCGAAGATATTGTTCATATCCCATGCACGTTCGATGCGTTGTGCGACTGTTGGCCCATCTGTGGTATTTTTCCATCCAAGGAGCGCGACGCCAATAGGGTATGTAACAATTTTCTCTCCGTTAGCACCATATGCGCCGCCGGAGAAGTTCTAAGGACTCGATTGGAGCAGATCGCCACCGTAGATACGGGGCAGGTAGCCTGCGGTGCGCGGCAGCTCGTCTTTACCGACGACTTGGAAGCTGGAGCGGATCACTTCGGGGGGATTGGATCCAACCTGCGTTACGTTCACCCACCCATAACCGACGCGGCAGTCGACCGTGTAAATGAAGCGCTCCTCTTGCCCGGTATACCAGTTATAAACGTAGGCACCGAATATGGTGGTGAAGTCGCCATCTGTGTCGGTGGCGCGCTGGTTGGTGAACATGGCGGCTGTCTCGGGGTCGCTTGACTCCAGGTCGACGCAGACATCTCGATCTCGGGAGCCGCGTTTATGGCTACAGAAAAGCTGCCTGCGTATGTTCTTAAAGCTGCTGGGCTTGAGGCCGATTCGATCCGGGTTTGGGATCTTGTCGGACGTGCAGCTCGCTTGGAATCCAGCCATACGGGCATTTGCCCTGCACAGGGGGGTATTGCAGACATGCGCAGCGGGAGCATTAAGCGAATGGAGGGAGGTGAGGAAGGCAGCTTCACCTAGGAGATCGCGAGTCGTCCCCGAGGCATACCAGGTATTCACATCATCCAAGAAGCCGCTGAAGTCGTTGTAGCTCTTATTCCGAGGCTGGAAAGCCGTCTCGAAGGTCGAGTCGAGCGTCTGCGAAATGCCACTCACGAGGATGGGATTCACAGCGGCGCCAGCTAGCAGCATAACAGCACTGAGACGGAGCGCCCACGATCCCCCGATGAAGAGGTAGCGGATGCGCGCTACGGCAGAGACAGACCACAATGCGAGGTTGCGGCTCTCCGCAGCCGTGAGTCGATCCGCCGCTGTCGAGGGCGTGAGGTGGTTCCAGAGCGATTCATCCACGCAGCGAGTGACCAGCGCAATCGTGGCGCCTGTGAGGATCGCCGACAGAAGGGTGACGGCGACCTGCGGTGTGAATCTTGTGCGAGTGGCCGGATCTTCCCCTACATAGAGGAGAGAGTCGATGCGCAGGGCTTGAGGGCTTGTAAAGAGGACTATCAGGAGAATGTAGGCGAAGAGAATCACCAGCGCCAGAGATATCGAGATCGCAATCTTGACGGGACGGCTGTACGCTGTGTAGAAGCGGGTAAAGAAGTCCATGGCGTCCGGCCGGAGCGAGCAGCACAGGATGATAGAAGATCGAGACCAAATTGAGGTATGGCCATGGTCGAAGCAGCTGTAGATATATATATATATATATATATATATATACTGCATACACAGCGTCGAGCGAACTCGATCACAAGTGGCGGAGCAAGATAGATATCCGTCCAATTCGAATCTCAGGTTGCCGAGTTCAGGCGGCGTTCTCGCTAAGGTCAGGCCTATGACTGGCTAAGTCGTCTATAGATAGAAGCTGGCTGGTCGTGATTGTATCCCTCGCAGCTCAGGCTTCCTGCTGTCAGACAGTTGAAAGGGAGCACAGTTGATATTAACATCCCTCTCACTAAATAGTTACTAAAGGGGTTGTATCGTCTTAGTTGCGGATGCCTGACTCTTCAAGCCTAATAATATGATAGTTATCATTCTGTGGATTTCGACTTATTTGTAGGTCAAACAGCCTGATAATTAAGGAGTAGATAGGGGTATCAGGGCTGAAAAAGCAGTCAAAGTCGCGGAATTGGAAAAGGGTTCTCTCAGCAATTAGGTAGCAATGGTCTGTCTATTCGTTAATCAACCACCTTGATAACTACCTTCCCAAGGCCACCGCGGCCGCTGTAAACAACCTGGCACGCCTCCCGGACAACCTGGAGATCCCTTAAGCTGGCCGTCGTGCCCACAACCGTCCTCAGCTTACCGGACTCAACGAGGTCTCTCAACTCCTCCAGATCTTTGCCGCTAGACTCGAGAAACATGTATGAATAGGTAACACCATACCGACGGGCCCGAAACTTACGAATGCTGTCCATAACGTTCAGGGCGAGCTTGATCGGCATTGGGAGGGCTGGTCGATGGGGGAGCTGCATCAAAGAAGAGGCCTGAAGCTGGTCACCGGACGGAGCAGTCGACACTGAGATAATGTGGCCTGTCTTGGGCCGCATCAAGCTCAGATATTCCATTGCGTTAGCCACGGTATCAAAAAGGAAGTCCACCGTGCCGGGCTGGATTGCATCCTTGGGATCTACTTTTGTGTAATCGATGACTAGAAATATGGTCAGTTTGGTTCTAAAAGGATGCTTCCGAGCTACTCACTTTCATCGACGGTGTCGTCTCCCAGAAGCTCTTTTACCTTGGGTATCTTCGAAGTCGACACTGTTGTAATCACCTTGCCGGCTTTGAACGCATGCTTAGCCAGCTGGCAGGCAAACAACCCCGTTCCACCCACTATCACATATCATACTTCTCGTTAATAGAAAGAAAAAAGCCGGGGGGGCTTGGAGAACATACAACCAGCGGGGATCAGCACAGTTTTCCCTGCAAGGTCACCGTCGTAGCGTCGCAGTGCTTGCAGTGCTGTCATTGCCGCCAGTGGGATCGAGGCAGCATCCGTGAATGATAGAGACGGGGGCTTGAGGGCAACGTCTTTCGCTGGACATTTCACGAACTCGCTGCATGAACCTGATCATACAATGCATTAGCAACAATAAAAAGTAACAAAATAGAGGAGCCCGCACCCCGAGAGGCTTCTGGCAGCCGAGTGTATATCTCGTCGCCGGCCTTCAGATGGCTCACGCTGCTGCCGGCTTCTTCTACGGTGCCGGCGCAGTCGTAGCCGATCTTGTAAGGAAACCTGGCGAAATATGATCAGCATTTACTATTATTATTATTATCTCAAGGGGATATAGTCTACGACTCACTCATCCGTCATCGCCATCTTCAACATCCCATTCGCCTTTTTGACGTCGATAGGATTGATGCTGGCGGCGTAGACTCTGATGATCACATCGTTGCTGTCCTCGAGCACCGGCTTTGGCAGCTCTGAGAGCTGGTACCCAGAGGGCGCAGAGTAGGTCGGGGTATTGAGAGAGAGCATCTTCTCTGATAGTTATCCTGAAGCTTGCCAAATGCGATGCCTGCTAGATGACAACAGGAGGCATCAGCTGCATCAAATAAATTGGTTATTATAACTAGTTATGACTTCATGGGAGGCAAATATCCAAGCCTGGCAAAAGAGGCCCTCGGGATAACAGACTATCCGCCTTTTTCTACCATCATCGCCCATGGACTTTTTCGGCGCAACAACTGGGCCGTGTCGACGATGATTGCGTTTACAGACAGCGTGGAAAGCCGTCTTCTTACTGATAGGAAGACCATATCGCCGTAGCTGGGTACGGAGTGCTGGATGACGAAGGATAATAAACAGCCCCGCGACCTGCACCATCTGCTTGCCCGGCCGTCGTACGCATCGATAACTATACGCCGACCAGCTCGCTCGCCTCAGCCACAAGATCGACGCTCCATCATTGCTCCAGACGAGGAGCGGCGGGACGAGAACGCTGACCTCTTCTACTGGGTCATACAGCCGGACAACTTGGTCGACGTGAAGGAGCTAGCTTGTCACCCTCATGACGCCTCTGACCACCGTGGATGGGTAGCTGCTGGTACTACCGTCTCAAGTCAGGGTATTTGGGATCAAGAGGATATCGAGCGCATACATAAAACTGGCCCAGTGGAAAAGCGGGAAAGCCTTGAGACAGGAGACCCCTACCCGAGCAGGATTCCAAACCCCAACTTCATACCAAATCGGATACTGCCTGAAGAAATCTTTCCTGGCTTTGAGGCATTCACTAAGAGGTGGTGGGATGCATGTGTAGAGCAAGAGCTTCAACTTCTCCGGTGCCTCTGTGAAATCCTTGATCTTCCAGACAAAGATTTCCTGGGGAAACAGCAAAATCCGCACTTTAATCGCAGTGTGACTGGTTGGAATCATTACCTATCTATACCCACTCAATCCCTGACAAGTGGACAATCTACCCGTCTCAATGCTCATACAGACTATGGGCAATTGACTTTACTGTTCCAAGATACGACTGGCGGACTCGAGGTTGAGGATCAAGAATCCGGCATTTTCAGGCCTGTGCTCCCTAGACCTGGTACGGTTATTGTTCAGATTGCCGATATGCTTGAGAGACAGTCTAATGGGAGATGGAAAAGCTCCTTGCATCGAGTTACTACCCCTCATCACCTGAAGCACAGTGATGCAGGTGATAGCATCTTGATTGAGCGATTTTCGATTGGTTTCTTTATTCAGCCTGACTTCGATGTGGTTATGAAACCTCTTCCGGGTTGTGAAGCCAAAGGGAGATGGTCATCGCTGGAGTGGGAGGATGGAATTACTGCTGGCGAGTGGCTGACTAGGAGAGTCGCTCTGGAATATCGACCCAAGGATAAGTAATTTTGGTCCGCTGGATAGTATAACGGCTCTCGGTAGAGAAGGGAGAGAGGGGCCGTGTAAAGAAGTCAGGTTATCGGTCAAGGGAGAGAAATGAGGTTGTTCTTAAGGGAAAAGATATTTGAGTAAGGTATATAAAGTATTACCCATATAAAAATTTACTATTTACAATACCTTTATTATTGTTAATTACATGGTATTATGATTTATAGATTAAAAACGAATTTTCAATTTATATTAGTTATTGTTTACTATATTGAATGGAGATATTGATAGATTTAGTATCAAATATTTAGAGAGATTAGACTACTATATACCAATCAAAATATTCAATTATATAACAATAATATATAATTTGTCACTAACTAGTCTTGATAGATAGCTATTAAATGAAAATAGTTATCGAATGATTTATTATATTGTTTGATAATCAAGCTGATGGTATTAATCCCTCTGCCTGGTCCCTAACGTTCAAGGGAGGAAGGGTGTGTCTTTTAGAGCCTGAAAGTTATCTAGATATATAGAGATCGACTAAACGGGGTGATAGCTGTGACAAATCTTGATAATATGGCAAATATATCATTAACCTCTGTATATGTTAACAGTCTAACTACTCCGATCAACAATATTCCTCTATCCAAGCTGTCATTTCTCCAATCGTGGGGCATTCAAGGAAGAGTGAGCTCTTGACCTCTACACCGAGTTCAGCTCGGAATTTCTCTGATAATACCAGGGACATAAGTGAGTCGACGCCCAGCTGCACAAAGCTAGCGTCTGCGGTTAGCGCTTCTACCTCTAGTCCTGTCTCACGGGCCATCAGCCGTAGACACTGCGATATCATGTTATTGTCCACGGGCCCTGCTCTCTCTGACTCCGCCGGTGTCACAATGGGAGGCTCCTTGGGGGTTGAGTCTCCCGAAGATGTTGCCAAAAGCGGTGCAGGCTCTAGAGCCTTGGAGGCCAGAGTGCTGCTTACAATGGGGTTGGAGACAACGATAGGTGGCGTAGGGGTTGGGAGCGCAGGGGCAGTTTGCGCGATATCGTGGCATTTCGTGGTTGCTCCTGCAAGTGGCGGTACAGGTCCAGCAACTGAGGTTGTAGTTGGAGGCGAGAAGAATCGATCCATCAACAATCGGGGAACGCGCCGGAAGCGAATCATGCCTACCACGCCTACAATTTCTTCTCCCTGGAGGATGTAAACATCTCCGCCGTGCATATTCGGATCCTCTGGTAATGGGAACATGCGAACATAACTGCGATACCGGGCACCAGGTTCTAGCTTCTCTAACAGGCGGAAGCTGTCGCATCCCGGTGTCACGAAGAAATAGTCCCGGGTGTTGGATGCTTCGCTGCCATTCATAACCAGGCCCGCTAGGTGCGAAACACTATCAATCCAATGTGGTGGTGTGTGCCAGGTGCCGTAACGCTCTGGGACTAGTGTCACTTCAGCCATAGCTTCAAGTTCGTCCAACACGACCGAATCCATACCACGGTATCGATCGGCGTAATCGACTACATTCTTGAAAAGAGTGTAGGCTAAGGGCTTGGATAGTCGGCTTGCTTTGCCTTCAGTAGCTCGTTGCTCTAATACTTCAATGCGCCCTAGGACAAGGTGGGCTAACCGCGCCCATTCCTTCCTCCAGGCCCCTGGGTCTTCGAAGAGAATCGTCGCTGTTGCAAAAGACTCGGCTGCGCATTCACCAGTCTCCCCATCGGCGTTGAACCAAGAAAGAGACATGGAGCTAGTAGACAGGTCAAGATGCGCTCGTAACACCAATGGCTGGACGCTTCCCTTCGTCTTGCTGGCGACTTGTGCATGCAAGACCTCTACATCAGTGAGATTCATATGGACATCCTTGGTATTGGGTACTAGTCGACGGTAGAGATACTCGCCCACAGTGAAAGCCATATCTGACCAAATAGACTACAAAAACCAAGTTAGACGAGTGGTTGTTTATGTATTAAGTGGAAAAGATAACGACTTACGGATGTAGCAACTCCACATTTGTTCATTGTATGTCCATGAATGGCTTCAAGGAAGTCGGGATGCTGCATATCGGATATGGTGTGAAGTGTGGCAGTGGTAGTCCGAACTGTTTCCGCTGTGATCTGATGCACTAAAGAGGTTCGCAGCGCTGATGGACGTGACATGGAAACAGAAAATGGGGTTGTTGGCTTAGTTCCATGTTTCAGATGAGCCTTATCCAACGTCCACGTTCCAATGTACGGAATCCAATAATCGGTTTCGTTCCATCGGTACTTTGGCAGATGCAACAACGAGTATTCCCTCTCACGCGGCTTAAAAAATTCCGCCCAACAAGGATTTAGACCGGCAAGGTAGAGGGTAACAAGGCTCTTGGATATGGTTGCTATGCTGTCTTCATTCCGCCGACAAGAAGACATGACAGGCGCCGAAGGGATCATGCTCCGCACAAGCCCGGCACAAATTGGATGAGGCCCAACATCGATCCACATGGTCTTGGAGTCTACAAGGCCCATATCCTGGGTCGCTTCAATAGCTGCCGCAAAATCAACAGTTTCCCTTGTGGCACGGCGTAAGTAACTTGCGTTGAGGGACTTCACATCGTAGATGACGGTGGCCAGTAAAGGTGATATCACAGGAATACTTGGAGCTTTGAATGGGATTGCCTTTGCCAAAGTCTCCAAATCTTCCAGAATTGGATTCATCTGTGCTGTATGGAATGCATACGGGACATCTAATATTGTGCATTTTATGCTCTTTGCTTCAAGAGCCCTGCGGATATCATCGATTTCCCCCTGAAAGCCCCCAATAACAGTATCCTGGTTGGTATTGCAACAAGATACCTCGTATGCGATTAAGGCAGTCTCAGGCTCAGCAGCAAGCATTTCTTGAATTGCATCCTCTGATGCTCGAACTGAGAGCATCGAATGGCTACCTTGTGCACATCGTTCCTCAACCAGCTGTGCACGTCGGCCGACGAGGTAGATGGCATCAGCAGTCGATATAACCCCGGAAACAGCAAGTGCAGCGTATTCACCAAGACTGTGACCGATAACAGCGCTGATACTCACACCTAGCAAGGACCAGAACCGCGCCAGGGCTATTTCAAGTATCACAACGCTAAGTTGCGTTAAAATCGGTGATGATGGGGTATCTTCGATGCTATTTTCAATTACAGGTACGACAGATGGGAAACCTAGCCGCTGTGCCAGTCGGTCAAGCTGCTGTACCTGGGCACGGAAATAAGGAAACTCGGTAAAGAGCCCCCTGCCCATCCCGTGATAGTAGGCACCCTGTCCTGTAAAGGCAAGGATAACCGAGGGAGCCTCATTTGGAACTGGGCGCACTTCAGAAGCAAAATTAGGGTTATCTAGTTGAGATCGCAGCGCCTTCTGAAGGCCCGAGATGCAGGAAACTGAAGTACCAAACCGCATATTGTGGTGCATTCGACGAGAAGAAGTAGTGTAAGCCAGATCTGCCAAGCTCGTTTCCGGATGTTGGTCCAAATATGATAAGAGGCTCTCCATGTTAGCTTGCAGAGATTTCTTGCTCTTTGCAGATAAGAGTATCGCATGAGTGATACGATCTTCCGTGCCTTGGATCTTCACTCTTTCCGGCGCATCTTCCAGCAGCAACGTAGTATTTCCTCCGTGGGCTCCAAATGAATTAACCACGGCGAGGCGCTTCTTGCCTGCTGGACGCGGCCATGGTGTGTTTTGCATGGCAAGTCCCACATTCCGCCGCTCGAGATCTTTAGGTATGGTTGGATTGATCTCACTCTTGATGCCGATGTGCATGGGAATCAAATTTTTCTGATACACAAGCAAAGCCTTCAGGAGAGACGCAATACCAGCTGCAGCTTCACCGTGTCCAATGTTACTTTTCACGGCCCCTAAATATAGTCGCTGGTCAGGTCGACGACGAGGTGTCACAGGTGCAAATATATCTGACACAGATTCAGACTCGACCGCGTCCCCAGCCTGAGTTCCTGTACCATGGAGCTCAATGTAGCTAACATCAATTGGGTTAACGCCAGCTTGGTTCAACACTTGTCGATAGTTGGCTTTCTGCGCACCAGCGTGTGGATGCGTGATCGAGATAGCCTCTGCTGAATGATTAGTGGAAGCGCCGAGGACCACAGCCAAAATATTATCATTATCAGCCTCGGCATCCTCAAGTCGTTTGATGACAACAGACCCGATGCCATCGGCACGACAGTACCCGTCTGCATCCTTGTCCCAAACCTTGCACTGTCCAGTCTTAGAGAGAAAGTGGGCATTCCCCAGGCCACAGTAGTTATCAGGATCCGTTATAACATTAAGGCCGCCAGCAATAGCAGTATCGACCTCACCAGCCCACAATGCGGAGCAAGCAACTTGCACTGCGGCAAGCCCACTTGAGCAGGCTGTATCAAGGTTGAATGACGGACCAGAGAATTTAAAGAAGTAATTGATTCGCCCATTACCAAATGCACGCTCGCCACCGGGAACTGCATACGTGCTGATGTTCTGTGACGCATTTAGTTCCCTCCAGTCATCACTAGCCTGGCCGTAGAATGTGCCAATGCGGCTAGGGTGTGTGGAAGGGGTGCGTCCGGGAACAACGCCTGCCATTTCCAAAGCTTCATAGGCTGTAACAAGGGCAAGTCTTTGCATCGGATCTGTTTGCTCAGCCTGATTTGGTCAGTCTCGAGAAAGAACGGCGATCTATGTTGATCAGAAGGATCATCATACCTCTCTCGGGGACATATTGAAGAAACCCGCGTCAAAAAATCCTGGGCGATCGATGAAGTTGCCATATGGCGTCTGGGTTGCATTTTCCGTTTTCCCAGTGGGATCATAATGAGTGTTTAGGTCAAATCGATCGGGAGGAACTGTAGTGAGAGTATCTCGTCCTTCCTCCAGCAATTTCCAAAAGAGATCGAGATCATCAGCACCCCCAGGTAGCCTACATGCCATACCCACAATAGCAAGTTTCGAAGAAGCATACGACCGAGGTCGACGGGGCCCGAAGTCTCTATTAACCCAGCTCACCAGATCTCGACGGATGAGTTGCCGCTGTTCTCCAGAAAGGTTAGCCTCCACGGCGGAGTGGATGCCGCGAAGCACAAGTGACGTACGGAATGAGTCAATTTGCCAGCTGCTCGTTTCTTTTGACTGTGGCTGAAGATGCTGGACAATGCCTGCAGTAACATTGTCAAGGTAGATAGTGCCAGTAAGTAGCTCAGTTCCAATTTCAAGGAAGAGCTCGCTGGCGGTTTTTGCGATAAATGGTTTGCCAGTTTGAGAGGAGAGCAAGGCCAGCCGTACTGATCGGTCAGGCAGGATAACACTCTCTGCGCTATTTATTATGAAATCTATATCGCTCTGTGTGTAAAGATGCGACGCGTGGCAGAGACCATCATAAACAGGCAATGGGAGAGATTTGGAGTAACGGAGGACAGGAGAATGCTGAAAGGCTGCCTTGATGCGTGACGGCGGCCCACTCACACTGATAGATGTCTTGTCTGCAGCACTGATGAAGACCTTAGTCAGTTCTGGGCTATGCGTGTCCGTGTTGAACTGTTTAAGCTCATCCTGGACACTCGCCTCTGTCATCTCCGTAACAACGTGAGCCCAGCTGCTAAGAGTCCCATCTGACTGCGGTGCTTCGAGTTTGGTTGAGATATCAGCAACGTAGACACCCAGTCGGAAGGAAACCCGCACCGCCTCCGCACCGGTTTTAGCCACATCGGCTAAACTGCTAGACAAAGCGACAGCGGCAGCAGCCAAGATGCCGATACTAAGGCCTGCAAGAACACTTTCTCCAGGAACAAGGTCCCATTCTGTGTCCTCCGATTCATAATGGCTAGTGTATACAACTAGTTAGAATTTTTACCTGATCCAGCAAACAAAGAACAGAAACATACCCGATGAACAACCCCAATTCTAAAATGGTAAGAATGGAGCTCTCCATGGCAGCTCCCAGAGGTCCTTGACGAAAGTCGACATCGACGAGACCAAGGACGGAGTCGAAGGGCGGTACCAACTCCTTCAGTGGCCGGGGAAACTTTGACACCTCATCTTTTAAAACGGCTGTTGATTCCTCTAGAAAGATAGAAAGTAGTCTGAACCGCCTGTCCTTGCTATGTTGATCTAGACGGCGAAAGAGCTCCTTTAAGTCATCACTGGGGAACTCGTTGCTGAAAAAAACTACCCGCCGTAAAGTTGAATCCATGATGCTGTAGCCGATGATGACAGTTTTTCCTGTTGATTGACATCTGGCAACATTATGAATCCCTTTTAATAACCATGGACATGGTTTAGTAAATGTAGGTTTCAAAACCCTCGGTTATACTTGACCATAAAATCCGGATGTTGCAAAATCCGAAGGAAGAAACCAGCGGCCTTTGCACAAACACCGACGGAGGTAGCGCTGGGTGTAAATGCCGAGGGTCAATGAGGGTAAAGGAAGCTCGAGTTATCATATAAAGGTTAATATTCAGGTAGAAGAGGGTCGACGCTCTGCATATTTGACAATAGTCTCTAGCTGTCGATTACCACAACCATGACTTCCATCCCTATTTTTGAGTCTGTCTCCCGTTTCCTTCCCCCGGCCAACGAAGATGTGCAGTTTTGGTGGAAGGTCACCGGCCGACATATGGCTTGCATGATGCATGAGGCAGGCTACCCAGAATATCGTCAGGTCGAATGCCTTCTCTTTCATCGCTTCAAAGTCATCCCTTGTCTGGGCCCCCGACCACATTCCGACACACCCTGGTATAAGAGCCGTGTGGGCGGCGGTGCGGCAGATGGCTGCCCAATCAACTATAGTTGGCGATTTGGCACTATCGAAAGAAAGCCCCATATCCGCAACTTCATCGAACCCCTTGGAGCCCTGACGAAAACCCCAGCCGACCCGCTCAACGAGGTCGCTACTAAAGCCCTCTTACAAGACTACAGCATGACTCTACCCAATGTCGATCTGGAGGCATTCTGGACCTTCGCCCCCCATTATCGGCCGCGTATTATCGAAAAGGAAGATATGGAAAAGCTTGCTGGGGCTTCATTGCTTGTTGGAGCAGAGATGTCTCCTGACTCTCGTACCATCGATATTAAGGCATACATGTACCCTCGAGTTCCGTCGCAAACTAGTCAGCTTCTCACCACAATTCTGCCCCAAGCCATGCGTGACACTTACGGGGAGGATGTGTGTCTCGACAGCCTCAATTTCGTCCATGACTTTATGACCAATGATCCGCAGGGAAGTCAACTTGCTTTGACTGGCACAACCGGAATAGATTGCTGCAAACTCCAGGAAACACGCGTGAAAATTTATGTCATCACCCGTAACACTTCCTTCGACCATATTGCCGCCATCATGACACTGGGCGGCCGACGTTCAATCTCGGGAGAGCTCCTTGGCCAGCTAAAGGCACTTTGGTATGAGCTGAAGGGAGCCCCAGCAGAACTACCCTCATCTGAGCAGTTACCGGTTCAAACAAAACCAGATGGTAGCAGGAACCCAATCGTTGTCCCCTTCTATTTTGATATCCAACCACGGCTTGCACTGCCAGATGTTAAGGCATACATCGATGTGAGCACCAGCCCTGTGAGCGATCTAGCGGCCGCTAAGGCAGTGGTTCGTCATTTGGAGCAACATGGTAGCGGACAAAATCCGAAAGCATACTTGAATGTGCTGAAAGACATCACCCCAGTTGAGGAGTTGGAAACGCAGAAAGGTGCCCTCGCATTTTACTCCGTGGCCGTCAAGAAGAATGAGCTGGATATAACCTCATACTTTAACCCCCAGGTGTATAAGCGCTACTTCGCTCATGAAGTACAGCTTAATGGACAGCGACGGAGTGTATTTGAGTAGATTTGAATCTGTTAGGCGTGTAATGCTGATAATATGAAATTTATTTTGATTTATCGTTCTTCAGTGTCGAGATAGATTACAGAGGTTATCGTTTGACGTTGAAATAAGCTTTAATTAGCTAACAGGTAATTCATTAATAAGCAAAGTTAGTTTCGCTAACTAGTTATCTATTTTTAGTTATCCCCTTGTGCTCGATACATTTAGTTAAACTTTAGTTCCTTCCTGGAACGCCTACGACACCATATCCCCGCCTCCTACCAAGGCTGGATTGTGACAATCTATAAAAGCCGTTTCTAAACACCGAGCACTGTCTTTTTATTTTGTTTTCCATTTACTTCGGTTTTTAGAACCCGACTGAGTAGATCATTCAGACCGCGCATATTCATATTATTACCATCAATATATATTAACATTACTCGAAATAATGCAGAAACTCATTGCAAAACTGGGCCAAAATGGGGAAGCCACAAGAAACCATTCTTATTATTGGAGCAGGTATTGCTGGTCTTACAGCTTCCCGACTTCCCACAAACAATGGCATTCCCAATATCGTCTTTGAGGCATCGACTCCAGAACGCAATCAAGGATTTGCCATCAGTCTTCAGGAGTTTGGGTATTCGTCACTTCTCGCTGCCCTTGGTGACCTCCCTCTCAGCAACCTGACCAGAGGCGTCGCGCCCGACCGACAAATTGGTGGGACTGGTTGGATTGACCAGGCGTTGAGGGATAATCGAACGGGTGAATTATTAGTCGCTCCAGACCTAACAACAATGAAGCAGACGATTGTGCGCGCGAATCGTAATGCATTGCGCCACTGGATTGCGGATTGCGGGGAGGATGAGCTTGACGTGCGATACGGGCATAAACTGCGGAGAATCGAGGGAAAATTGGGCGATATTACTGCAGTGTTTGAGAACCATGCCAAATATAAGGGCTCTCTCGTTATCGCCGCTGATGGTGTAAATTCTACCAGTATGTACCCCTTTTCGTCGCGTTCAACAGTCTGCTGCTTATTCCTTAGTGCTAGTTTTATAATTAGATGGACGACATCAACTAACCACGAACAGCCCGGTCTCAGATTCTTCCCAACGTGATTCCTGAGACAATTCCTTTGATTCACTATCATGGAGAGTTCCAGGTTTCTCACTCTGCCTTTGATAAGCTCATTCGGCCCCATAGTGGACACTCCAATATTCTGGTTGGCGTCGGTGACAGATTCAACACACCACTATCAATCTGCAACGTTACCAAGACTAAAGTCCATCTCGATTGGTCATATTCACGGCCGGTTAAGGGCGAAAACGATACCCTGTATCGCCCTAATGTCCCATCCGAAGAAGCAAAGCAGATTCCTCCAGCGCTACTCGAGGAGTTAGATGCTCTTAGCTTAGCGGAGCCGTGGAAAAATTTCTTGAATTCAGAGTCCCTCAAGACCCACCGAGTATTCCATTGGACTACCAGGTGCGTTTACATTACGCAGGATGATGCTCGGCGCGCGGGTGAGCAGGGTGTGGTCTTTGTGGGTGATTCATGGCACGCAATGCCTATCTTTGGTGGTGAGGGAGGTAACCATGCGCTTCTTGATGGTGTCGAATTAGCTAACGCCATAATTAAATCTACTGCGAGCGGTGGGAAAGATGGCTGGGACAATGTTGTTAAGAGTTATTATGCTGGCGCGTGGAAACGATCCCAAGAGGCTGTTCGGCGTTCAACTCAGCGCTTCTTCCTACTTCACCGACCCGCCAAGGAGTGGAAAGAGATTTCAGAGAAAAAGAAAAAGCCAGCATGACATATTATTAGTATAGCCATACCTTTTCCTCCCAAGTCATACATGCATCCCTTTGTTATTATTTAATAACCAGCATACAACCACTAGATTACACTATTCACCTGTATTCTAAATATATGCAACTGAGGTTGATCTACATTAGCCACGACACCCACGTACTTTGTTTCGTTGTCTCTGTTCTAATGCAAACCATTGTCGCTTGAGAGGATCCCCTGGCTTAAACCCCACCATCCGATCTTCAGTTAATTTCCACAGCACCTGCAGTAACGATGGCGCCAAAGCCTTCTCAATTACCTCCTGTGGTAATCTTCCATATACCGCCAGCACAATTTCATTCAGCGTTAGCCCGTATTTGACCCTTTCATCCCTGGTCCCTTCACCTCGGACCCGATGCCTTGTCAGCGCGGATAACATCATCCGCTCCCGCCCCTCTCTATGCTGGATGTATTCCTCTAGCTTCCCTGGTAGGTTTTCAATCATAGCCCCATGTGCCGGATATCCAATCCTGCAGCCCAATGAAGCCATATCTCTTAGGCTATCCATATACCGTCCTAAATCCTGAGCGACGCTGAAGCCATGACCTAGAACATTATCCCCCGTGAAAAGGGCGTTTTCTTCCTCCAACAGAAAGCACATATGATCTACTGAGTGTCCGGGTGTAAGGATCGCACGCACGGTCGCGCCGTCCACGGAGAAAATTTGCCCATGTGTGATTGGACTTTGGCCTGAGTCAGGTTGATTTTTGTATATTTTGTTTGCTAGGGAAGAGTTTCGTGCAATCAAGTCTGGGACACCGCCGGTGTGGTCCCCATGCCAATGGGTAAGGAGAACGTAGGAAAGCTCAATCTTTTGTGTTGACAGAAACGACGATATGCGGTTTATCCAGGCAGGGAGGCCCTTTTAGTATTGATTAGCTAACTTGCAACTTTTGTAGGTCCAGATGAAAGTCACTTGGTTTACTTACTTGAGCTGTATCTATCAGGATGCGCGACCTGCCAGTTCCAACGAGATATGTATTTGTACCTTGAAGATGCATGCTACCTGGGTTTCCACCTAAGATCCGAATAACGCCTTTACTGACATGGGATAGCTCCGGCAGAACAGGTAAATGGCCCTCACGACCCATGAGAAACTCCTCCCAGAAAGACTGACTGAATGGTAGCCGACCGCTCATGCTTCCTCCGCTTGATGATTGATCGATAACTAGTAAACTAGTTGGTTCGAAAACAAGTGAAGAAACGAGTCTGTCACCCAGTAGACGAAAGAATTTTCGTGATGATTTTTTAGAATCAGACATTTGAAACCTTGAGACCACTCTTTTTGACAGATCAATGCCAAAAACCGAGTATTAAATATGCATCCGCCAAAAGCCGAACCAATACGACAACTGTCTTCCTAAACATGCTGTCGACCAATGGTACCTTCCAACGCCAAGGGGGAAATGTAACCAGCGCCAGCATTCTTTCTGCATCCGACTTCGCCCGTCATGGGCAAATAACATGGAATACTCTGTCAAATGGCACGTATATACAAGAGCTGGAACCCCTCGGCTTTTAGAGATATACATGTTCTATATATAGTAATTATTTAAGCAATGCCAAGCCTTGTAGCTCACAAACTAACTAGCCTAACCTAGTTAGTTATGGGTATGGCAAACTTAAATATTGCTGCAGGAACTATGAAACTAACCAAAAGGGGAAGGTTTATTTATACTTTACGGTTCTTTTGAAAACTAATATCTCTATGCATAAAAAGAAGGTATTTGATTTTTGTACCTCTTCATTGGCAGGTAGTCAATTATCTAAATAAGCAGTCGACAGTAGCGGACCCATTCTAGTTCGGGTTTGGGCATAATTCGGAGCCGGATAACCAGAAATATACTGAAATTTTGGGCGGTGGTATAAATAAGCACATTTCTAGCCAACTATATCAAGTTTAACCTCCCAAACCATTTATTACAAGACTCCCTGGACCTTAACGGGATGTAATGTTGCTTTTTCCTTTCCCTGTTCTTCCATCTTCTACCTCCTATGCCACTTCCCTAGACTTCACGGAATGTATCCAAAGCAATGCTGGAGTTCGTCAGGAAAGAAACATATCAGCTCTGCCGGTTTCATCATCATGTAGGCTCGCAATCACCTCTTCCCACGCAGCCCATGACTGGTCAGCCTCGACCAATTGTTCTTGTCCAGCAATCAGCAGCTGACTATCGAGTGAAAACAACAAAGGATCTATCTTCTGTGGTGAAGTCGAAATCAGAGCCTCAGTCAGCAAGGCCGGGTCTTCCCCAGGACGTGAAAGTTCTGCCGTGGTCCAAGACCAGTTACTTAAAAGGTCCCCGCTTGATGTGATACTTGACCGGGAAGGAGGTGTGTGCGGTACCGATAACGTGTTTGCCGCGTTTGTAGTACCAAACGTCGGGCTCGTTGTTATTTTGGTACTCGCACCTAAAGACTGCAACAGCTTTCCCCTTACACGGCACATCAGTCTCTCAAGAGTGGTGCTGATTGCCTTACTAGACCCTGACACATCAGCCTCATGTTGCTGAAAAGCAGCTTCCACAATGGGCCAGGCGCGCTGTACCAAAGCTCTATCCTGGCAGATGTAGCACTCTGATATGGCAATGGCGAGTGGCTGCCATGGGACCGTAACGAACCAGCGGAACCCCTCTCCACGGGGATCAGTGTGCACGAGCTGAACTTTTTCAAGAATATTTAACGCTAAGGAAAGAATGCTTGTGCCTTCGTTGGTATCTGGTATTGGTATTGGATGGTCGCCATGTTGGTATATAAGAGGGCGGATGGCGGAAAGTCTTGCCCCTGAGACGAAGCATTGAATACGATGCCATGTAAACCAGGCATATGGCGTGGATTCGGGATCACAATAGAACAAAAGACGGAGCGTCCGCTGCTCAAAGTGCTGGACGTGCTGCTGTCGGCTTCCATTGTCTTTAACAGATGGTTCGAAATTGAGTAACCGGCCCGCAGCCTGTACGTGGTAGGAAACCAGGGAAAATGTGGTATCTGTCAGCCCTTCACGGTCAGGGATGTCGTGCGAAGTTGTCGGTTCAAAATCTGAATCATTAATGTGCTTGGGCGGAGAGAACGATGATGTTGCCTCTGCTACAGTGATCAGAGGCTCAGAAGGTTGGCTTAAAGAGGTCTGAAAATCCAGCAAGCAGATGGCTAGCCAAAGTCGCTTTCGCATCTGTTGGCCGAAAAAATTGTCGTCTGTGCCCCTAGGGAGGTCGAGCGCTTTCGCGATTCGCACCGCAAATGCCATCAATGTCCAAACAGCACGACTTGGATCCTCTGACCTCCTAGCAACCTGGTTTGTTTTTAATGGGAATTAGAACGTTTTGTTCGGTGAAAAGCTCGTGCTGATGATTCTGTGTTAGAAAACTCACAAGGTATAATAAAAACGCTTGAAGGGTGGTGACCTCAGGAGAAAGTAGCGGACTACTCTTCTCTAGTGTGGTCTCACATGTTCTTCTTGCGCGGGCAACAATGCTGGACTTAGTGGTATGGAAACGGGCCCAGCTCTGTGTCTCTGTTAAACTGGTAGCTGCAACATAGCAGATGGCCGCGCCCAGAGACTCAACCGCAGCATGGCGTTCAGGAAATCCTAAATATCGTTGTCCCTGCAGCATCCACTTTTCGAGAGACGGCCGATGTAGAATTTTGATCACTGGATCTACATTTAAGAGATATACCTGGCACAATTGCATCGATATATCTCTATCCTCGATAATAGAGGCCCATCCAGTTTCAGGGCTTGATGATCCACTTAACCCCAGGATTCTCAGGCCACCGTCACTCGGGTGAACTCTTGGGCCTTTTATCAGTAGGCTATCATCGTCAATTCCGTTCAAAGTTGATTCAATGGTATCTTGAGCTTCCTGATTCTTGTTCGTTTGAAGATTCTTGATGAGCTACTCTTCTAATTTTCTTGACCGGTGGTGATGCTGTTACCCCTGACTCACCTGCTTCGAGATGTGGTTAGAAGAACGCATACTGTCCACCAGGGCCTCTAGTCTGCGAATGCGCTCCTTGAGGTCATCCTCAGCTATGGTTCCAGTATCAGGAGGAGAAGCAATGTCGATTTGTATCGGTGCCTCAGGGTCTTCGGGAGAAATCCTCCGCAATCGCTGAGCATGGGCACCTCGAGGCAAACGTGGCCGCCGTACAGGAACACAAATTACACCCGCTGACGAACAATTCGTGCACGGATCAAGTTTGTCACACTTGACCTTACGCTCGCGGCACAGTTCACAGCTGAGATGAGCAGCTTGCTGCCGTCGTTTTGGGCCTCGTTTCTCCATGTCTCCTCTAGACGAATTGAACCAGCTTGTTCGTAGCTTCGGGCGTTTACCATCGGAGGGCCTGGGCTATATAAACATAGAAGCCCAGGACGCGGCTGGTACCATCCCGACAACTGAGCACGCGGGCTGCTGAGCATCAGCCGAGGCGAGGGTTACTCCGTGTTGAGCTCATTATCTGGTCTCGCCTTCAGCAACACGAGGAAACACGAGAAAGCCTTAAGAATCAACTTTATATCTGTCGGAATATATTTATATATCTAAGTATAGATATATAACTATAACAATAAATATATATCCAACGTTTGGTATGTGGGCCTCCGCCAGATGCTTGCTAAGTGGAGTATAAAACCAGTCTGGTTGGCCGACCTCTAGGTAGCAAAACCTCGTTTCTCTAGGTATTTACTTCAGTTCTCACTCTCACCTCGGGTCAGTTCGCCAGCGAAATGGCTGCCAGTGAGCCAGAAACACCAATCTGACACTGGCGGCGTTTTTTGGTAACATGCATCAGCCTCATTTGCTGGTTCGACCGTCAGCAGGGCTCTCTTCTCTCCCACTCTTGATTTCAATACGAGATGATTTCCATTCGTGCTAGCAGTGGGACTTTCTGCCTTCCAATATTAGCCAGTCGTCCACTCTCAAGACGTGCTACAAGCCTTAGTGGCGAAGACTTAGCACCATCCAATGCCCGTTATGCTTTTGTTAGGCATGATCTTGATTTCCTCTTCCGTGTGCAGATCCAGATCATTCGGGGCGATTCTCTACCCTCAATGTTAGATTCGGTCCATTTTCTCAGACGGAGCCGGGCTTCCTGGGATGCAACCTGCTCGCTTGATGTCCCAGGATAACCCTGCAGGCTCCTGATTCACATCATCCGGGTGGGTTCCCAAGCGCTGACCATCCAGCATCAGCCTCATGAGTGTCCTTTCCAGTAACGCGAAAAGCTTAACAATACCACCAAGTGCTGCAGAATGGGTCGAATACGAGCTAACATATATGACAGGATGATAGCTGGACAAATTAATGTCTCTTGCGAATCAGGGAGGGAACGGAGCAAAAAGAGCCATCGACTGGATGAGGATCGAGGGAACAGGCGGTTCTAGAGAGGATGAAGGTCACGCTCAAAAGGCGGTAGGTCTGAGTATTGGCGTCTCTGTTTTGAAACCTCAAGAGCTGCTGTTATACGACGACAGCGTACTCCGTACTCGGTACTAACTAGCAGCAGTTACGGGAAGTGTTAGTTAACTAGGCACCAAGTTAACCAGTGGCTGAAGTGCTCTAATTATAGTCAGAACTCCGCCAGTTCACCTAGTTATACCCAAGATCAGCAGTTCCCGCTTCACATTCACCCATGGCATCGCTCCGCTCAAAGCCACCCCTCCCAATGGTTAGAATATCATCCACAGAGGACTCTCATTCCTGTCAAAGTCAGGGGCCTTCCTTTTGTCTCTTGAGTGTTCAAAAGTCCAAAAGCCTCCAGAGTACCAGGAGTGACATTAGTAAGCATTGTCACGTGATTTAACTGAGGTCTCGTCCCGTCAACTTATCATCACGTGAATGACTCAGCTTGCGACGTATGCGCGGCGAAAATAATATCAAAAACGACTTGATATCTCAGAACCGTCCACAAGGGGGAAGATTGTTGGTTTTGAAGAAACATCCACAGCTGCCCTTGAAAAATGCAAGCTTCTCAACACATTTTGTGAATATTTCTTTGTTGTTGCTATTGCTATTGCATTTTATTGCTTCCTATGGACCGTTTATCTTGTATATATTTCCCCTTTTTAACATACTAAACCGAGCAAGCCATGACATATTTGCACAGTGACTATTCCAACCGCAGCCCTTTTGCTGAACCAACTACTTTCGAAAAGGTATCTCAGCAGTTACCTGCAATCTTTCGGTGGGGGGCCGATCGAATTCGAACTCGCGTTGCTTTCTTCGGAAGCATACCTTCCCTCACTACAAAACGCAACAGCCGGTCAGGTGTTGTTAAGGCAGTTCTTCAAGCACTCTTTACTGTTCGCACGGCGTTGATTCTCTTATGGGGCCTTACACTGTTCTGGGGAGAAAGGACTGTATTCAAGGAAAGCCTGGAGGCTTGCAATTGGAGTCATTGGGAAAAATGGGTGAGTGGTCGTTTTGCGGCCAATACTCTTCGTGTTTATGCTAGTTATACTGATATATTCTTCATATGCCTAGCCTGCCAACGCCAAACCTCACCACGTTGCCTTTATAGCCGATCCACAACTTGTTGATGCACATACCTATCCTGGTCGGCCATGGCCTTTATCCTCGTTAACCGAGTTTTACGTGGACCTGTACCTGTACCGTACCCATTCACTGCTTCAAAAGTATCTCCGGCCTGATAGTACATTTTTCCTTGGTGACCTCTTTGATGGAGGAAGGGAATGGGGCACGGACGGATATTCTAGCCCGGATCCTAGCTTCAAGAGCTACGGGCACGACTATTGGATGAAAGAATACAAACGATTTTCAAGAATATTCTTCGAAACCTGGGAGTTAGGGGGAAAAGGTTCCTCATTAAGCCATAGTGGAAGGAGGATGGTAGCAGGACTACCGGGAAACCATGATATCGGCTTTGGGAATGGCGTGCAAACGCCAGTTGTCCACAGGTTTCGTTCCTTCTTTGGGGAATCAAACCGAGTTGATATCGTAGGAAATCATACGATAGTCTCCATTGATTCGGTCTCGTATAGCGCACGGGACCAGGAAAATCCAGAAACAGGGGGATCAAATCCTAATACTAGAGAGACAGCACAGGTGTGGAGAGAGACACAACAGTTTCTTGACAATATAAAAACACTGAAACAGGAGGCTCTACGAAAAGAGCTATCTACTTTGACGGGGAAGGATTCACCTGCCACAGATCCGGATATACAACTTCCAACAATCCTTCTCACACATGTTCCTCTGTACAGAGAGCCGCATACCCCTTGTGGCCCTCTACGTGAACACTGGCCGCCATCATCGACTAATCCTCTGCCAGACAAAGATGAGAGAAACGCAATCCATATCGGTAAAGGATATCAGTACCAGAACGTCTTAACGCCTATAATATCAAACGAAATAGTGGGTAAAGCGGGACGAGTCATGCAAGTATATTCTGGTGATGACCATGACTACTGCGAGATTATCCATACTGAGTTTAGCGGAGCTCCAAAGGAGATCACGGTGAAGAGCATGTCCTTGGCGATGAGTGTTAGAGAGCCAGCAGTCCAACTGGCGACTCTTTGGAACCCCATTGACACAGAAACAGGTCACCCTGTTGATTCAGGTGGCTCCTCCACAACCCTACAGAACCAGATGTGTCTGCTCCCCAACCAAATATCCATATTTATTGTCTATGGTTACACATTAGCCCTTACGATTCTGGCTCTCTTTTTGCATTCTACCTACCTTTCTTTCCGCCATAAAGCGGGGTCCTCTGCCAACACAGATTCGATATTACCCTTGGCCTATCGTCGACCTATCTATGACTACTATCCTTGCTCGACCGAGTTCCCCGCCGCGTCACCGTCGACGACATCTTCCAACTCGATCGGAGGGGCGTATTCTGTAACGCGAAGCAGGGCCGCCAGTACGACTGTTCCTTATGAAGCTCGTGGCTTCAAGCAAACTCAGACTGTTGGAGGGTCTGCAGAAGGGAATAATGGAGTTCCAGACCCTGCTGCATCAATGGCCCCATCAGGCGCTAACACTCGGTCTCGACGGCAGGGATGGACTGTTCTGGACAATAATGACTACTCTGAAATAGCTGACGCTTCACTGGAGAGGAGTCCTACCAGCCGGGTTAGGCGTCCATTCCAGGTATTTCGAGATGAGCTTGTGTCATCTACGAAATGGGTTGGTGGGATATCTTTTGGGTGGTATTTGTGGTTGCTCTGGACATGGTGATGCAGTGACGCTACCCTGTCTTTGCTTGAGAGTACCGATCTATAGCCTCCTTTTTTTTCTCTCGGCGCTTGCCTTTTTTCCGGTGATACACCCGTCGTTAACAGTTCTTAGCGTTTCAGCCAGGATCAACCAGTATTCGCAAGGGCAGCCAGCATCTCAGACTATTGATTTTCATCTCATTCCGCCGTGGCCCACGCCATGGCCACTGCCCCCTGGCACTAACTAATTCCCCGAGGCACCTGGGAGGCGGTTGCGTTGACCATTAGCCAGCATGGTACTTTGTGAATAAGTGGCTGGCGACCACGCATTCCTTCTGACGTGGTTGTTCTGTCTTTCTCTAGGCCATGTCAATGTGCGGCACGCCAGGGACGAAACGATGTATTCTGAGCATATCAAGCCTGCATGGTCCGGAGATCTTGACCCACGCCAGCGGTTGGACAGAGTGAAAGGCAGGCTCCTTCTATGATGTTGTGCTTTGGGCCACCTCTTTGACCTTTCAAGCAGGCTTTGGTACAGAATACCTCCCAGGAGGACAAGTCGAAAGACAGCAGTATGGATGACAAAGATGCGGAGATGTAGGGAATCTACGACAGAGTATATGGAAGCAGTATAATATGTACGGAGCATGGATACACGTATGTGCAACCAATATTAGATACATAGGTCGGGTACTGCATAAGATAACTCTACTCGCAACATGGGATTCAGGTATTCATCAAAAACCGGCCGCCGTTGCTTTTCCACCTTTTACCTATTCTCTGTCCTCCTTACAGAGTCCTGTCGACCAGATGCCAACTGCGCTCCGTAGACAACAAGGTCCTACGAATTCTCGCCCCTCCGAGAACAATGAGTTTTCTCTGCCTCCTTTCTGCGCTGACGCATGTTTCGCACAGTGGCTGATCAAGGCACTGCATACGAAGCAGCAATAAGAAAAGTTGCATCTCGTTGTGCGCCATCAGCCAACTTGGAGGAGGCTATTTGGCTTTTCTTTACTTCTTCTCTTCGTTGCTTTTTCTTGGATACAGTGTTTCTCCAGCTTGTGCCACCCACCCCAACTCCCAGGTTGGCCTTCTTGATGCCAGAGCGTGGTAACGACTTTTGCCCTTGGATGCAGCCAGAATTCCTGTGTCTCCGAAGCTGCAATGTCTAATGTCCAATGTCCTGGCACGAGCATCAAGAAGTCGGCACATCTCGCCTGTGCCATGTCTCTCTCTTACCAGATCACATTTTTGTGCCTTCGTGCATGGTAAATAATGTGATAGCCACCACGTCACATTCATCCACCTCCTTTTGCCCAGCATAACTATCGTGTACTGTCTGGCCAGAAAATATCCTAACGAGGAACTAGTTAGTTTGCGCACCAGCTAACGGTGATTTCAGCTAGGCCAGTTGTCGGGCGACGCCATATGAATAAACTGCCCTGAAAGGAGGAAAAGACACAGGCTGCTCTTAGAGCTATCCCTTTCCCTTAGTCACCAGGGGCTTCCTGTGGACGTATGGAAAATGCACGCTGAAAATCCAGTGAGCGTTGCCAGCTTTCCTCTTCGTATAGAGCTCTCCGCCATACCCAGCAATAACTACTCCGTACGGATAGTCCCGTTTCATTTCCGCCAGGAGATGTACACTCATTCCCATCCTGCATAGAGATGGCATTGCATCTTGTTGGCTAGGTTGGGATCAACTCCCGCATCTCCCGAGTATATAACTAATAACAGGGGGGGATGCAATAATAATTAACGATGGGCTTCATCCCGCTCCAGGCTCAGGACAAGGAAATTTTTTTTTTTTTTCATCTTCCAGTCTCAATGGCGAACCCAGGATCAAAACTGCCCAATTACCAGCCGAAATCACAGCCACATCGGCAGTAGGCGCTAAAACAAGGGGGAGCACCAACGAGGTTAAATTATCTCGCCGATCTTTTACCCCTGTCTGTGGGTACTTTATGGGATGCAAAAGTCAGGGGCTGAACAAGTTGAGAAGGCTTGTTTACTCTTTCTGACTCCATACCAGTACCAAAGATGGCACCCCCGCATATACTCGCTGGTGTACGGAGTACTCCGTATGACCTTGGATATACCAATCTGACCTCGGTTTACCGAAGTGATGAAGCCTTTTAAATAGTTATGGCACCGGTACACTCGAAAATGGGACGGAAGTTGGACAATGCCCACACGTACGGAGTACTGGGTACCCTCTACAGGAAAAGCAAAAACTCCAGCCCGGTTATGAATACCGTTTGCTTGAAGCAGGAAAAGCAAGGCATAGGGACCATCCTCCAGTCGAATGATTATCCACCAAACATGCGGTTTCCACGCATAGAGTACCTACAGCGGGTTGTAACCTCAATTTCAGACCACTTAAGAGAGTTCGTTCGCTTCTTGACAGCTCTTTTTCTCCACAGCCCTTGGCCACTACTAAACGAAATAGTCACATATTGGACATCTTTGCTGGACGTACCTTGCCGCCACGACGATCTTCCAAAGCGGCGCGTCCACGGCCGAGAAGGGGGTATTTTTAGCGCCTCAGGCAGGGGTAAAAAAAAAAGCTGCCTGCATTCTTCCTACAACGCCGAAAGCCTCACATATACCAATAATATCTTTAAGCCCCAAGAAGCAGACGCTTTTCTTCTCGGCTCGTCATTGGGGTGAGGACATCCGAGTCTGCAGTTGGGTCGAGACCGTTATCGCCCGTCTTTCGAGTACTTGATCTCTTGGATATCTCTTTGCTTTCTTATTTGACACGTTCTCTTCCCTCTTTTTTATCCGGCAAATTTACATTTTTCCTTCGTTTAGCATTTCTTTCTCTTTTTCCTTCACCACAATCGTTACCTTCCCTTATATATAATATTGATTTGTTTGAATCACTTTCGTTCATCAGCATTCATCTATATATCCTGTGTTGAGATTTTCCAGCTCCTGAAGGGGCTATAGTTCACTCAGATGGCCGCTTCACTATGGAAAGGGCTCGCTGTCCTTTACTTTCTTCTTTGCACAGCTATACCAGCATTTGCAACTGTCACAATCAAGGGTGTCCAAGAAGGTGTTAACCAGGGTACTGGCCAAAGGCCTGCCCGACAAAATCTGGCGACTTGGGAGTTTTCTGGGCCGGCTTTCGATCTTTATATACAAGCCCTCCACGAGTTCCAATACACCGACCAAAAGGAACTTCGTAGCCACTACTCTATCGCAAGTAAGTTGCCTCCACGAATACAAACCATCTTCTTTCAACCACTAATGCATTACAATTAGGTGTTCATGGATTGCCGTATGGACCATGGGACGGGGGTGAGACCACTTCCCGACAGCAGGGATATTGCTTGCATGACTCCACATTGTTCCCTCTCTGGCACAGGCCTTACTTGGCTCTTCATGAGGTTGGTAGACATAAATGAGGTAAAGGAGAACATCGGAATCCATCAATGCTAACACATGGGTATAATTAGGAAATGATCTGGACACACGCTCAGAAAATTGCCGCTTCTTATCCTGAGAAAGACCGAGCCAAATACGTCACTGCTGCAAAGACCCTCCGGATTCCATACTGGGATTGGGCGAGCAACCCCGATATTCCGCGCTCTATGACTACATCCAAAATTAATGTAAACACTCCTACCGGCATGCAGAGCATCGACAACCCTCTGTATCAGTACAAGTTTGACCCCTCTGTACAAAAGGGGTTCCCAGAAGGGGATTCGGTAAGTTTGATAATAGTTACCAAATTGTTTCAAGGGCTTCTGGCTGACTTTGTTAAATTCAATTACAGTTTACATCCAACCCCCATTCTACTCGATTCCCCGACGCAAACGGTGAATCTCAAAATGACCGAGCCACCAGGGCAATGAGATCAAATGGCGCATCGTAAGGCCCTCCCATTGAAATACCTTCGTCATATTATCCTGGTCCCAGAAACTAACCGTCATATCATTCCCATCTAGCCTCCGATCAAGCATCTACCAACTCCTAAGCAGTGAATCGGATTACAGCACCTTTTCAACCCAGGCATTGCCAGACCGTAGCGGATATAACAATGTCGAAACTGTGCACGGCTATGTCCACGGCCTGGTTGGTGGTCAAGGCCATATGACTTATATCCCATGGTCTTCTTATGATCCCATTTTCTGGCTTCACCATGCGTGAGTCCGCCCGTATAAAATGACATTTGACTGAAATTCAAGGCTAACACTTGATAGTAATGTTGATCGACTTATCGCCCTCTGGCAAGCCATCTATCCCGATTCATATGTCGCACAAGTACCCAACGGCGGAGGCGCGTATATGACCGAGCGAGGAACTGTGGAAGATGGAAACACACGTAAGTACCGTAACTACAGGTAACAATTTTCGTGGCGCATAGCGCTAACTTTACAATACAAATAGCTCTGTACCCATTCCATGCTGATGAAAACACATTCTACACTGCCAACACTGCACGGTACACCAAGACTTTCGGGTATACCTATCCCGAAATTGAAGACTGGGGTGTCAGCAAGGCCGATCTCCAGAAGAATGTTCGACGACGTGTTAACGAACTATATAATAATCCTTCCAAACAAGCCACGAAGCGTGCCACCGTCCATCGTCGTGCACAGAGATACGATTCGTACATTCAAGGCAGCAACAAAAGCCAATCGCCAACTACCACGGAAGCCCGCCTTGAAGCTGTACTGGACGATACGTTCGATATAGTTGAAGCCATTGGAGATTCGATCAGTCAAAGTTTGGATCGATTTGACGAATGGGGTGTCAACAACATGAAGAAGCAGTGGGTTATTAAAGTCAGAGTTAACAAGTAAGTCTATAAGGAAACACTGTATCAGATCTGCAGATTGAAGGAAACTGACGCCTAAACCCAAATTAGGAGTGCTGTGAGCAAGCCCTTTAGCATCCACTTCTTCATGGGAAACCCACCAAAGGACTCGAATACCTGGCGTTATGCGCCCAACCTGATCGGCTCATATGGAACATTCGTTCACGGAATGGGTATGCCAAACCCTAGCATGGTTGGTGGAGAGGTGCCGCTTTCGCCAGCCCTTGCTGCTCTTCTGTCTACTAGCACTATTCTTGGCTTGGATGACACCGTGGTCGTACCCGTTCTCAGTAAATTCCTCACTTGGAAGATTCAGGATCAAGATGGGAAGGTCATTCCCACTGAGGACGTTGCTAAGTCCAATGGTGGTAAAGGACTGGAGATCCGCATTGCTAAGCGTGATGTTCAGCCCTTGACTAAGGGTGACCTTGATAACTTCCCGCAGTTCGGAGAGTGGGAGATGTATGATAGCATTACCAAGGGGAAGGTAGGCGGCTATTGACGCTGGAACCATGAACTAGCCAGAACGATGCTCTAGCGTTGAATTGATACCAGAATGCTTTACCCCTCTTACCCCGTTTCTATCAGCTCCCCTTTCCTACCCCTGAACCCCCCCTTCTCTTTTTTTTTTTTTTCTCTCTGCCGGCTGTTCTCCATCCTTGGATTCTTGCATTTCTTCGGTCTTGTGCCATTGAGTTGGCACTATGCATTTGTTCGTTTCAGTATATAATACAAAGTGTTCCAGCCTAGGTTTCGGCACCTGAAATATCGTGGCTGGCTAGGGTATTGGTTGTTTCGTCAATCTCACTATACTAAAAATAGAAATGTGTTTAAGCCTCAAGGTTTGGATTAGGTGGCCTGTGTGTAACTCCAAAGTCCATCTGATAACTTTGATTGGACATCACTCCGACTCCCAACATTTTTCCCTCCAAGCGACATCCACCGTTTGCAGGGGTCGGGGCGCTATTATGTACCAAAAATTAGAAAATTCTCGGCCGCTCACTGGACATGGACACACCCTGGCTGGAAGTGCAGAAAAATTCACCCAATAAGAGGAGCTATGCTTATCTTCTCCAATGACAACTGTTACATTCCGAAGCACAGCTCCCTGTAAAATATCCTTAGGCACCGCTTTTGTACCATAGCTCCGGTAATTTAATTAAAACAACTATGATGAAACTTGCTGCAATTGCATGGGCCGTTAGGAGATATTTCCTCTTACGTCCATCATATTGCTGTTCAACCCTAATCGCCGATATTCATTAATAATGAAAATTGGGGAGACATTGTTTGCTTAAGAGCCCGTGCGGGATCAAAACGAACGAGTTCAAAAAAAAAAAATAGACAAAACCCCCCCAAAAAAGATGCCTCGAGTTCTGCCCGAATATTATTTGGAAGAATTTGAAATTCAACGTATTATTCCTGCCTTGTCTACTCCGTACGGAGTACCCTATTATTCCCTTTGATCTGCTTCGCGCCCTTCTGCTGCCCGTGGATGTGCTTAATGGTTGACGAAACGCTCGATTTCTTGATCAAACAAGAGTGGCCAGCCTGAACTGGAAAGGTTTCGCGTATATGAGATATTAATTAGCCAGACAAAGCGTTGATTCCAGCTCCGTCTTTCCTTATCTCGTTACTATTTCTCAGGAAATCATACTCTCAGTAAAGGGAGAATCTATACCCGTCGTAAATGAACCATTAGAAAAGTTAGAACAAGCAAGAGTACGGGTCATCGCTGAGGATAAAGACGTGAGTGGAAGGAATCGAGATAGCCGGTACTACCGGTTTATCTTCTACCTGATATGGCCACGGCAGCCATTATCAGCTCCTCACAGTCTATTCGGCCTCAGTCCAGTCGTTCAACAAGCCAGGAGGAAATACCAAATCGACAAAAACAACAACACCCATCCCTAACACTGCCACGGCATAAGTTCCCTGTCTTAGAAATTGGGACATCCCCATTTCTATCTAACGGTGTTGAAACGAGTGCGTGCGATGCCTGTTTCCAGAAAAATTCTCTTTGCACCATGAGACGAGATGCTAGTATATGTTGCGCGTGTGACTCCAACCACCAGGAATGCACATTCTACATAAGTAATCATGCAGGAAAGCGGAAACATGACAACCCGAGTCTAGGGGCTGCTAACTGTGTAAAGAGGTAGCTCTCCATCCATGCCTAAAACTTCCATATCCCCCACCCCGGCAGAGAGAGGGAGGAATCCAATTAAAACTGATTGCTAACATAAATATCTATTGTCTATGCAAAATTATAGGCAAGCAAGGGACTGTTTGCCATCCCCAGTGTCTGAAATCATGACAGAGTACCAGCGGCGACTATCAGTGAATGCCAATGGCTCAAGCGAGATACCATTATCAAACCTCGGTAATACCATGTCTCCCGAGATACGACCATTATTCCTGAACTTTCTCCCACAGGGTTGGGCCATCAATAGCCAGATAGGATCATCTCGGATTCAGCTATTCTCAGGCGAAGGCGGTTCCCACAGACAAGATGTTTCTGCCCTATCGCTGGAAGCTGTGGAAAATCTGGTCACCCCCTTTGGACCAGCTTTATTGGAGAAATACTTTCGACATCTCCATCCAACTTTTCCAATCATAATGGAGGACAGTTTCCGAAGCTCGTACAAAGAAAGGAATGGCATTTCGGCTCTCCTTTTGGGAGCGATGTACCTGGTGGCCTTGAAGTGGCTAGAACCCGAGTCCGGGGTACAAACATTGCGGCCCCCAGATGCCGTAGGACTTGAGGCTTTGGTTTGTAGGAATCTAAACGAGTCCCTTTCAGGGCCTAGCCTGGCCACGGTCCAAGCTGGCCTGCTTCTCTCGCAAAAATCCTCGCTCTTTACGCCCAGGTTGATGGCCCAGTTGGTGACAGCAGGGTTCGATTTGGGCCTGCACCAAGACTGCTCTAGATGGCAGATACAATGCTGGGAAAAGGGGTTGAGGAAGAGACTGGCATGGGCTATATATATGCAAGATAAATGGTGTGCATTAGTGCATAGCCGGCCGTCACATATATTCGCGTCCAACTGGGCAGTAAAGGACTTGACCATAGATGATTTTGAAAATACCACTCGTTTGGCAGCTTCCACTGCTTCTCCTGTTTCTATTCCCACCCTCTTATCCCTTTCTAGCCATAAGTTTGGGTATCTATTCTTCCGTCAGTTCGTCAAGTTGACTCGCATCTTATCTGATATCATCGAATCATTCTATACCCTAGAAGCTACCCAACAGTTATCTGCATCTCATGAGAACCGCACCCATATTATTCTATCAAAAGCAAAACCCCTTCAGATTCAGCTAAAGGACTGGTTTATCCAATTGCCTGCTGAATTGAAAGTAGATGCTGACTGCGGCGTGGAGGCTGGCCCGAGCGGTGGCATCCATCTGGCATACTTTGCAACAGAAATCATGCTTCACAGGTGCATTGTCCGGTCTCTGTCGCCAGAGACAGCCGATCAGTATCTTACCCACATATGTCGGTCTGCAGCAAAGACTCGCCTCATATCTGCCCTGGACTTTGTAAACCGACTAAGACCCATTCACCTGCGAGCATCCTGGCCTGCTGCCGCGATGAGCAATTTCGCCCTAATCGGAGCATTTGGAATATTACTGCAAACTACAGCACCGACTCAGGAGGAGGAAGAGTTCTATAGGGCCCGGCTACGAGAATACCGATGGACCCTGAGTGTGAGCAGGAAAGATGCAGACTTTTTGGACTTTGCAATAGATACCCTGGGAGAGGTAACAAAACTTGTGCGCAATCAGCCTCAAAAGCCGGCATTTCAAGAGCTCATGAACCACTCGTTTCTCTATCGTCCGGATTGCCATTCTGGTAGCCGTCTCCGCGAGCAGTCTATGGCATCCAGCCATACATCACAGCAGGGAGATGCATATAATGGCTCGGATAAATATGAGAATCTCGCAGGATGCACCAGGATGCACCCTCGATCTAGCCTCCCGAATACAAAATCAGGTTTGATGTCTCCAGCTGCATCGGCATCGAGCGCGAGCACCAGCCGTAGACGCTAATGAGGGAATTGTTCCTTGATGCCTGGTTTTGCTGCATAAGAGACATACTGCTGAGGATAGGTCTGCATTGCTTGGGTGTGCATTAAGGTCTTCAGTTATACTTAATACGATAATATGGCCATCTCAGTGTAGAATTGGCAGGTTCTGAATACAACAGATGCGTTGGGAGAAATTTTGAGAAATGGTGAGGAGAGGGTGTTATTCTTTGGCGGGTATGCATATCGTGTCTCTCATTAAATTGCGGAGGTGTTTTGTGATATATACTCTATACTCTACTCACTATGTAAGTAACGGACAACGAAGTCACGACTCTCTTTTGACCGGCTCACTTGAAATGTCCGTGTAATCGTTCAGACCTCCATAAAACTGAGCATACATACAGACATGTAGTGGTTCCGAGTTTGCATCCTTGCTACCACACTGCTCGCAATTTCAAGTTTATGCACTGACTTGCATACTCTCTCTATTTGTATCAAATCCAGGTTTTCTTTCCATAATGCCAGGATTAAAAAACACCAACCCCCTCTCCCATCCTGTGTCTCAGGCAGTTTCAGGATTTTATTTCCAACTGGTTTGCGGGCAGCGGGGTCGAAGACGTGAATACGCGGAGAGGATGTGCCGTTATATAACCAACAGGGAATACAAACAGAAACAGGAATGCCACACGGCTCCAACTGCCGGATGGAGATGACGCGGGGAAAAGAATCGACATCAAGCGGGTAAAAAAAAGTGACAGAAGACAGAAGGGTATATCAAACAAGTAGGACACTGTATGGTGTGTTAGTTAATATACAAACAATTTTTGAAGGTACTTGCCGGGATAGACTTACGCATTAACACATCCATCATTCTCGCAGTTATTTGTAATTTGTGCCCATTTACCCCATACCACCTTTCCTCCAGTGGTGACAAGCCCTAGCTCGGACACATTGACTTCGATGATCGTTCCTTTAGTCAAGACGCCCAGCTGAGTATACATCGGGCTTTGAGGGTTCTTTTTCACACTAATAATGGGCAGTTGTACAGTGACTGCAAGTTCTGGATGAGTAACGTTGGCTTTTTTGTATCGGAGACCCATAGGGCGAATGAATCGTTCGTATTTGACCGGTCGACGGGTGAAGTCAGCTCCAACGAAGGTAGGCTTGGTGACCATTCTCTTCCACCCTTTTTTCTGGATTTTTTTTCCCGTCTTGACAACTTTGAACATCTCCTCTTCACTTATACCCTTAACTTTGGGCAATGGAACGGAGAACTTCGCCGCCTTCTCAGCACGTTTGTCTTTAATGGCACTGGATAAAGCCTTCGCAGTAGTAGGTTGAGAGCGATCGAGAAGATAATTTGGTAGTGGTGTGGATGACGGCTCGCTTGGTTCGCCTGATGACTTGACATTCCGTTCCTCTTGAGCTTTGATGCGCTTTCGCATCTGTATCTTTTCTGCATGACGCTTCTTATGAAAGAGCTTGGCTCGCAGGCCTTTGAGATTTTGAGAGTCCTGTGATTGCTTGTGCGATTCACGGGCAATACGTTTTCGGGTCCGCTCCTCGTGGTCGAGGCTGTATTCCATGTTAGCCAAAGGCACAAGAGCTATCCCATGCAGGCGCCCCATTTGAGCCCTTGGATCAATCTACTGGTATAGCGCATGCCCCATATTGAAGAAATGTTATCACATACCGGCGACCATGTTGCTTCTGCCATCTTTCGATATACCTGCACGCAGTGACATTAGTTATATATACCGTGGAGGGAGGGAACCTGGATCACGAACTCGTTTTGAGGCTATCAAATAAAAAATATTAGTATTTTTTATCTAGCATATATTAAACGCATCAGGGAGCAGAGATGTCTTCAACTTACCATCTTGAAGTCTTGGTGCCGTCCTGCGTCTGCTTAACCCTCTCAGCGGCTTGCTTGAATTTCGTCAAATCAATATATTTTTTTCTTCTGCATCGATCGATAAGCGTCTCACGTGACAGCAAATTTGAGATCACATGACACATCTATGCCCGAAATTTCTCTCTTCGAGAACGAGCGGACAACGAAGAAGCAGGAAAGGCAGAGACGGTCGATTGCGAATTCAATTGAACATCTACGTCTCCAGTCAAGCGCCGACAAGATGTTCTCAAGGGCTGTTCTGCAAGGCGCTCGTGAAATACGGACAATTCCATCTATTCCTCCAAGTGCATCACTCTTTCTTAGCAACAATCGATGCCTTCACCAAGCTACGGCTGGCTCCCAATTCAAAGCTACACAGCCCGAAATACCTCCGCAAGGGCAGATACAAAACACTGAGCGATTTTCTCATCTTCCCGCGGGCTCTATTCCAGAGGTGGCTTCAATCTCGATTCCCTCTGCGAAACCAGCAGTACCACCTACTTTCACAAGCCCTCTGGAGCTCACACCCGCAATTACAGCCCTTCTTCCCGACCTTGCAACTCAGCCTTCACACTATATAACCGCTCATCTACATGCACGACCATATCTACTTACGGCTGGTGATACCCTTCGACTACCGTTTCGCATGCCAAATGTCCAGGCCGGAGATGTGCTACGATTAAATAGAGCGTCAAATATTGGCTCACGAGACTTCACTTTGAAGGGTGCTCCTTATCTAGACGAAAGACTTTTCGAATGCCGAGTGCGCGTAATGGGAGTTGAGGCTGAGCCACTGCGGATCAAGGAGAAGACGAAGAGACGACAGAGACATGTGCAGCGAGTTAAGAGCAAACACAAGTACACCATATTGAAAGTAGTGGATGTCAAAGTCAAGCAGCTTGACGAGCTTCTCGCAGAGGGAGCGAAGATAGTGGGCTAGTGAAGTGCCGGTCCGGCTTTTGAGCGTCTGTATGTCCATTAGACAAGGGGGATATTATATGCCGAGATGCAGCTTGCCATTTTGCTAGGCATTAGTCAGGTGTTGGAAACGAGGGGAAGAATACTGATTTTCTGCCTTGTGTATTTCATTAAGCATACTGTACAATATCCTATGTTGGAAGGTTTTTCGTCCTTTACACTCCCGTGACGAATAAACTATTATCTTAATAAAATCCATGACGAATTAAAAACATCGACGTAGAAAGGCAAGAGAGAAAGAAGGAAAGTATGTATACAATACCATTATTGTAAGTTAAATGAAAAGTCCGTAGCGGCGTGGTGGTATAAGTGATCCCCAATAATAAACAAAAACAGAGGATATAGAACTATAAAACAGTCAAGTCAAACAAGGCTCCAACGCAGCAGTAAATCCAAAGCCACCAACTACTCCTGGAAATGAATACATCACGTAGCAGACCAATTGAACTCCAGCATCAAGTCCCAATCTTTTATTAAAACAAGCCAGTGGAATAAACACGGCAAACTCATTAATTGTATCCTTGTTCAGCTGAGGCCTGCAGCTTCTGGAAGAGCCCAGCAGACCATCCAATTACTTCTTCGTCCTTTGGGATGCCATGTAAGCGGCAATGGCTGACTATTTTCGTCATTGCCATTCCAAGAGCTTCCTGAGTCACGGGCACGGCGCCCTCGGGGTAAGCGGGTGGATATATAAAAGGATCTGACCTGTCCAAAAGCTGCGTTGTGCTTGGGCGGAGGGTAGGATCTCTTTGAAGGCACTTCTTGAGAGTACGGATGAGACTGGGTGGGATGACTGCACCACCAACTCCAGTAGATGGGTATTCAATCGCGACTTTCGGGTTGGCAATACATAGGACGCGTTCCATTTGTTTTGCTAGATGACCAAAGGGGGCGCGGCCGTATGCCATTTGGTATAAGATACAGCTCAGGCTCCATACATCACTGGGCTTTCCGATTTTCATCATCTTACCGGCAGAGGATGGAAGACCAATGGTAGCGTTGTAGTCGACGATAGCCTCGGGGGCCATATAATTCGGGGTACCAACTTGATGTTCTCGGTGGACGTTAACGGTGTGATCCTCGATGGTATCGGCAATGCCAAAATCAATTAATTTTAGCTTCCCTTTAACCAAGAGAAAGTTTGCTGGTTTCAAATCGGCGTGGACTATGTCATATTCGTGTACTGCCTGCACGCATTCTAGCATTTCCTTCCAATAAAAGCGTGCAAATGCAGGGTCAAAGACTGAGTCCTCCGCATTTACTTTCAGTCTTATCACAGTGTGAAGGTCGGATTCTCCCATTTCCATGAGGACGCTAAGTGTCTCTTTTTCTTCGTTTATCTCGTAATCAAGTAGCCGTACTACTCGTTCGACCTTCTCCAGCTTTTTGAGCAAATCAATCTCTCCCTTGTATCCTGCAAGGTTCGTTGGGTCGACATGTTCTAGATTTACCCTCTTTAGAGCAAAAATTTTGCAATTTTCTGCCATAACTCTATACACTCGCGAGCTTCCACCCCGACCAATACAGTCTAGCCGAGTATACGCCTTGTGATTGACGGTCACTATTGCTTTCTTGCGTCGAGAGCTCGACGAGGACGCTGCCCCTGCTGCTGCTGTAGCTGTTTCAAGCACAGTCATCTTTGGGGGAGGAGGTGGGGCTCTATGAGGAGTCGGAACATTGGTGCTCATTCTTCCTAGTGGCTTTCTATCGGGATCCTGTGGTGTGGACTTATGTGAATGTCGGTATGGATCTTGTTTAATGGCTGGCTTGTCGACTCTATCAAGCATATCGAAATGTTGGGCTTTGGATTTCTTGAAAGTTGGTGGAGGTTCATTTTCTTGTTCGCGATTTGCAGGAAATTGGGATAGTGGAGGAATATGATATGATTGAATGTCAGCGGGAGGCACTGACTCCTTTGGATTTGACCTTGACATCACACCAAGACCTGGGGTTGGGTATACGGGACTCGAGACACGCGGAGCTTTTGGCTTGCTTTCCCTGTTATACGACTCATCATGGTAAGGAGGTTGATGAGGTGGTGTATGGATTTCCACTGGAGACGGTTGTCGCTGATCCAGTCCGGCAGGCGAGTGTTTTCTGCCTACGGAGTTTTCCAGGGCTGCTAATGAAGGGCTGTGTCCTTGCAGTCTCTCGCCCCTTTCTGCATCTGAATCTCCCGCTTGTTCCTCGTTTTCGAAGCACTGTCGCTCTTCACTGCGTCGAGGTAGCATTCCTCTGCGGGCAGGGCCATTCAAAAATTCACCGGTCAGCTTCCCCACGCGCTTTACCCGGATTGAGCTTTGCATTCCTACAACCTCATCGCTTTTTCTTGGTCTGAACATGCTTCGTGGCCCTGCCCTCTCGCCAGTAACACCAGCATGATCCTTGGATGCATGAGTTCTATGCCTTAGAGGAGAGTGCGATTCGTGTTGACTGTCATCATGTTTGACCTTGTATTCACGATCAGGCGAGGCTCTTGGGGATGGAGTCTGATTGCTTGACCGAGACCGTGATACGCGGACCACGCGCTGTCGGGGAGCTGGGGTAATAAGGTCGCTTCCATCATTTCTGCTAGTACTCGTAGCACTAGAGGCGCCTCCTCGACTTTCGCCTTTTCGCGAAGATGATGAGGATTCGCTACCGCGAGGTGAATCCCCGTCCCATTTCTTGATGGATGGATCCTTTTGTAGTATTGAGGCTCCATTCCTCTTTTCCTGGGGTAGGGAGTCCGTCAGGATAGCGAGAACAGACTTGCTAAAGGCAATGGGTTCTGGAGCCTCGTCATCTGAACTATCGCCAAGCGCGATGGTATCTGCATGCGCCGTGCGAGATTTCGTGTCTGTCCTCGATTGAAGTATGCTTGGGTGCTCTGAATTGTAGTTCCATTGCGATCCTGTCTCGTAGCTTGGGTGGGATGCGACGCGTGAACCGGGAACAAATCTGCGGTGACCCGTCGGCAACGGGGTCGGAGAAGCCATGGCAGTCAGTGTATACGGGATGTTCAATGCATCGATCGATAATTCCTTGCGGTTTCCTGTCTCCTCTGTCTTTGCGTAGAGCCGTCGACGTTGTTCGTCGTGGAGCCTTTTTCGAGGTTTTCCTGGAAGTTGATGTTGAAGGCGCTCACGTGATTGGCGGTAAACGAAGCGTTTCCATAGCAACCGCGCCAAAGTTGCTATCAAAGAGGATACAGTGCGATATAGCAGAACGTATGATATAGATTCACAGTTTACTAGCTTGGGGAGGGCTACAGGTCGCAGGGCGATAGTAGTACACTAGGTAGTTATTTGAATTTTGAAGTTTTTGTATTGCGGGTGCCTTAGAAATGGCTATACAATGCATCCATTCCCTAGGAGGTCTTCCGAATAAAGACAGAAGCAAACGGGCGAATAAAGACAGAGGAAAAGACATGGCGCCTGGAGGGTGAGAAGCAAGAGGAACTCTTGGACAGACGAGCAGGAGTACGACTGAACAAGCACCGCCATCGTTGTGCTCACCGAGTGGTTAGGAGGCTTTGGTGGCCGCCTTCTCTGCACTCATCCGGCGCATGGCGATGACCTTCTCCTTGAGGAGCCGTTCTCGAAGCTCAGTCGAGGTAAGCCGCGATGCAGGACGCTGTGACGGACGCTGTCAAATATCCAGTCAGTAGTCCGAATAGGAAGATAGTATGTTCATGCATATAAAACACAGGGGAAACCGTTGATAACTTTCAGTAAAGAAAAAGGGGGATAAATAATACCAACATATTTATTGACCCACCTCGTCAGTAGCTGGAGGCCTATCCGGTGTGTCATTATCTTTAGCAGCTTTATCTTGAGCGGGTTGAGGGGAACTTCTGGCAGTTTCTCCATCTGAATCAGCTATTCTCTGTCGCTTTTGAGCAGGTGGTGAAGGGGCAGAACTGTTCTTGCGCGACCTGCGTCCAGCTGGGGCATATCTTTCAATAGATTGATACCTCCGTCGGCCACTGCGGCTGCGGCTGCGGCTACGTGAGCTGCTCGTCGATGACCTGCTGCTGGTCGACCGCTGTCTTCGGCGGTATCTTCCGCGGCTTCGACTCCGGCTTCGGGTTCGATGACGGCTGCGGCTGCGGCTACGGCTGCGGCTAAGCCGGCGGTGGTCGTGACTTCTGCGATCTTTAGCAATATCAGCTCTAGGTACATCACGTCTAGACCCTTGTTGGTACAAAGGGGATCTCCTCCGAGGGCGCCGACTTCCCCGATCGCCCTCGCTACTTGACCTCGACGGAGATCGTGATGAAGATGCACGACGGGATCTCGAGGCCCGGTTACTAGCAGGGGGCGGAGAGATAGAGCTTCCGCTTCTAGACCTTCTCCGTCTTCTTCTGGACGGCGAGCGGCTTGGGGACCTGGAGTCGTCATCATGGGTTGGGCTGCGGGCTCGTTTCCAGCCACGGTCACGGTCACGGCCGCCTCCTCTGTAAGGTGAGCGAGAGCTGCTGGTCGAACGCCGCCTCCTTCTTTCTGGAGACCTCCTGTCCCGTCGACGGTCCCGAACTGGCGAGACAGAGCGTGATGGTGACCGAGATGGCGATGGAGAGCTCTGTCTCGACGGGCGGCGACCTCTATGATCGTCTCGTCTATAGCTTCTACCACCGCTGGGAACGTAGATATCCGCTCCCCGGCGAGGAGGTGTATCTCGGTAAACCGGTGGGCTTCGTCTCCTTCGATGAGGCGAGGGAGAATCTCGGCTGTCATACCGATCAGCTCCGCGAGCAGGGCCACCGCGGCCTCTTCTGCCACGGCCACGATCCTCTCTTTCTCGCCGCCGAATTCTCTCCAGGTCTCGTTCTCTGGCCTGCTCGTCTTCTTCCCGGCGGCGTGCTTCTTCCGCGGCAGCCTGCGTCTGTCAGTCAGCTCACATAGATTCCTCGACACGTAGTTAACAAATATCTTAAGAACTATGACGAAAACTAACCTGCTCCTGCATCAACTCAAGCTTCTTCGCCTCCAGCAGCTCTTTGGGGACACCTTGAGGGCTGTCCTGCGCACTGAGGCAGAGGTTCCATAGATCCTTGCAGAACTTCGCCGTATCTTTCTCCAGAAAGCCAGTGAGATTAATCTGTAGATGCTTTATGTTCGGCTACAATGGCACACACACACAGTTAGCCCATCAATCTCGACCCGGCGAGGAGGAGGGGGGGGGGGGGGGGGGGGGGCTGGCTGGTAACGAGCAGCCAAACTGTCTGTCCACGTACAAAGCGCGAGCCCTCGAGGAGGTTGAAGCAGAGCTCGATAACGACGTCGTCCTCGTTCCCCAATATATCAGATATCCGCTCTGCAATCCATCTAGACAAGAGACCTTAGCACACCGTCCCAGACACAAGGATAATAGACGCTGGCTCACTCACTTCTTCATGACCTCGATGTTGACTTTGGTCATGTCCACCTTTTTCGCAAACTCCGGCGGGAATTTGGTCGTCTTCAGCAGTTTGGCGTCCATGGTCGCGGCTCTTGCAGTAGCAGATCCTCAGTAGCCACCGCTGCCGCCGTCGCTGCAACTCCTTTTCGTTTCTGTCGCTGTTTATCTTCGTGGATATCTTTTGCTGCCTTTTTGCGCTCTTCGAAGAACTGCCAATCGAGCCTTCTGAGCATCCGCCTATGGGTGAGAGGCGGAGAAACAAACGGCCGAGATTTCGATCTCCACCCAGATCTGGACCACCCGCAGCCATGGATGTCCTTCGTTCTCCGGACTATCAAATTGCAAAACATCGACAGATCGAAGGATCTGCCTTGTTTCTGGCTGAATCTTCAGGCGAAGACCTTCTTTGCTCGTATCTCCGAGGAACTACTATCTACTATATCCATGGCAATTCCCTTCTTATCAAATAGCCAATGTTCCATGTCTACTCCGTATGCCTGCTAAAATACCCATCGACCAGGCGATGCCTTTTTGAGCACGCCGAGGACACCTTGTCTGGTGCTTGAGCCTCTACAGGCCGTGATATTGCTGTTTGCCGTGCCCATTGCATGTCTTGGACAGCAAAATTCCTAGTCAGGCCTAGTCAGGTCACTCTTCGTCTGGGAAACCCCTGCTACGAGACCGATGGATATAGGCCGAAGGCGCCCAACTTCCTAACGGACATGGGTGTGCTTCGACGCAGAACACCGTACGCCGAATGTACTGCATGATGAATGATACCTCTCAGGGCTTGTCTTCCTCATATACAAGCAACGGTAAATTCGTCGACTCACGCCGCAACAGGACATTCACCACACGCTCTCATGTTCGGTTTCCAGATACGGACACCTTGTCATTACTGCAGAAGATATTACCCGGCAAACAGGACTTCACATGCAGAATTGATGCAGCCGATGCTCTCAAATAGGCAGCCGTGTATATGAAGACTATTTACAACAGAAAACACAAGCCTGTCCTTCTCGCCTGGTGACCTGGTATATCTCAACCTACGTAAGGGATACAAGATTTTCTCAACTGAGTTACTCAGTAGGAGACTATCCTAGCAGCGCGTAGGACCATTTCGCGTTGCGGACTGTATTAGCAATCTAGCCTACCGTCTTGAACTACCACCCACCTAGAAGATATATCCAGTCATCTCTATTGCGTATCTAGAGCCGGCTACGGACCCTACTAAAGATCCTTTTATTCGCTAGCCCAAGAGACCTCCAAGTGTATATAATGACGATGGCGTTAGCGAGTTTGAAATTGAACGTCCGCTGGATCGCCGTTGTCGGCGTATCGGCAGAAACAGGACCCCCTATGCGACTGTCGCTACCAACGTCAATTGCGTCGACTGTCAAGCGTTTTTCCAACAAATGACGACTACTTGTTACATTTATGTCCTGACAAGGCTATTACAACTTGCCGGTCATGCAAACAAGGCTTCACCAGCGCCAATAAGTTATATACCTATTTTAAGGCCGCCAACTGCTCACCCGTCTCAAAGGACGCGAAAACTCTTCTTGCGGAGGCCTTATAGTTAAAGACGCCATTCCTGTCATCACGTCTACTTGCATGGAAGCCAACAAACTATAATAAGGATAGTCATTCCGCCCCTAGCAATACGCAACAGCCTTGGCCTATATTAGGGACCTAATAATAACTCTTACCGTCTATCTCGATACCGGCAGTAGTATCACCTTAATCGACGAGACACTTGTCAAAGATTTAGGTCTTACCGTCAAGGAAGCAGAGCCTGTCAAAATCAACGGCATAGATCACCAGAGCTCGGTAGGATATGTTAAATTTCACTTACATATCCCAGGTGACGGCCCCTTTGTTGTACAAGGTCGAAGCCACCAAAACACGCATCGATATATGGACTCTGGCTGTCCTCCGCGGAATGCATACCGAAGTTTTATCCGCGGTTGCGGCTTGCCAAACCCCTGGGTATATACGAGATGCATGTGTAGTGGCAGCTGGAGATACCAAGAATATAGATTCTGTATAGACTGACAGAGAGCGCACTCAGCAATAGAGCCATATTCAATCCATGTCTCCGTTCTCTTCGTCGTCATATATCTGTGCTTATCTGCAGTTCTTTTTTTCATTTTGTCAGACTAGATTTCCCCAGCCGGCGATTCTTCTCTTCTATCTCAGTCCAGAATGCTCAAACAGGGTCTATACCATCTCCTGGCTCCCCAGTTCTTTGGTATATTGGTCCTAGCGAACGGTCGCGTGTCTATCGATCAGACGGAGGGATATGGCAGTCAGCGAGAGTGTGCTCAGAACTTATGTTTCGAGGGCTCATTCGGTAGCAACCGGATTGACTCCGTTCTAGGCTGTCCTTCTCCTCCTATGGATGACTGTTTCTGTCGCCTGGACTTGCAGGCATCAGCTACATCTTTCTTGTCATCTTGTGTGAACAAACAGTGCGAGAGCAATACCATAGACCTAACCCAGGCTATCAATATCTACACGGGTTACTGTGCCAGTGCCGGATACAAAAGCGGCAGCGCAACTCTATCCTCGCTCGTTCAGACAGACAACGACCGAAGGTATTGTGTCTCTATACCTGAATCTGCATATTCTTCACCTGATCCATTCCAAGCCCCGAATAACTGATTTTTATACTATTAGAAACCCCAACACAGACAAGCACCGTGCCAGCTCGCTCCTCTTCATGGGAGACACCGGTATCCACGGGCACCAGTAAACGGAGCTCTCTGTTCATTACTCCCTCTGCTGAGCCAACGTCGGGATCCAACTCACCCAATAACACAAACCCACCTGAAAAATACGAAGATAAACTACGAGGCGGAGATATTGCAGGCATCGTTGTTGGTATACTCGACTTCATCGCAACAGCTGCCGGGGTGTATTTCTCTTATAGGATGCTTAGAAACAAAACAACAGCGCCGGACAACGTCCCAAGAAATGGCTCCTGTCTATTGAGACATTGCCATGAGCCGATGAACCCAGGTAATGTCAGGTCTTCATGCCATAGTTATAGATAACAAAACCCCGTATTGGAGTTCACTGCGTTTATTTCTATACAAAATAGCGTTAATGCCCGATACGCCCATATCAGCCATATCACCTTCGACAGCTGAATGTATGACTAGATTAATAGAACCAACTTATCAAATCCTCGCCGCAACAGGTATATCCTCAAGCAACCGGCTTCACTGATAACTTTCGGACATCATTAGTAAAAAGTGCTTCCCACGAAGAAATTTCGTGCATCAGGATCGTCCCAGCTTCGCCAACACGGCATCCACGTCCATCCGGGCCTGTTGAAGCGCAGCATCTACTCCGCCATTTTGATAGATGTGATGCTCCTTCATATTTCTATGCAGTTCAATGAGCTCTGTCGCTCTCTGCACGTCCTGGTTCTGAGACCGGCCGTGAGTCTGCTCGGCTTTATGGATGTTGACCAAAGCGAGCGCATCTGCGTGATCCTATATGCACTTGTTAGCATGCGCAGGATAACAAAAGCCACAGATAACCACGTACGCAAGCTCGCAGTGACGCGAGGTCTGAAAGGACGCTGGCAACTTGCATCTGTCGCCTGATTCTGGTATACTATACTGTATTTAGAGTGTTCTGCTCTTTAGTTGTGCTTCTCAATTAAAGTAGCCAACCTCCCTGCACCTCCTAGTGCCGGCGGATCAACTTGTTGCCCGGCGTGTCCGGCGGAAGCCCCATCGAAACTTGGCCTCGGCAATTGGCTCTCCGCAGCTTCAAGGAGTGAACGAGAAGATAATTAGACCAGCCATGGCTTCTATCAGGGCAAACTGCAGGAAGATCGTCTGCATAGGCCGGAATTATGCGTATGTTGCTTTATTTCCCTTTTTTTTTTTTTTTTTTTTTTCTTTTTTGGCCAAACTGCTAACCAACTAATTCCTTTCCAGTGACCACATCGCCGAACTGAACAACTCCAAGCCGAAACAGCCATTCTTCTTCCTCAAGCCTCCTTCGTCTATCCTCATACCAGGCGCCGGCCCCGTCCTTCGGCCCAAGGGCGTCAAACTCCATTATGAAGTTGAGCTAGGCTTGGTCATGGGCTCCAGACTGCGAGACCATGACCCAAAGGATGTCAAAGGCGCTTTAAACTCTATCGCAGGCAAGCTACGACTATATAATGCACCAAACAAGTATGCTGGCACCAGTTACTCACACAGGCTTTCATTTTCCTCAGGCTACGTCGTTGCAATTGATATGACGGCTCGAAATGTGCAGGATTCAGCCAAACGCGCCGGCCTGCCGTGGTCAATCGCAAAGGGCTTCGATACCTTCTCGCCCATCAGCTCACTTATCTCGAAATCAGCCATTCCGGACCCGCATAATGCCACTCTCCATCTTGAAGTTGATGGTGTGTCGAAGCAACTGGATAACACTGGGCTGATGATCTATAAGATACCGCGCCAGCTTGCTGATATCTCACGGGTGATGACCTTGGATCCCGGCGACTTGGTCCTGACCGGTACGCCCAAGGGTGTAGGGGAGGTGACTAACGGTCAGGTCATGACGGCTGGTATTAGAGTTGACGGGAAGGAGATCGAAGAAGGGCGGCTCGAGGTCATGGTCAAGGACCGAGAAGGACGATACGAGTTTGCGGAGAACTAGAGATTTTGTTACTCGCAGCATCTTCTATTTGACGTGAAGGTTTGATCTATTTGTATATATTGTAATTTGTCTCATACTCATCATCTTCAAGAAAAGAATAGGATAGACTACCAGACATATTTCATCCTACGTTCAGCAGCTTGCTAGCAGCTCTCTTCATCTGTTGGCCAAACGACCGAAATCACTCGCCGCCTCTTTTTCTTCCTTCCCTCCGTTGGCTTTACGGCTACCATTTCCGCTTCTTTATCTATACCTTCTTTGTGTCTGTTCAATCGTCCAACCACTTCCTTGAACTTGGTGCATGTCCAACGGTCAAACTCTTCAGGCATTTCTTTGGCAACCAGCCTTCGCAGGAGCGGATCATTTAACCCTTTCCACAGAGCCATGGTTACTTGCTTCTCATCATACCCCAGGGTTATATATGCCGGGCCCAGTTCAAGAAAGTCTGATAGCGCAATCGGCCCCTGCATAATTAACTCAGGAGGGCCCGGATGGGTATCATTGGCCACTGTGTATTCTAGGCGGTCGGTACTTCTTGTGTCAATATCGATATTAACTGCGTTCCTGGGCTCAGCTAGCGGTTTTTCTATTGGGACACCGGGGACTGTTGATAATGGCTGTACATTGTCCTTCCAAACAATGACTGGCTGTGTTTCATGTTGAGGCAGAGGGTTTGGCTCTATCAATGTAGACTGCTCCATTTCAGGATTTAGGCTCGTTTGTTCCTGTAAACCCGGAGGCAATGCCCTCTGCCTCGGTTGCAGGACATCAACCTGGTGCTGCTGCTGTCTTGATTCTATACCGAGTCAGGCATATTCTATATGAGATACCATTGCAGCCAACAACTTACCAGCAACAGCTGCCTTGAAGGCTTCAACAACCTCATCCCTAAACCTTCCAATTTCCTCTCGAACCATCTCACTCGTCATCTCATAGTCTCTAGCGAAAGCGGTGCTCAATCTCTCGTCAATAACACTGAGTTTCTCACTCAACTTATCCTCCACTGACCTCACCATCTTTTCAGCCTCTGCAGCCCCGTCACGTCTCAATTGCTCAACCTCGCTTCTGAGATGATCAATTTGCCCCGTGAACGCGTCTAGTTTAGCCAGAACAGAGTCATTGATTGCCACGATGGAAGACTTCAATAAGGCTTCCAGTTCTATTATCTGGGTGGAGAGTGCGTTCTGTTCACGATGAAGCTGATGGGCCCAGAGGAGGGAGGCTGGGGAAGAGATATTGGGGTTCTTCGGAGATTGCTTTGACTGGGTAATTGGTGCTAGTGAACTCAGCTGTCGGCCTTGAGATGACATTGCTGATGGTATGGGGGCTTGTTGGTGTCTATGGTGAAGCTAATGGAAGTAGAGAGTGTGAATTGTACGTAGATACCTATGAAGCTCTACGTCCTATCCGAGAACCCCAAGACATCAACCACTGTTTTACGTCCTGCAGTGCTAGAAGCCACAAAGAAAAGGTACAGGCATTTCAGTGCGAAATAGATGAAAGAGAAGATAAGTCAACTCCCATTTTTAGCTCTATCTATATCAGAACGCAGAAACATGCAGTATCGACTCGATTGGGCAAAAAGGGGGGAATCAGCAAGCAAAAGAAACCAAGACACCGTAGGATAACCACATAAATCATCATCTTAAGCAATTTCAGGCCCCCTCTTCTCTCCTTTTTTCTTCGGTCTCTTCTGTCATTAGCCAGGAAAACATTTTGTATGGCCTGCAGCTTCATGCCTGGTGCCTTTTGCTCGTGTCGTGAAAAACCCTATTTGCCGGACCAATTAGGGTAGCGCCATGGGTAGGAAAGAAGTAAGAGATGAAGGGAAATAGTAGAGATTCTCCTCGCAGGCCTGTATTCCTCCCAGAAAATTGATCGAGCAGGAATAGCATGTCCATGCAAGGAGAAACAAACTGGAGGAATATCAGATACATAGACAAAAAAAGAAAGGGAAGAAACTGGCATTTTGAAAGGATAACACACAAATGAGACACGGGCGACGCCCTCGAGACAAAGGAGTTGGATCGGCATACATTAACAGACCTATTCCGCCACACCTCTCATATCGAAAGCCTTCGAAAAGGAATCATCAAGCCATGAAGAAAAGATTTTTTGAGAAGCAATGAAACTTTTGTACTGAACAACATGACTGCCAGTAGTACCCGTCATTCAGATTCAAAAGGCCGTCAAGAAACAGTGACATCATTCGTCGGAGATACCATAAGGGAAGGGCATGATTGACTCTAAAGATGAAAGAAAAAAGGAGTTCTGGAAAGGGGTGGATATGCCGAAAGTGAAAAAGAAAAAAAGATGTGATTAGATAAGGTCTAGAAAGGCAATTGTTAGTCTCATTGCTATTTTTGGGTCGCATGGAATTGGGGGGAAATAGCTTACCAGCAACGTTCATGGGCATCTCCTCAATCTGGGTGCTGTAGAACTGCTCGATCTCTCTCATCATGCGGACATCATCAGCGGTGACGAAGTTGATGGCAACACCCTTTCGGCCGAAACGACCACCACGACCAATACGATGGATGTAGTTCTCACGGTTAGCAGGCAGGTCGTAGTTGATAACCAAGGAGACCTGCTGGACGTCGATACCACGGGCAAGGAGATCGGTGGCAATGAGGACACGAGAAGAACCGGAGCGGAACTCCTTCATGATGACATCACGCTGGGCCTGCTCCATGTCTCCGTGCATGGCAGAGACGGTGAAGTCACGAGCCTGGAGCTTGTCGGTAAGCCAGTCGACCTTCCGGCGGGTGTTGCAGAAGATGACGGCCTGGGTGATGGTAACGGTCTCGTAGAGATCAGAGAGGGTGTCGAGCTTCCACTCTTCCTTCTCAACAGCAATGTAGAACTGCTTGATACCTTCGAGGGTAAGTTCGGCCTTCTTGACCAAGATGCGGACGGGGTCACGCATGAACTTGGTGGTGACCTCCAGGACGTCTGGGGGCATGGTAGCCGAGAGAAGGACGACCTGGGTGGACTGAGGCAGGAATTGGAAGATGTCGTAGATTTGCTCGGTGAAACCGCGCTATCACAAGCGTTAGCAACTGAGACAAAGACACATGTGAGCTTAGATAACGAGGGTAACTAACAGAAAGCATCTCGTCGGCCTCGTCGAGGACGAACATCTTGATGTGGTCGGTCTTGAGGACACGGCGCTGGATCATGTCGTGGACACGGCCGGGGGTACCAACGACGACCTGGGGGCCGTCCTGGAGAGCCTTCATGTCCTCACGGACGTTGGTTCCACCGATACAGGCATGGCAGTCGACGTTCATGAAGTCACCGATGGCGACGACGACCTTCTGGATCTGCTGGGCCAACTCACGGGTGGGAGCGAGGATAAGGGCCTGGCAAGCCTTGAGGTTGGTGTCGACCTTCTGCAGGGCCGAGATGGAGAAAGTAGCAGTCTTTCCAGTACCGGACTGGGCCTGGGCAATGACGTCGGAGCCTGGGATGAGGGCGCATTAGCGGACGGCGCACGCACACGGGAAGAGCTATGAAAGCATGGTGGTGGAAAAACGTACCCTTGATGACTGGCATGATAGCACGCTGCTGGATAGCAGACGGGCGCTCGAAACCGTATGCATAGACACCTGGAGGTATCGTGAGTCAGTTTGATGCGGCTCAGTCTCGCTGCCTCGCTCGTCTCCCCTCCCCCGCGCGGGCACGAGTCGGGATTGATTGTCACCACATACCTCGAAGCAACTCGCTGTTGAGGTTCATAGCATCGAACGAATCTGTGACTTCGTCATAGTTGGACTCGATCTGGCCTGTAGTCGCGAGTCAGCAATCGGTAGTCCTTGATGGGTGAAATTTTCACTGCACTGCATTGCACGGCTCCGTTTGCTGGAGGCTCGCCACAGCCCCCTCCCCCGTCGCAACCAGGGCCAATCCAGCAGTGAAACCGCAGTGAGCAGGAAAAAGGAGACATCTCTCGGTCCGTCTTACCATCAGGAATCTCCTCAAGTCCCTTGTCAGCCATGATTGCGGTTATAGGAATAGAATGACCACGACGTGAGAGTCTGTGGTCAAGTTCGGAGGGGTCGAAAAAGGACGACGAGGCGCCGGCGTGGAAGCTGAGTATTAAAATAGAAGACTAGAAACCTGGTGCTCTCTTGAAAGCACCGTCTGGATTTCTAGTAGTGAGTGTCTTCTCTTCTGCTGTCGACAGATAATTACTATCTGTGTTAGTTGTTGCTGGTTGCTGGTGTAGTTGGTTGTTTTGTGTGTGAAAGATGAAGTTGAAGATTTTTTCTGTCGACTTTTTTTTTCTTCTAAAGTCGCTTTTTTTTCTGCGCCAAAGAAAAAAAAAAAAAAAAAAAAAAAAAAAAAAAATTCAACCCACTTCGAACTTTTTTTAAACGCTTTTTTCTTGCTAGTGGGATTTCCAGCCAGTGAAAAGGCGCGACAGGTAGAAGCAGAAAAGCCGCGAGAGAGACAGAAGAAGATGCATGAAGCTGTCCGGCTGCTGGCTTTCTCGGTTTCTATGCATTTAATTGTCGCTTTAGGACTGTGGTAACGGTGCGGTCGGTGGTGGGCTGCCGATTATCTACCTGCATAGCTACGTCTGTGTCAATTGCCAGGTTCGTGGATGGCTTTGGAGACAGCAATCAATAAGCGAGCGAAGACGGCGAAGACAAAAGAAAACAAGGAAAAAGCCAAAGAGTCAGCCTGGAGGTCGTATTAACTGACGGCTAGCTCGGCTGCTGCTGTATAGATGAAGAGTTACACGACGGGATGCGAGCTCGGTGACAGAGCAGAGCAGCCGGTGAGCGAGAAGCCGGAAGACGAAGACGAAGGCGATGGTGGTGATGCGATTCCAGTCCATCCGCTGGGCGTGAAGCCCTCTGGCAACGGACTGGCGGCTACTGGAGACATACGGCCTGCCATGGGCGTGTTTAGCTTGCTGCCGGACGAGCTGGTGCTGACGGTGCTGGAGTCGTTTGATGCCTCGACGCTGAGACGATTGGGGATGACATGTAGGGCTCTCTATGCATTTACCAGGGCAGAGGAGCTCTGGAAGGCTCTTTTCATACAGTAAGTAGTTATCAGTTATTATACTTGGCTGTCTGGTTATGTTTTCTCTGCTAACGTATATCCAGGGCATCGCCGTCAAGCTTCTCATGGCAGGGAGACTGGCACGCAACGTATCTGAACCTGCCGCGGTCAAAGGCCGCCTCGCCAGACTGCTCGCAGCTGTTCTCAGACACGCTGCATCGGCCGTTCCAGTGTGCCCATCTATCCCTGTCCGCTTGCTATGACATACCGTCAAGGAACAAGATACCCTGTCTGGCCAATATGACTCAGGCCGAATTTGACCAGTCATGGGCAGACAAGCCCTTCATCCTTACCGAACCAGTCAAACAGTGGCCGGCCTTCCAGTCATGGTCTGTTGGGCATATACTACATACCCATCCAAATACCCTCTTCCGGGCAGAGGCGGTAGACTGGCCGTTCAGGACATACGTAGACTATATGAACAACAACTCAGACGAGAGCCCGCTGTACCTCTTTGACAAGAACTTTGTCTCCAAGATGGGACTACCTACCGGCCCTGACGAGGCTGTCTTTCAACCACCCTCGTGTTTCGGAACTGACCTGTTCGCTGTCCTGGGCAACCAGCGGCCGGATAAGGAGTGGCTGATCATCGGCCCTGCAAGGAGCGGGAGCACCTTTCACAAGGACCCCAACGCCACAAGCGCATGGAACGCCGTGCTGCGAGGCTCCAAGTACTGGATCATGTTCCCTGGCTCGGCGGCCTTACCGCCTCCTCCAGGCGTCTATGTCTCTGCCGACCAGTCAGAAGTAACCTCCCCTCTCAGCATTGCAGAATGGCTTCTCAACTTCCACGACGAGGCACGGAACACTCCCGGCTGTCTGGAAGGCATATGCGGCGAAGGAGAGGTCCTACATGTGCCCTCGGGCTGGTGGCATCTGGTAGTCAACCTGTCAGAGTCAATAGCCATCACGCAGAACTTTGTGCCTCGCAAACACCTCCGTTCCACCCTGGACTTTATGAAGAATAAAGCAGACCAGGTATCTGGTTTCCGAAAGGATATCGAGGACCCGTATAGCTTGTTTGTCGAGAGAATGCAAGAGGCCCACCCGGAAATCCTCGAGCAAGCCCTGCTTGAGCTGGAGGCCAAGAAGAAGAGAAAGTGGGATGAAGTAGTCAAGGCTGCGAATGATTCTACCGCTGACGATGCGGTTGGAGGTGGAGGATTCAGCTTTGGATTTGGCGACGATAGTGACGCCGAAGTGCCATGAATAGTTCCATCTGTCATGTAACAATATCAACAATAAAAATAAACATAGAGCAACATCATCAACATCAACGCTCATCATCATATATACATCCCCCGAGTTCACTGGGGAACAGCCAAAAATCAATCATTGCGCCCGAGATACCCGCCCAGTGCACATTCAATCAATGACACGAAACCGTCTTGGAGGCGAACGACTCTCCAAACATGAGATGTCCCATAAACGCACCCGCGGCCACGGCCAGCATGATCCAGCCATTATACGTCATAAACAGCAGCCTATCAACTCGTAAGAATTTTCATGCCAAAGTCCAGGAGAGCAAACAAAACGTACATGATGAAGAAGCTGTAAAAGACCTGAGCCGCATACAGGCCTGCACGGGTGACTTTCGCTTTCCGCTCCGCGACGGATCCTCTACCTGTCCGGTCTGAGCAGAGCAGTGAGCTATTTTCGTCTCCTACAGCTGTACCGTAGAGCCTGTGTGGTATCGTTGACGCTGACGCTGCCGCTGGCACTGGCACTGGCATTGGCACTGGCTGCGTACAGCCGGCGTCTTCCATGAGAGTGAATTGTCAAACCGGCCGTTCATGAGACGACGCAGATAAACAAAGGCAGGACTGTGATAATTAAAGGATAATAATAAAAAAAAGGTCAGGTACATACTGGATGGCAGGTCCCTTTGACCCAGCGTCGCCAGCTCGTACTGCCGGGTAAAGTCTCGCAGGGCCTCGTAGCCGGCGACCAGCAGGACGACGGCCGCCAGCGAGAGCAGCAGCGAAAACAGCCCGGTGACTCTCCACTGGGGAAAGACGATGCACAGGTTTTTGGTCGAGAAGGTGAACAGCATCTAGCAGCCGTTAGTGAGGGTCTTATATAGATGAAGTACGTAGTGGTAGTGTAACGAATAGTAGACTGACATTCATGCTGCACTCGCCCATGTCCATATCTCCATGCTTATGGTGGTCCATCGTGCAACGCTTTATCTCTATCTCCTTCGGCAAAATATAGAATATCAAAATATCAAAATATACAGAAGATGCAGAAGATGTCGAAGATGCCGGCGATGCTGCGCTTCTTCTGCTTTTCTGCCTCTCATGCCGGCGTCGCAGTGCAAACAGTGCAAACACAGCCTTATCTGCTCTTATCTTCTCACCTGCGTCAAAAAGAACACGAACAAAGCTGCAACAACGCCAGCGCCGTCTGTGTACAACTCAAGATCACCGCCAGCACCGCCAGATCACCAGCCGTAAGTGCCTGTCCTTGACCGCGATGGCCTCAGAAGCTCCCGCCGCGCCCGCCAACGCAACCTCCACGGCCAACGAGTCGTCCTCGGCCGCTGCGCCCACGGCGTCCGGCGCTGCTGACCAGCAAGCTCCTGCGCGCGGCATCCCTTACTACGAGAAGCTAAGGCGTGAGCTGCGAGATACCCTGCAGAAGAAGCGCCTGATGGACAAGAACCTGGTACTTACACCTCCTCAAACACAAGATTTATTGTTTCTTTTGGCTTCGCACCGGTGACTGACTCCATATCTCTACCCGACAGGCCGCCCTGGAAGAGTCGATATACCGCTTCGAACAGTCCTACCTCGAGGAGACGGGCGCAGGCAACATCATCAAGGGCTTCGACAACTATATCAAGGGCGCGTCGAGCCTCTCGAGCATGGGAGGCAGCGGGATCGGTGGCTCGTTTGGCTCGGGCAACGGGCCCACGACCAGGCGGAAGGGTCAGGTGGCTGACTCCGACAGGGTGTTCTCCCGCAGCTCGACCAGCTTCATGAGGGTGTGTTGATCGCCGGTTTTTTTTTCTTCTTCTTTTATATAAGTCTTTTGCTGACTTGTGTCTAGGACTCCCCGGCTCCCTCGAGTGCTCATACGACTCCCTCGCATGCCCAGACGCCTACATCGACTGCTCCGGGCATCAAGAGCGAGGGTAAAGAGGGCTCTGCCGCTGCAGCAGGTGGTAACAAGACGGCTGCAAATAAGAAGAGTAATAGAAAGTCTCTGGGTGATGCGTCATCGGCACGTCGGGATAGAGAGACCGGCGACGAGGGTGATAGCAAGCAGCCTCTCAAGAGGTTGAAGATCACGTACGTTAGAGGAGAGTGACCCTTGTCCTTTTCATTTTCCTTTCTACCATTTGTAAATTACTTAGTATGGATGGTTCATGGCCGGTGTTTTGGGGTTTACGGTGGGAAAAGCGTTATATACCTTGGGGCTGCGGGTGCTCTCGTCTCCTTTTTTTGCTTAACAAGTTAAACTACACATTTGGATAGAAGTGTCATGCATAATAGGATCAATTTCGTTGCATAGATTTGACCACGCACTATCTGCCTAGCTAACTAACTAGTTGCTTATCTAGTTACGGTGTAAAAAACTCTGGATCATCATTAAGTGGACATGGGGTAACTAGAACTTGTGAAAAATGAGTGTGAAAAAGAAAAACTCACCACAGTACATTACAGCTGAAGTCTGTACGTTGCAACTTCAAAGGCTCTAAGCACAATGTTCACACGCCGGGGTCCAGATCCCTCGATCGGCAGCTCTTCCAGATCATCTTCGAGAAGGTTACACTTGAACACCTTCTGCACCTTGAGATCTGTCTCTAAAACACCCGTGCTGCGTCCTCCCATCGAGTCGAAGATACGCACAATCACACTCTTGCCTTTACGGCGTGGCAGGTTGTCGTTAGAAACATCCTCGTCGTCTTGACCACGCTTCACAGTGTCCAGGACAAGTGCTGGCGTAGCATCGACCAGTCTCACGGCCTGGAAGTCTTGCAACGTCTCAGGTCCACATGCCGATTCAATGGCCAGCGGATGGTTAAAGTTGTACCCTGCTCTGACGGTGCGGTAGTCAAGTGGACCAGAGTGTGGCAGGATAGCGTACCGGATGCGGTGATGGCCAATGTCTGCGGTGTCGTCTGGTGCTTTCGAGGCACGGATGAGGGAGAGCCTCATCAGGTTGCCTGCGGTTGCAAAACCGTACTTGGAGTCATTCAGGATAGACACTCCGTATCCGCTCTCGGACAGATCAGCCCATTTGTGGCAGCATACCTCAAACTTGGCCATGTCCCAGCTAAAAAAATACGTTCGATTGTTAGCATTATACCCTGTCTTTGCAGTTCAATTTCAAAAGAGGAGTGTACTTACGTGGTGTTGTAGTGGGTTGGACGTCTGGTGATGCCAAATTGGCTCTCATACGATGCCTCGGTGTTGCGAATGTCAACAGGGAACTCGACCTTGAGGAACTTCATCGTCTCTTGCCATTCAACCTCGCAGTCCATCTCAACCATAGGCATGCTGTCTTTGGTCTCGGCAGAAAGGCTGATGGTGGTCTTCGCCCAGCTCTTGTCACTGATCTTGGTCTGAGTCACAACGCTGACTCGGTACGGAGACTGTTCTGCAATCTTGGTCTCCGTGGAGGTCAATTCCTTGCGTGAGTCGAGGTGGTAGACCTCGACATCCCAGGCTTGCCAGTAGAGTGGCTTGTCGTCAAAGATGACAAATTGGTTGGCTTTCCCTCCCTTTGCAATCACTTCGCGCTTTGCCTTCACATCAAACAGGGAGGTGATCACCCCCTTCTCGACCTTGAGCACTAGGCTGTCATTGCGTAGCTCGAAAACTCCGGTTTCTATTTCCTTCACATAAAGCGAAGCAGACTGAGTAGAGCTCAATGGCTCGACCTTCATCACTCCGGTGCCACCGCTCACGAGAGCATACTGTGAAGAGCTGGATGAAGCGCCTGGGTTCTCCATCCTGACAATCTCAGAGCGAGGCCAGGGAAGGGTGTTCAACGCAACAAGTTTACCGTCTGATCCAGACTCCTTGTTCTCGAAACCAAGCGCCTTCATGGCCTCATTTCTAACCTTTGCGCCAATCCTGAACACTTCCGCATAGAAAGCATCAGACTCATCATAGCACAGTCTGATTGCGCTACCGGGAAGACAGTCATGGAACTGGCAAAGCAAAACTGGCTCCCACATGTTGTCAATTTCCTTCTTGGGGTATTTGTACGAGGAGCTCCTGAGGGAGGCTAGAGTGGCAAGAAGTTCAACCTCACGGAGGAGGAATTCTCCCTTGCGGTTGTTCCTCTTATTATTGGATTGGGTGGTATAGGTTCCTCGGTGGAGTTCAAAGTACAGCTCTCCATACCAGGTTACAAACTTGGTTCCCCCCACAGCCTTCTTCTCAAGCGTTGCAAAGAAGTCGTCGACCGAGCCTCCAATGGTGACACGGGGCAGCAGTCCAACAGTGTCACTCATGCCTCTCTGTCGACGTAGCTTTTCGATATGCTCGAACGTGGGCCCACCACCGCCATCACCCTTTCCGAAGACAAGAAGAGAGGTGTTGTCCTGGTCCATGGACTTGTGCTGGGTGATACTGCGCTTAACATCACCGAAATGAGCTTCGGCAGTATATGTTTCTGACGGAGGCATATGGCAGATGACCTGGCTGCCATCAAGGGCAACCCAGTTAAAGGTCGTGTGAGGGAAGTTGTTGATATTGTTCCAGCTGAGTTTCTGAGTAAAGAAACGGGTCATCCCAGCCAGGCGGCAGAGCTGAGGAATCTGAGAAGAGTATCCGAACGTGTCAGGCAACCAGAATGTGGTGCATCGGTTACCGAAACGGCTCTCGAAGTATCTCTGGCCGTACAAGAACTGACGAACCAAAGACTCACCGCTAGGCAGGTTGGTATCATGCTCAACCCAGCTGCCACCAATGGGCTGGAAAGATCCCTTTTTCACCCAGGTCTTGACTCGGTCGAAGGCATAGGGGTATCCTTCTTCAAGCCACTTGAACTGTTGTGCCGAAGAGCAGGTAAAGCGGAATTCCGGATATCGCTCCATCAAGTCGCACTGGGTCGACCAGGACCGAGCTACTTTTCGCTTTGTTTCAGCAAACGGCCATAGCCAGCAGGTATCAATGTGGCAGTGGCCTGTTGCAAAGACAATGGGCTCGCCTTTGGTCTTGTAGACATCAGGAGAGTCGACTTTCGTTCCAATGTACTCCTGGGCAATCTTGCGTGCCTTGATGATAGACTCCTGGCTGCCATTGCCCTCGATAAAGGCATCCATCATGGCATTGCCAACGATCAAGGCCTTGTGAGCCTGCCAGGAATCCGAAGGGAACTCTCTAGCAGCATCTATGACCATGTCAGCTATGCCTTAACTTTTGATCCTGCGCTGCTTGACTAGTTACTAACCTCCAATCTGCCAGAAGTCATAGTTCAAAGCTCGTGCCTGGAGGTTGACAGCTACAATCTTGGCCGAGTCAAGCCTGTAGTACTTGTTTGTGCTGGGAGACTTGATGAGATCGCCGTCTGAGTTGCCAAAGAGGCCATTGCAGGCCATCTCAATGTAGAAGATGTGCGGCGCACCGTCTCTAAAGTCCTTGGGGATAATCCACTCGGTTCTGTCGCCTCCAGAGAGACCTTGCAACGGCCGGCCATCCTCAGTCCAGACCATCCCTTCGTTGCCGGCATTCCAATGGAACTCAAGGTGGTCATATTTCCTCATGTCCTCGGGAACTGTAAGCTGAATCTTGAACCAGTGAGTCGACCAGCTGGGCCCAAACGACTCTCCTCTGTGAGTAGGCTTGAACTCGTTCTTGACGGCATCCTTGAACGATGGTCTCGCAAGGTTTGGCACAGAGTAGACCCAAAGCTTCACGTATTTCTCATCGTCGTTGAGGGCGTAGAAGAACTTGCTGTATCCCCGCACCAGCTGTTAGCTATGTAAACAACGGCAGCATCATACATCTGACGACGATGTATCTGGAGCTTAAGAGATGGCACGCGAGCTCACTCTAGCAGATTATGGCCCTGGTACTGGCCCGTAGCCGTGAACTGGCGTAGACGGTCCTTGTAGATGGACGTGATATGCTGGCCCACGGGCTGTTCAGCAAGCACAGGGTAGATTGGAGCCTGTTTGGGAGCTGTCGCGCCCATGGTTTCTTGCTTCGCCAGCTCTGGTATACACACACACAAGATAGACACTGACTGTTCACTGTCCACGGCGCGGTACTTGGTGGATGTTGCGTGTTCTCTACAGCAGCTCGGGGGGTGAAGACGGCGAGCTGTCTTTATAGTTGGTGATCTGCAGCGTCCCGTTGCCCGGCTCCTCCTGTTGCTCTAACTGACTAGTCAACTAGCCTACCCCGCAGGTTTCTCCACGGGATGCGCAAGCCATAAGCAAGGATGGGCATCTGGGACGGCGAGACTACGACAGCAACAGACATCGGCTTGACCACAGTTGGTGATGGATGCGGCCTGACAGCCAGAGAGACGCTGGGATTCACAGTGAGTTGACAGGTGAGCTGCTGCATAGTTAGATGCTGGAGCTACTCGCTGACGAGTAACTATATAGATGTTTTGCCGACGCTAGTTAACTATGGCCGGATGGATGGCTGCGGTAGCCGACTCGAGGGTTACCGTGGGACAAGTAACAACACAAACTTGTCACCATCCATGAAGCCGCAGTCTCTGATCCGCTAGAGAGGCTTCGAGGAACAGTCCACTGATTGCTTAGTCCAGGGACCAGAGCGGTCGAGAGCCTGGTTGGGCCGGGTTCCTTGCCGCGTCGCCTGATCCTGTGGTGGTCATGCACCGAACCATTTGAATGCCAACCGGAGTACACATCCTCGTTGACAACCTAACCAGTTAGCTACATGGATAAAGTACGAGGCTCGAAGTCTCCTGACTCGGCATAAACTGCATGTACCTAGTGGATATCTTCTGACTCTCATGGTTGTGCATGTAAAGCTGTGGTTTGATTACTTGTGACATCAAAAGATGCTCCGGGACGGCCCCTGTTGATCGTAAGACGACAGGAATCACAGCGTAACCCAAGTCATAAAACTGCTATCATTAGTTAACTAACTCGTCCTAGAACATACGCAAAAGGCAGATCAGAACTCCCATGACAAAATCATCAGATACCCAAACATTAACATTACATCTTCCTTACAACCAATGAGGAGTCGGGCCAACCATCACAATCTTACTCTTCAACTCTTCCTTTCTTCTTTGCTCAGCCAGCTTGTTCGAGCTAGAAGCAAATGCTTCCCTAGAAAACTCAACAGTCGACCGCCATGCGTTGCCATTCCTTCCCAGCCCAAACCACTCTTCTCGCCTGTTACCTTCCCCAGGGCATGGTGGTGCAGTTCGGGGGGTGTTCAAAGATTGGATCTGTGGCTCGCTGGCATGTCGTCTTATGACCTTTGGAATTAGCTTGTTGAGATAGAACAGGCTAGACTTCTTTTTCTTCGGCTTGTTTTTTGACAATGCTTTGACTCCGTATAGCTGGTAGTCACTCGGAGGAATGGCAAGCTGCTTTGGCCTACGACCATTCTCTCCGGTCGGCGGTAAGGGGGGAGACCGAAAAAGGCCAAATCCACCCGTCTCTTTTCTGCTGCTTGATTCGGTGATTTCGTTGATCATGGAGGTGCTGGCACATGTCGTGAACGAGTATAACTGGGTGCGGTTCTGTGGCTTTTGCTTTGTCTTTGGGGAGCACTGTTCATCATCAACATGCTCCACACTCACTTCGGGAACGTCGGGTATGGAATGCTGTTGGATAAGCTCAATATATGAGGATGCGTCAGGGAGGTCACTAGCCTGAATGCCTCTATGATACGAGCTCGACTTTGACGTCCGTTGGTTCAACAATATTCTGCTGTGTCGTGGATGGGGCAAGTGGCAGAAGCACAGGGCTGAGTTACCCTCAGACCTCGGAGATTCAACCACCATCTGGTCATTCTCTCCCTTGCTGACTTGTTCGTCAATACCCTTGGCTCTTATTCTGAGACTTTCAGTACCCCGTCTAGGCATATCCGAAGAAGAACCCCTTTTCGGAATTTCCCTATCATCATGCGACCTCCTGCCCTCAAGTCTTGTTGAAGCCCTCACCAATCCTCCATTCCACGTCTGGAATATCGGATCCGTCGAATGGCGTGCGCGTTTCGCGGGGCTGGAAAGATGGTCTCTGTCTTGTCTCCTCCATCCGGGTGAACGAGGAACCGGTGATCGCTGTCTATAAAGCAACCGCAGCTCATCCACGGAGTGAGCATGGGCGGGACCCGAGTGTTTTGTATATATTGCACTCTCACGGTGTCTATCATTCGGACGCTGGTATCTGGCGCTGCTGAGGTACTGCTCGTCTGCAGAGGAAGAGCCGGAACTTCTCTTTGGCGGACTAGGGAGTGGTTTGTCAAGCTTCCATCTCGGTATGTATATCTTAGGCGAGTTGGGTTCCGGGGGGATAACCTGCTCCAATCCTTCCAGGGAGGACGAAGGCAGAAGAGGATGCATGTACGGTGCCCGGTGTGCTATTATCATCGTCATCTTGGTTGGTAGGCTTTGGTGTTGCAGGGAATATCAGAAGGAAGGGGAAGCAAAGGGAACAACCCTAGTCCAGGGCAATGAGGGCCGGTAATATACCAGATATGTCTCGTTGTTTGTACTGTCGATCTAACCCTGCATGCGTGCTAATCATTATCAACTGGTTGATTGTAGGGGAATTCAAACATCAAAGCCCATGGTGAAAGAGGCACAGGGCATCTTCAATGATACAAGGATACAAAGGATAATTGGCACATTTTCCAAGGCCATTGCCGTATCCGGCTTGCGTCACGCATATATAATTGTCATTGGGACTCTCGCATGATATATCCAACGCTTACTATGCGTGCTGTGTTGCTACCGGGGAGACTGTGGAGCTGGTGTCCTGTCGTCAATGATCCTGGAGGCATATAAAAACCAGCAGCTAGCTAGCGAGTTAGTGGTAACATACATGCGGCGTTACCCGGGCAAATCAAAGCTAAATATGCAGCCTGCAGGCTAAAATTCTTCGTTCGACTTCTAGTGTTTGAAATGGGCGAGAAGTAATATAACTAAAGATAGGGCCAAACAAAGGAAACCTATCCTGATCTACAGACACAAAGGGTAATCCATAACTAATTTATCGGCGCATGAACCCGTCCGCAGGAATTTAGCGTGGAATAGATAAACAAAAAAGCCTCATCTTCTTGAACTCCTTCCACCCCCCCAGAAAAAAAGTAAATAAAAGTCATCATCATGATTCCAATGCAGTGAATGGAGCGAGTGGGTAGGGCTGTGTCATGTTAGTTTTGCGGCCTTCTCAAATATCTCCGGCGTTAGGGTATCTTCGCGATCAACAACTTCGCTAAATCGCCCGAGGGACCTCAACCTAGATATCATATCTTCGTCCCCAAGGTGGCTGTTATGTTCAAACTCCGGCTCTTCATCGTATGCAACTCTTGCGGCATCAACCAGGATCCGGGCCGTCATGCCGAACACTCGAAAGCGCTCAAGACCTAACGACGATTTCTCCTCTTCTAACTGGTTAATGGCATCATCTTGCTCTTTGCTATGCTTCTTGGGTGTAGCAACTCTCTGATTCGTTGTAGCAACGAAAAAATGGTGCACTAATCCAGTCAGCAGTGAACACACTATGGATCCAACCTATAACTGAAGGATAGAAAAGAAAAAAACATAGACCTACTTCTCCACTGGGTTGAATTCCATTGTGTCCATGATCCCTCGTACCAATCACTTGGTTTCCCGGGGAGGGCATCGTCTCCCTCTCCCCGGGGCTCATCAGTCACTTTCAAGAAGTTATGGAACGGGGCAGTGAAAACAGCCGCCACTTCTTTGGCGTCTAGTTGGGGTATAAATGCTTCTTCGGGATCGGCGTCTTCACCTGTCTTTTCGTTGTAAGAGTGCAAGAGCGCAATACATGGGCGGACAGCAAGTTCTGTCCGGGCCAAACTGGCCGGTAGTTCACACAGATGCTCAACCCAGAAAGGCGACGGCATCTGCTGGTCTATGTTTGGTAGACCAATCTCCTCGTACGCTTCACGCCGGGCTGTTTGGAAAGGAGTCTCACTTGGGCCATCCGCTTTTCCGCCGGGCAAAGCCGCTTGCCCAGGATCTAAAGCAGTTGTTAGTTGTTATGTTGACATGATTGCTCTAGCGTTGGGTGTGAAGTGGAATATACATGATTTGAGCGTGCTTGCACGAATGGTCAAAATGACCCGAAGATCTCCTCTCCGATCAGCAAAGAGAAGTAATAATACTGAAGCCTGCCTTGTAGAGGGCATGGAGTAGTAGTTCGTTGGGGGCGGAGTGTATCTCCTCAGCCGCTCAATGGCATTCTACCGTCCCAACAGTTAGAGGAATGATGTTTCACTACTCAGCCATTCTGGAACGATATGATAGCGATCGACTGCATGAGACAATGCATCTGTCCATTCATGCAGGTCGCAGGGTGTCCTTTTGTATGTCCATGCAGGAGTGCTATATTTACTGACCTTGGATTCCTGGGATAGCGGCGCCATCTTTCCTTTCACCGTTGAAGATCCTGCGGCGCACGAAAATGGCCGAATATGAGAGATGCTACTATGGCAACGGGCTAGATCTAGGGGGACAGACCGGAGACTCTGCCTCATATCTCTCCTGTGAGACGTGATGCTCGATATAATGCACCTGGCCAGCCTCATGTAGTTAAAAATCAGGCAGGTCGTGTTGGGTTTGCCGCATCTCAACATCTCGACGGCTGAAGTTGTGCCGAGGTCGGAGTTGGGCGCAGCAGACACGATCAGCCACCAAATAGCCGTCTACCAGGATATTCATTGAGCCAAATAGTTACATAAATTTTGTAGAATAACACATTAATGGTATCAAGTAGGCACTTTTTTCGTCCATGATCTAGCTAGTTATAATGATATTTCACCCCAGTGATTGACCAAAGCAACCATTTTCTATAACTACAAGCCTTCCTCACCCCGGTCTAAACCAAAACATATCAAAATAAGAAGATGAGAGAACAAAGGAAAAGGTTGGGAGGTATGAAAAAGCAGTGAATCGGGGACATGATGCAGAGTAGCGTTAGCTCATCTCACCAGGGTGGAACCCTTTATCAAGGGGAGGGAATGACAGGAGAATGCGAGATTTGGATAAGATAATTACAAAATAAGGGGATAAACAAATACACTTGTTAGAATTTAAGAAGGAAATGAACGTCGGACTTGGGAGCGTGTCGACCATTTACTGCTTCTTTTCTTCAGCCTGATCCTGCTTGGTAGACTCTTTTTCGGCTGCGTTATCATTCTCCGTCTTTTCAGGCTGAGAAGTAGACTCGGCTCCAGAGGATGCATCCATGTGCTTATCCTCTTTCTCATCGATATCCTCATGGTCCTTGGGTGCCGGCATGCCCGTATTGCCGTTCTCAGTGATCTGTTCGTTCTCTTCCTCGATAAGCTCCTGCTGTTCCTTCACGACCTCGAGACGCTGTCTGTTCGTAGCGGCTCCCTCAGCGTTATGGACCTCGAGCTCGATCTCATGGAACAGCTCCTCGGGGATACTAGAAAGTACAGATCGGAGAGCATCCATCTGAGAGGAGATTTCATACTCTTGCGAGTGCTGGGTATACATGTATGCGTTGCTTAGAACGAGCAAGGTAGATGGGACACCCTGCTTCAGACGTAGGTCAAGCCACATGGACAAGTCATCCCGGAGCCTAGCAGGGGAAAGACCATGGGTTCGGAGACCGCGAGACGCACACGCCATCTGAAGCTCGGGGATAAGCAACGAGTCAACTCCCTCGTATGCAATGGCCCTATCATCGCGCTTGATCTGGCGCATTCTGACACGGATGGTATATCGGAGCATAGCATCAGTGCCGAAAGTGTTGAGATTCATGTACTTGCACATCGCGACCAGTTGCGGCCGCGACAAGTTGTCCAGGGTCAGATCATCCTTGAAGATTTTGCAGACGGCTATAACATCTTCATCCGACGGGGTTTCGCCGGTTGCTCGGACTTTTCGGAAGAATTCAGTGAATTCTTCCTTCTTAGCGTTCATCGGGCTTAAGGGAAGGCCGGTCTCTCGCAGCGTTCCCTGTAGGAAATTAGAGACTTCCTTGCGTGTGCCTCGGAGAATAGCGGCCTTGTCGTCCTTGGACTTTTGGCCCTCATAGGTGCTTGGTAAAAGGTTGGGGAAGAGTTTGAGAGCCACAGGGAGAAGCAATTCAGCAAATGGAATGATAACAAAGGCAGAGAAAGGAACAAGCCGGGCCAGATCTCGGACGGTTCTTTTCAACTAAACCAACCAGTCAGTAGAGAGCCGGAGATGAAGGTGTGTAGTATAACATACCTGTCTGTTCTCTCTTCTACTCAGTTCGTAACCCGCAGCCATCTTCAGCGCAAGTTTGGAACTAATCTTCACCTCTGCAGCCAGAAGTTTCGTCCCGTCCCAGTAATGCTGAATCTCCTTCTTGATCTTCTGTCCGATAGTCAACTTCTTAGGCTCCTTCTTCTCCTCTACCTGGCCTTTCTCCGCTGCCTCCGACACAGCAACATCGTGTATCCTCCTCTCCAGCTCCTTAGACTCGAGTTCTATGCTATCCAGCTGTCTCAAGATCGAACTGGAGGTAGGCGGCTCCTTTGACGAAGTAGCCCGCGACTGAGTCTCCTTTGTAAGCGGCTGTTTGGCCTTCTCGACATCGAATCCAGGTGGTGGGAAGTTGTTCGGGTTGTTGGATCCTTGCGATGTGGATGGGCCGGTTGAGTAGCCACGCCGGAGTTGCGCAAGCTCAAGGCCGACCGATGGCCGAGATGGATGAAAAGATTGAGTCCGGAAAGCGGAGTGAGAGTATCTGGCGATGCTGAGGCGTCCAGCATCTGCTGCGATTGTTAGATCAGAGATCAAAAGGGGGGCCGGAGGACAGAGGAGTATGATGGGTGTGTTTGCATACCGCTCTGCATCAGCCTCCTTAGAAGTAATCCATTCTGGCTAAGGTTCCGCACAGCCATGTATGCGTTGAGTATGGGGAAATCCTGGACAACCGCTCAAAATGATAGAAGACAGGCCAAAAATATGAAGTATTCGCTTTCTGTTAGATGAAGTTTCTAGTGCTTCTGGATGTCTGACGCTTCTTCAGCTTATGGTCGGGGCAAAAAGTCCCCCAGTGATTAATCCTCCGGCCGATGTCAGAAATGCTACGGACAAAATATTTCGCCGGCGCCACCAAAAAATTGCCCCTGGAACGTGGATTCATGGACGGCTGAAGGCATCTTAACGTTATTTAGGTACGAAAGGGTTGAATTTTACAGAGACAGCGACCAGTGATAGAAGGGGGCGTAAGGAGTGATTTTTCGCTGTGGTGGGTAGTATTAGGATTAGATGTGCGGACAAAAAATTAGTCATGATCCAAGAGGACATCAACGATCAACAGGGGGGTATATATGTACATCCTAGGACTCTGCAAACATAGTAGAGGCATCACTAACAAAAGGAAGCAGGACATAAGATGAAATCGTCGACAGGGGAGGGAGTACAAAAATAACAACGCATGTTAAAAAGAACGCTAGACAGAGGCATCCTTGGGTCGTCTATTTGTAGTATTATGAGAGGCAGGTTCATCGACCAAGGCGCCGGTAGAGGCGGCTTTGGAATTTGCGTTGAGATCAAGATTGGTGATGAGTTGGCTTGGTTCGACATAGGGCTGCTTGGGGGTTGTCATGACCACGCCGGTGAGAGAGGCAGCCTTTATTCCATCAGGATCCTGGGGGTCAGCCACGGCCGTGAGAGCTTCAGGAGACATCTGCCACTTGGCCACGTCTCTCTTCAATTGCTCGAGCTCCTTCTGGAACCGCTTTCCGAACACGTCGATGTAGAATGTGGCTCCGTTGTAGATACTCCAGATGAACATGATAGTTAAGAAGGCACTGCTTGCCCACTGGTACCAGAACCAGAGCGGACAGGGGACAATCGTGAGGATGGCGTATATATACTGGATCATCATGAAGGCCGGTTCTTGCAGTGGCAGGGAGAGATGAAGCACGAATTTGCCGATCCACGTTTTAGCATAGGATCGACGCAGCCAGGTGAAACTAGTTGGGCGGCCGGCAGCAATCTTATCTCTCTGGCGCACAGTGATGAAAAAGTGGTAGCTCAGCTGCCAGATGGCGTAGGGAACAGACGCCCAGATCATCATGGCTCCCAGTGTGTAGTGTTCGGGAGAGCCCGGGGCGCTAAACTTGATCCGATACACCGCCGGGAATCTTGTTTCTAGTATCTCTGGGGGTGTAAGATGCACTAGACAGTGCAGGGTCACCGGCGGCATAATATGGATGAACAAGCTGCAGTTACAGTTAGAAAAGACGGCCCAGTTAGGTATAAAGAATGAACTAACTTACCTGACAACTTTGTCTATGCTGTGAAAAACCATCGAGTTTCTCCACATGGCAATAGCCACGGCGTTATTTCCGTATGCCAGACACCACGTACTCAAAAAGAGCCGTTTGGAGTTGGGGAACACCCACATGCTAAGGATGGTGAGGAGGTTGACAAAGTAACACAGATCAGCAAGGAAGTAATGGTAACCGATCTTGCAGTATCTATAGTATCGTTGGGGCATAAAGTAGATAAGCTGGCCGGTGAACCAGAGGTAAAAGTAGGTAGGGAACGCTCCGAGCAGGTAGCCACTGATGAATACGTTGAGCACACCAGCAATAAACGAAATCTTTTCTATAGCAGTGACAGTGACGGTATCGTTCCAGCGGATAGCAAGTCGTTCGACCGAGCTCTTCATCCGCTTTCGGTATTTCTGCAGCTGCTCTTCCGAAGAAGGCATTCTCTTTCTGAATTCACCCACGACTCTCTGGCGAGCCTGCTGGCTGGTTGATTTAAACTTCTCCTGATGACGCTTGACCCTCTCCTTCTGCGCGTTGAGCGAGGCCTGCCACTTCTCCAGCTTCTGTGATATGGCCAGGTTGCCGAGCAAGTCGAGCACGGTCACTCTCTCGACTGGTGTAAGCGGCTCCCAGTCCTCTTGATAGGAGCTGCTCCCCTCTGACGAGATGCGAGAGAGTGGACTGAGTGCCAGGGGGCTCCGTCCACCCTCTGGAGTTGTAGCCGGAGGCTCCTCCTGCGCAACAACAACTGTCTCGACATTGCTCGAAATAGGAGCGGACTGTGACTGCGGTAGGTTGACGGGCTCTGACTTGACCCGCTGTAGGTCGGGACGCTCCATGGCGGCGGTCTGCGTTGTCACGAAGAGTTCGCGTCTGAAAAAGCTATTCTCTGTATTTATTGTACCGGAGAGGAAGAAGCTATGGTGTGGAAAGGAGGAAAAGGGCCCAGCCCGTTCGGAGCTATGCTGGTCTCTGGGAGGTGCTGCCTAGATTCTGGCCATGGGTGTCTCGAGTCAGCTTGGGGGAAATCGATCTGGAACACGGCCACTCTAGCAAAGTCCCAAACGAGATAAGCAAGGAGGAAAAAGAAAAGCTGGGCAAAAGCAACGATCTCGTTGGCAGCATAAAGGCAACCGAAGAAAAGGAGACGAGAAGCAGGAAGAGGAGAGGAAACACTTACCCACAGCGCGCGGGCGGTCATTTATGTGCTGTATATATACAGGTCCAGGCGGTCATGCAAAGGACAGGCTCCCTCCGACTTCTCCACGCCCACGCCAACGGACGCCCTCGTGCTGCAGGTGGCGATCGAGCCCTTTCCAGCAGCGCGCAGAAGCAAGCTCGGTCCTGTCCTGTCTTGCCTGGTCTCGCTGCGCTGCCGCTCTACCGTTCGGCTCTTTGTGCGTGGACGAGGAGGAGGAGGAGGAGGAGAGATCCCATGATGCTGGCGATGGGAGGCAGCCTCAAAAAGAAACGACGGTTGGGGAGTCGACGGCGAGCCAGCTGCTTACCGGAACGGGACTGTGTGCACGGACACGCGCGCGTGGTTGGTCGCTGGGCGGCAGCGCAGTTCTAGAAGAGGCTTAGTCAGAAGATTAGTCAGTGGCTTCTGAGGTAAGGCCTCGACAAAAGGGGGCTAACGCCGAAAAGTAAGGTTTCGATGGTACTCACGTGATATAAAAGATTAGGTAAATTGAAGTTAACTGGAGAAGCGCTTCCTCTGTTTGACAACGTCGCCCTCGTAGGCAGATTAATCTACATAGCTCTATTTCCATCGCCTTCCTGAGCTGTCCATATACTTATCTTCTCATAATCATTTCCGTGTGTAGTATGATAGTGTTTGGGTCACAATCATCCGAGCTGAAAAACACGGCATAGAAGTTGTCCTCAACTTTTCCCGTGCTCTTGACTATAACTGGCACCTTTGCTCTGTTTAGCTGTTCCGTTCTCCAGCACTCTGAGACTTTTCATGCGGAATGACCTCTCCCCAACAAGAAATTACCTATCCGTGATCGAAACTTTTACGAGCTATGAAAGAATTCTCAACAATTAACTATTTTACTGAATATCACACTCCACCTCAACCTATTGTTGAGGCTGCTGTCGATGCTGCTCGCGGAGGCCGGGTGGAGGACCTTGCCAGTCTGGTCAAAGACTATCCCAACCTTAAATACTCCATATTCGTGAACCGGGTAGCCATATCAGGAAAGGGAGGCATTTCTACATACCAAGTCCTGGTAGACAGTGGCTGCAATATCAACATTTCGTATGGCTACGGTGGTTCTCCTCTGATAAATGCCATCTACCATAAAAAATTCCCATTGGCTCGACACCTGCTGAGCTTAAGAGTAAACCCGAATATCAATAACTTAGGGATCTATTTGGCTCCATTGGGGGTTGCCGTCTCCTTTAGGCCTGAGTTTGTGGTTGACCTCCTTGATGCCGGAGTAGATATTTAAAATACGAGAGCACTCCATATTGTAGCAATCAAAGGTAATCTGGAAATTATGTAGCTACTATTGGACCGAGGAGCCGACGTCAATGAAGTGACTAAGTATCCATTTTACGCTATGGTTGGTTTCTATGGAGGATCCCCTCCTATGTATTGGGCTGTCCAAGGTGGCCATATGGAAGTAGTGACCCTGCTACTACAGTACCTGGTTTGTTTAGATATGGTGGATGAGAATGGATTGACACCCGCTGAGCGGGCTAATAAACGCGGGTTTGAAGCTGCTAAAGATGCTTTAAGGAGACATGAAAGCATCAAGCATGCAGTAACGCCTCCTAAATCAGGCAAATAACGTCCTAACTATCATTTATGTGATATCCCCTTATCAAATAATACCGCTTAATTTGGACTAAATCATGTACAAACTAGAACTGTGTAGTTCTCGAGAATCATTAATAATGAAATTGTCAGGAAACATCTATATTTAGTTTATGAATATTTAAGAAGTGAGTTATATGCCTCATCAACTCATATTGACAGTGATGATCTGCCCTTGTGATTTCAAGCAAGATATCACGCCATTTGTCTATCCGGAAATATTGAGAAATGATCGAGGTTTATGGGTTTGTTAGGGAGTAAACACATTGCCTTCATATATTTAAAAAATGGAGAACCTTCCGTAGAATATAGTGGCGATTTAATGAATAAGATCATGTCCGTTATGCAACAAGGGATATAGGAGTGGGAGAACGGCACCACACTCTTGCTGTTCGGATGATATATATCTTCTTTGCGGGATAACGGTAACTGAGGAGTAGATAAAAGGCTAAAATATAGAAATATTAAGAAAACTGGGCTTTACGTAATTAATCCAGATAACAATAATTTTATCAACAGATATTTGAAATGCTCAATAATATAGGAGATCCCAGCGACTTGAACATGTCAACTTCTAGTAGCCACTGAATTAAGACAAGGTATTAGTATAATAATCTGTTTAGTTATTTGTATTTCGGCTAGGCCAATATCAGTGTTTCTTCGCATTACGGTGCCTGCATCAGCCCAAAATGTGACGTAGTAAGTGGGTGGTTGGGGCAGATGGCGAGCAGTCTACCTTGCATTGGCTAGGATGGAAAGACCTGTTGACCATGCGAATTGAAGAAGTAATGAGGGGGAATTGGATAGGGCATGAATATATAGTCATCACATCGTAGACATCCATAGCATTGTTCGAATTGCTGTCCGCGGTGACATCAATTCTGAACACCACAAAAATCAACCCGTTGGTCTCCAAGAAAAGTGATACCAGTCATTGGTCACACTATTAAATCTGTCCGCAAGCCTGACAATAGATTTCAGTTAAAGACATAATGGGTGTCACCGATATAAATGGGTATAGAGTAGATCCGTCTACTACCTGACTTATTCTTCAGACAGCGAGTTAATTATTTTATAGCGTAGGCATGTACATGGATCTCATCAGCAGCGGTAAGACCATCGTCATGTACTTCTGGTCATTCTCAAATCCAGTATGCAACGAAAAAATACCAACATTCGAGAAACTGTTGGAGGCGAACCTTAACGCGGAATTTCTATAAAATCAACCTCGACGCTGAGAAGGCCATCGAGAAAGAGACTGGCGTCAGCGGAGGTCCATTTTTTGCTGTCTTTAGCAAGGAATAAAGGTTAGACATATCTCCTTCTGCCGACCCTGAAGAGGTTGAGACCATGATTCGAGACGCCATCAAGGAGACTGAGGCCTCCAAAGACGTCAAGAAGATGATGGAAGATACCCAAAATTAGCTGGTGTGGATAGAGAGAGCCACTGTAGCTAGTTTACACCAAAGAAACCGCATTGCATCCGTAACTAGGTATCTCCATCAAGGGATGTCCGTCTGAAATCTCTGAGTTTTTTTGCACTCAAGAAAACGTTGGAAAATATTAATGACTAAGAACGTTATGATGACATAATACGTTAATAAGCTAATCTAGCTTTCACGTGACTCACGCGACGCGCGATGATAGTTCAAAGTGAAGGAGAAAAGACGAACGAGAAGATCGATAACCATAAAATAGCGAGTCACGACGAGACCATCCAAGAGGAAGAAGAGGCAGCAAGGGAGGTCGCCATGGGGAAGCTGATCCGCCTCGAGCTCTTTAGTAAGTGTGGCCCAGTATTCCTCGAGCCTGGCGGTGTTTCTTTGCTAACTGCCCATCTACAGACTTCAAGTCCTACAAGGGCCACCACACACTTCTCTTTGGCGATGCGTATTTCACTTCAATTATCGGCCCCAATGGGTCGGGCAAGTCAAACTCGTAAGTCTAGTCCTAGTATAAGGGAACAAGACAAAGGAAAAACGAAAAACTGTAATTTGAAAGGTGGAAGTGGAATATGGCTGAACTGATCTATATAGTATGGACGCGATCTCGTTCGTCCTCGGAATCAAGTCGTCCCATTTACGGTCCACCCACCTTCGTGATCTTGTCTATCGTGGACGTGTTCTACGCACTGCAAAGATTAATGACGACGGCTCGGCCTCCAAGGATCCAGCAGCGGGGGAGTCTGGGGGGCAGAATGGAGAGGCTGCGGAGGAACAAGCAGAGAGAAATGATCCTAAGTCCGCTTGGGTCATGGCCGTTTATGAAGATGATGCCGGTGAGGAACAGCAGTGGAAACGCTCCATCACTAGTCAGGGTGTCAGTGAATACCGCATCAACAACCGCGTCGTCACAGCTCAACAGTACAATGATGCATTGGAGGCTGAAAATATATTAATCAAAGCACGCAACTTCCTCGTCTTCCAGGGCGACGTTGAGTCTATTGCTTCGCAGTCTCCCAAGGACCTTACAAGGTTGATTGAACAAATCTCCGGAAGTCTGGAGAGTAAGGCGGACTATGAGAGACTAAAGGCCGAGCAGGAAGAGGCCGCCGAGCACCTCAATTTTCAGCTCAACCGTCGGCGAGGAATCAACTCTGAGATTAAACAGTACCAGGAACAGAAACGGGAAGCTGAGACATATGCTCGCAAGGCTGAGGAACGTGACCAGGCCATCATCACTCACATCCTCTGGAAACTATTTCACTTCCAGCGCTTGATCGTAGAGTCAAGTGCAGAGATTCAGAAATACCAGGATGAGCTGAAAGAGTTCCGTCGGGGGGTTGAAAAGTACGAAAAGAACCTTGAGGATGCCAAGGTTGACCACGCCCGGGTCGGCAGAGATGTCTCAAGAGCGGAAAAAGGAATCAAATTGAAAGAAAAGGAAATCGAAGAAACTACAAACTCCCTCGTCCCTATCAATGAAAAGATTGAGATAACAGGCAAAAAGGTGGCAAAGTATGCCTCGCGGGTAGATGAAGTGTCCAAAGAAGCTCTCTCGCAGGCGAAGACAGTGAAGCAGCTTGAAAAGGATCTTAAAATTGTTGAGAAAGCCCAAAGCCAATGGGAGAACGAATGGAAGCAAACCATTGCCGTTAAAGGAATCCAATTAACTGATGCTGACCTTCAGGAGTATAGCAGGCTTAAGGAAGAAGTTAGCAAGCGATCATCCAGCACACAGTTGAAGTTGGATAATTTGAAGCGCCAGAGAAAGGCTGATGCGGAGGCCGTTAACAACATGAAAAGCAACCTTGAGAGCGTTGAATGGCAAGCAAAGAACTTGCAGACTGATATGGATCATATACTGGAACGCAAGGCTGCCATAGCTGCAACAATCAAATCTACAAGCAAAGAAATAGATGCTACCAAGAAAGAACTTAATAGTCTTACCTCGGAGCGTTTACGTGTTGCCCAGATGCGAACTGAGCTCGAAGAAAAGCTCCAGGTCACCTTGAAGAAGCTGCTGGAGGCAGACGATGGACGACAGCAAAGTGAAAAGGAGCATCGCACTAAAGAGATGATTGCCACTTTGAAACGCATCTTTCCGGGTGTCAAAGGCCGTGTGAGCGAGCTATGCCAGCCTAAGCAGAAGAAATATGCGGAGGCAGTGAGCACAGTGCTAGGACGCCATTTTGATGCAATTGTCGTCGATAACGAGAAGACCGCAAAGGAATGCATCCAGCATCTCCGTGATCAGCGTGCGGGTCAAGCTACATTTATCCCTCTTGAGACTATTCAGGTCAAGGCACTCAACTCTAATTTGAAGGGTATGCATCGTGCCATGCGCCCGGCAATTGAAACAGTCGACTTTGATAGTTCTGTCTCACGCGCCATTACGTATGCTTGTGGGAATTCAATTGTCTGCGACGATCTAGCAACTGCTAAATACCTGTGTTATGAGAAAGGTGTCGAGGCGAAGGCCGTGACACTGGATGGTACCGTTATCCACAAAGGAGGCTTGATGACTGGTGGTCGCGGTCCAGGACAGCGCAATGCCAAACGCTGGGAAGATACGGAAATCGCCAACCTCAACAAGCTAAAGGACAAGCTGATGGCGGATTTGGCTAATCTTCCCAAGGCGCATCGTAAAGGATCAGAAGAAGAGTCCCTTCAGGGCCAGCTCACCGGTTTAGAACAGCGCCTTGCATACTCCAGGGATGAACTGAGCGCTCTCGAAAAGAATCTAGAGAGCAAATCAAGTGAAGCTGATTTCGCCAAACGCCAGATAAAGAGCGTCCAACCTAAGTATCGCGAAAAGTCGGCTTTGCTCGAAAGCCTCGATCAGTCAATTGAAGAGATCCAAAGCTCTGTCACCGAGGTTGAAGACAAGGTCTACCGCGACTTCTGTAAGAGGCTGGGATACAAGAATATCCAGGAATATGACGCCCAACAGGGCTCTCTTCAGGAGGAGGCTGCTGAAAAGAAGCTACAGTTTACCACTCAAAAAACGAAGATTGAGAACCAGCTTAGCTTTGAAAAGCAGAGACTCCAGGCCACCGAAGTGCGCATTGACGGTCTCAAGACGCAGTCACAAAAGGACGAGGCAATGATTGCTGAGCTTGAAGCCGAACGTAGATCCATTCAAGAACGTCTAGATGAACTCAACGACGAATTGGCATCGTTGAACGAGACCCTCCAGGTTCAACAAAATCTATTCTCTGAATCATCTGAAAACCTCGCACAGCAACGGCGAGAGCTTCAGCGACGCAGCAAGAATGTGGAGGCTACCCTGAAGACTATCAGTGGGTTAGAAGCCGATGTGCAGCGTCATTCTTCCGGTCGATACACATTGATAAGGCGTTGCAAACTGGAAGATATCAACATACCTTTGACAGCGGATTCAGAACCACTTGATAAATTCCCCATCGACGAGCTAGTGCAGCCTGATCCTGATGCAATGGAGATTGATGAAGATTCAAATAATCCAGTTCCACAAAGCCACGTCGTACAAGACTTTGGTATAGAGGTTGATTTCTCATCGTTGGGTGATTCTTTGAAAGAGGTATGCACTATATTTTACCATAAAAAACCTGTAGCAGACTTAACTGACACTTTCAACTACAGGAATCTGATGATAAACTTGAAGAAGAGCTTCAAGAACGCGTGAGATCACTTAATAATGAATTGGATAAAATGGCGCCGAACATGCGTGCCATTGAACGTCTCGAAGGTGTTGAGAGTAAATTACGCACTATCGAAAAGGACTTCGAAGACTCCCGCAAACGCGCTAGAAAAGCCAAAGATGACTTTGAAGAAGTTATGCAGCGACGATCCGAGCTGTTCAACAAAGCGTTCACCCATATATCAGAACAGATAGAGCCGATCTATCGCGATCTCACTCGGACGGAGAGTTATCCAATGGGCGGAAAAGCGTGAGTCCAACTAACACTTACTACCTGAACACAAATTGCTAGACTGTAGGTGCTAACTTATGCATTAATTAGATACCTGGATATTGAAGACTCTGAGGAGCCTTACCTCGATGGCATAAAATACCATGCAATGCCACCCTTGAAGCGATTCCGTGACATGGAACACCTTTCTGGAGGAGAGAAAACGATGGCTGCGCTAGCCTTACTCTTCGCCATTCATTCTTACCAACCTTCTCCATTCTTCGTTCTGGACGAAGTAGATGCTGCCCTTGATAACGCTAATGTCTCCAGAATTGCTAATTACATTCGTGACCATGCCGCACCTGGAATGCAGTTTATCGTCATCAGTCTGAAGACTGGATTGTTCCAAGTTAGTGAGGCTCTTGTTGGTATTTACCGAGATCAGGCCGCGAATAGCAGCAAAGCATTGACGCTGGATGTAAGTTTGATCGTTCTCTTCCATTTTTCAAAGTTAATGTCTAACTATTCGTAGCTACGGAAATACCGGTGATTTCGAACTGCCAGTCTCCAAGACATTGATCAGCCTGCCAGCTCGGTTACTGTTCTAACGTTCGATCACAATTTATTTGCTCCTTGGTTTGCCCTATTAATTGACGCTTGTCATGTTTATTGTATATTTATGTCATCTGTAACCCCTCTTCCACGTTTATGCCCCCAATTAGATAGCGTTCAAATGTGTCCAAGAGTTTCACCTCCGGAGAATCCCAGAACACCGGCCACCATAATGATACACGTTTAACTCAGCTAAAGTACATTAAAAACCAACAGGTATGATACACAATAGATTAAGTAGTCTGAATCGCCACGAAGCAGTTTTATACTACATCCACAACCGCCTTTTGCAGCATATGGAACTCGGGAGAAAACGAGCCAAGGGCGTCCAGACGCAATGTACTCTTCTGCCCCTTGATGTTGACGTAAACAAAATGCTCCTGTGTAAATAAACGCCGGGCATTTGAAAAAGCCCTGAAAATGGCCAAACTCGTCTTCTGCACTGGCATCTTGAAAAAATGAGTATCATCCAGAGCCCGCTGGCGAGCAAATCGCTGCTGCGACTCCGACCAGCCAGCCTTAGTAAGCTCCACTTCACTCACAGTTACTTTCTGTGAAATAGAGAGCTCCGAGGGCGCAAGGGTAAGCTCGCGCTGTTTCATAAACGGAAGCATACGCCTGACCTTTATTGATAGTTGGGTTTTACCGTTGAGATTTACAGCGTTGATCTGGGATATCAAACCGAAGCCACGGCGGAAAAAGACGGTACCCATGATTGCCATGACGAAACAGATACCGCCAAAAAGCAGTTCTTGCCACCATTGGATTTTTAGTACCGGATCTATGGAGGAGGTATAGAAGTTATAACCAGCATACATGTAACAGAACGAAGCTGTTGTGTATGCACCGATGATATAAGATCGTTGTTTGGGGGCGCGGAACAGGCAGACGGGCCCCTTATGCTTAGAAACCTCCCATTCGAATCTGCGGAACTTGTTGGGCGCTCCCGACGACGGAGAAGGAGATTTTAAAGATAACTCTGGAGCTTTCACTTTTGATTTGACTGCATTTGTCCGAAGGGGAGGCGGTTGGCTTGTAGCATAGTACCGTGACTGCCGAGTTGCCTGTCTATACAACGATAATGGCGAACTGATACAAGGGTTTAGGGGCCGTATTTGCCGCGATAGGGCCAATTGAACTGTCATCGATCGGAAGAGCATGGCGAGGGCATCACTATTCGCTTGTATGTGGTCAGCGAGCAGTTTAATCAGTGGCTAACAATATTGTGCAGCATAATCATTACAACGAGTCCTAAAAGCCATTGGTAGATGTTTCTCACTTACCTCCAGAGAACCAGCTCTCCTTCGCTTCTGTCCTTCTCCTCCTCCTCTTTTGTGGATATTTTATTTCAATATTTGGTAATTGATGCAGTGATGACAGCGATAGAGATGTTGAAATCAGGTGTTTTTTGTTCTTTTTTTCGCAGCTCAACAACGCCAAGCCAAATCCATCCTTCCGAGGCACCAAAAGACGTCTCACGCTCAACAACTTCATTAACGACGAGAGCAGCGGCAGCAGGACAGCAACAGCAGTCTGGAATGAGGATTGCTTGCTAGATCAGCCCCAATCTATTCCTTCATAGCCGAGGATCCTGGCATACAGCCTCCCGTCAGCGGACCCGAGTCGCCGGTAAGCACGCGAAACTGTCATGGCAAATCTTTCGGCCCTCGCGAGACGGTTACCACTTCGCCAGACCAGCAATGGCTACTATTCTGTGAGATGTAAGTTATCGCTTTCTTGATTACGTAGCGGATGGCAGGCAGAAGACCGCCGGGAGGAGGTATGTAGGACACTGACTAACGGTCTACTACAGGCGTCCAAACCGCTGCTCAACAACCGAACTCATCCTATCCGCTTTATCCCTCCGTTGCGCAATTGCTCAAACAAAATAATATCCCATCAAACAATGTGTCTAAGATTACTGCTACGGGACCGAATGGTCGAATACTAAAAGGAGACGTGCTATCCTACCTAGGTACAATTGCAGCCAGCTACCCTGCCGACCTGGCCTCACAGCTTGCAAAGAACTCGCGACTAGACCTAAGCAATATCAATATAGCTGCTCCTCAGGCTCCATCGCCAGCTGCTTCGACACTCCAGGAGGAGCAGATACAGGTGGAGGAGGAGACTGCTGGGTCAAGATCAGAAGAGGCAGCAGGGTCTGTGTTTGAAACCAAAATTGCTGTCCCCGTGTCTTTCTCCAAACTCATCTCTGTTCGACGACGGATCCAGTCTTCTGTGGGAGTCGAGATACCACTGGCGACTTTCGTTTCTCGTGCAGCTGATATCGCGAATGAGAACCTACCAGTTAAGCCCAGCGAGAAGCAGCGGTCATCAGCCCTCTTTGATGAGATCCTAGGCCACAGGCCCTGTGCTTCTACACAGATGGCGTTCTCCCGAGGAGACTACCTCCCAGAGATTGTTTCCCCCTCTGAGTTCTATTCTAGCTCTGGAGAGAGCCAGCAAAGCCTGCGCAAATCCACGGACGATATCATTGACGTTCTGACCGGTCGGTCACCACCTTCAAAGAGAAATGTGACCAGGACAGCTGAGGCAGAGGAGGACAGGAACACAAGTATATTTAGCCTGACGATCCCTGAACACGAGGAGGCTCGTGCAATGGCCTTTTTGGAGAAGATGCAAGTTCTTCTAGAGGAAGAGCCAGCCCAGCTATTGGCTCTTTAGAGAAGCACAGTTCTGCTCTTGTTCTTTTGTTTTCTTCCCAACTTTGTATACTTCTCAATGTATTATCTATTTACTTCTAGTTTTTTACTCGCTTTTATGTCTAAAGATACAGTTTACCAGGAACGGGGTGTTTTTTTTTTTTTTTATGTCTCGTCCCTACCAATTTCAGTATAACTCTAGACTTGAGCACTCGATAAAACCTCAGCTAAAATTCCTGGCTCACCAGCAAAGAGAACATGACATCCATCAAAAGAAAACTAGACTGATATAGGTACGGTTGGAACTCGTCCAACCCTTAACCAAGATACGAGGTGCAGCATCAAGATGAGTGGGTCATGACCTCTATGCTTGTTTCCCATGTATATTCCGTATCCACTCAAGGTGACAGCAAGCAAGCCTAGACCTTGCTCCATCTTAGCACTAATTTGAATGTGAAATCACCCCTAATACATATTGTATTCGCACTATCAGGCCTCAGAAACCTATGAACTACTTGACCCTTCTGTTTCGCTAAATATACCACGGCTGACTCTCTTTATAATTGAGCTATCCATATTTATTACATTAGCTGCATGGATCATTTGTTAGTTGACTTAGGTGGAATTATCCCCTCTATCTGGAGTATGGAGTACATCTGGGGTAACCTAATCAATAATGGAATAGTTCCAGTGCACGAGTTACTTAAAGGAAAACTGGCTTCTCAAATGGGGTAGCCTAAATTTCCCTGGCCCAACCGACAAGTTAGGCTGAGAACTTGAATTTGGAGAAATAGTTTGTGGTGGTGGAACTGGATGCTGCTGTGCATAGTCTCGAGCAGTCGCAGACATTTGGACTTTTCGGTTTAGCCTCGCAGCATGCCCGCAGGGCAAAAGTTGCTGTTTCTCCAGTTCCGCGATAAGGGCAACAACGTACTTTTGACACTGCTGAGCAGGCACACGATTGGCAGCGGCTGTGATCTCCCTGCTGTGCTTCGGATCGACGCTGCCCAGATACTCGCGGGACTGGATGCCGGGGCTGTCGACTGGCTTGCCAGCTTGAATCATCACCGAATAAGGTTTATGGCGGGTCGGCCCGCCGGTGGAGTGATACCAAGTTGCAAGAGCCGCATTTCGCGAACACCCCATCAACATCTAGTGCGGATAAAGTGCATCCCGCTGTTTCCCGTAACAGACAAAGATGTCAATCGGAGGGGTAGGGTTGTAAGACATAGTAACGGACTTCGAGACGTACCGAATTTGCTACAGAGTGGCATATCTAGGCATCTATCTTCTTACTAGCTTTATATATCTTCGAAGTCGAGCATGAGGGGACCGAGGTTGGCAAGTTAACTATTCAGTTTAACTATCCAGTCAACTAATTTATAATGAAAAAAATGATTCAAATGATATTTCTTCTATATATTTCTTAGTTAGTCGTACATAGTAACTATCCAACTTATGCAGTAGGTAGAATATTGTCATGATTCTAGAGTGAAAGCCATAGTTATCTACTCATTAAATAAGCATATAGCTAGGTAATCTCATTGAATAATTATGCAGCTAGCTATATTCACTTTACTACTCTGAGAATATAAACAAGCAAGTTCTATTATATGATTTGCTTATTGTTTGCTTGTTACTTTTGTATTAGTTCACTAGTTAACTAGTAGTTAGTTAGGTTCTTGTCTCACCCTAAAATAAACAACTAACCAGGCAAACATCCTGGTTACGGACAGTTACTTAATACTCTCTGACAGCTACCTAAGCTACATTTTACTTACTTTCTTGCCAGGCAACATTTCATAACTATGACTTCTAACTATCCAGAACCGCTCGTTATCCAACCACGAGATTCCCACCAATGTACTATAATCCTCCTTCATGGTCGGGGATCCAATGCTGCTAAATTTGGCCCTATTCTCCTATCCTCTTCGATCTCCCACCTCGACCAGACCAGCACAGGTGCCGAACACACCCTTGTATCCGCCTTCCCTCATGCCAAATTTGTCTTTCCAACCGCATCTAGGCGTCGTGCCACTGCCTACAACCGGAGTATTATCAATCAGTGGTTTGATAACTGGCCACTGAGCACAGATACCCCTCCAGCAACCACTCCACAGGAGAAGCAACGTCGTGAATATCTCCCGGCAGATGGTTTAAGAGAGACGAGCCTATATCTTCACAAGTTATTGAGAGAGGAGATTTCCTTGCTTGGAGGTGATGCAAAACGCGTTATTCTTGGGGGCCTCAGTCAAGGCTGTGCTGCTTCTCTCGTGGCATTGCTTCTATGGGATGGGGACCCATTAGGTGCTGCGATTGGGATGTGTGGCTGGTTGCCATTCCGGCACCAGATGGAGGATTTTGCACATGGAGTGCATGCATCAGAGCCTGATGAAGATAATCCCTTTATCGAGCAAGCGGAAGATGAAGATGACATACCACCCCCTGTACAAGCCATGATCTCATTGGCGGAGGTGCTTGAGAGGAGCTTGCCAGAGAAGCCGCCTCGTAAGCTGCCGTTTCAACATATTCCTTTATTCCTTGCTCACGGAACTGAGGATGAAAAAGTACCCGTTGGCTATGGGAGGGAGGCAAGGAGATGTCTCAGCGAGATGGGAGTGGACGTTACTTGGGAGGAATACGCTGGCCTGGGGCATTGGTACTCAGGAGATATGCTTGGAGATTTAGTTGCCTTCCTGAAAAAGTATGAGCCAGACTTTGAATGATTCTACCATAGCAGTCAGCAAGTACAGTTCTTCAAGGCACTCTACAAAAGGAGTGCATGAGGATGTTTTCAATCGATGCGTATGAAGGCAGGATAAAGATGAAGTTATGTTATACTTTCAAGGTTCAACTTTAAATAATTATAGTTACTAGATTTACTCCTTAACGAGTTAGTTACAGAACAAGGGCGATAAAATTAGCACCAGAGGAGGTTGGCAGAGATTGCGTATATAAGTATGAATATATTCCAGAATAATACTCCGTACACGTAGTTATATAAAAAGTAGAAGATATCCATCTTAATCTATCTTCTACGACTTTCTCCTAAGCGAGTGTGCGTCACGTGGATTAAGCGAACTAATAACCCACTTAGTTATATCTATATTTGTTCTTCTTTACTATAACTCCTAAGAAGTACCGGAGGTACCTAACCACCTATCGGCGTTATTTACCAGCTCGGCCAGCAGGCTAAATTCCACTTCTGCAGCTTACCCAGCAAGTGAAACGTTAAAATACCAAAGTTAGATACCCGGGACCTACCGGTTACCAGCCAACTACATACAACATGGATAATCGAAACCTTTGGATTGAATTCGCGTCTCATCCCGGCGTTGTACAGGGAGGATTACGCGCAGCAAGCAACCTAACCCGACGCCAACTCTTCAACATTCTCAACATTGCATTCCGACCAAGCGGTGGATTTGACATATCTCGACGCGGCTCAACGACTCCTTTGCCTGTGACAGACGACCTTATTGAGCCTGGGCATTACATTTTATCTTCAACTATACCAGGCGAGGATGTTACCCCCAGTGATGAGCAATACTACCGGCGGACGCTTTCACTTTCCGATACAGGTAGAGATGAGACTTTCCGACACGACGTTAGGCAGCGAGACGGCCGCTGTGTTATCACTGGTCGGGTGAATCATAATGCTGGCGTGGGTCTGTGGCGCGGGTTCGAGGCTGCCCATGTATTTCCGCTAGCTTTATCGATGATATTCTCAAGCTGCGCGTTTTCGAACGGTATCACGGATAGTAGGGGAATTAACTCCCCTAACAACGGGCTTCTGCTCCGGTCAGATATTCATCAGATGTGGGATGGGTATGAGTTTGCTATCAATCCCGACGACGACTATCGCGTTTACAGCTTTTCTGCAAACACGACCGAGTACCATGGAACTGTTCTCAATGATGTCTGTCGCCAGCCAGAAGACGCTCACAGAGTATATGATGTTTTATTACGTTGGCATTTTGAGCAGGCGGTGCTTGGCAACGTTCGTGGTGCGGGTGAGCTAGGGTTTAACTTTGATTTCCCCCCTGGGACAGACATGATGGGAGAGATACGTGAGGGACCTTTTGCTACGGAGAGAATGGAAGCAGAGCTTTTTGGACGACTGTATGGTTATCATCAGAGCGAAGCCGTTTGATATTACTGAGCAGTTTGACACGACACTCCTGCTTCACTCCATCGTGCCGTTTGTTCCATGGCGAACTTGAAAGTGTTGCTCATTATCCAGGCAATTTTACCTTCTTATGGCTAGGGGTCTCAAATTTGACCTAGGGTTCTTCAACTGGAAAGCGTTCCTGAGATCACCAATGATCACCATACCCAATGATTTTCTGCGTTTATCGATGGTTTCCAGTTGACTGTCCAGATGATCAAATCTTAAAGGCATATTATTGTTGTGAACTATGCTCTTCTGGCGCCCTTGGCCTTTTCTCCTAGCTAAATACCCTCCCAGAGATCCCAAACAAAATAAGACATAAAAAGACACAGGTAGCAATGACCTGGCTACCAAACGCCCTCCATAAAACACCATACAGTTAGACAATTCCCCCCGCCCCGCCTCTTTTTTTAAACCCATGCTGAAAAGAGTACAGAACACCGTTCCTAAAGTGCAATGCTGATGAGAGAGAAGAAAAATTGCTGAACGTTGTTCCCATGCTAGATCGTCACGTGTGGCTCATTAAATGCGCAAAAGAAAAGGGCTGAAGACCAGGTATGCTCGGTTGTAAGAAAAGAAACAGTTAATAAAGAATCTGGGTCCAAGTGGTATACTTCCGAGTATCGCGGTGTACTTCTACCGTATTGTCGTGTAGCTAGCCAGTTTGCTCTCACGGTCCTGTTGTTTAAGGCCCTTCTTATTGAATATCTTCCAAAACCGCAGAGTCTCGTCGCCAGCACCAGTTACAACTGTCTGACCATCGGGACTCATAGCGAGATAGAGGACTCGGAAAGTGTGGCCAGTTAGCGAGACGACCTGTTCCATTCGTGGGTATTTCCAAACAACGATCTGATTCTGGCTGTACCCATGAGTGCTGACAATCTCATCTGAATTCTTAGACCATGCCAAATTGCAAACCTGGCTTCCAGTATCGACTTCTTTTATCAGGGAGCCTGTTGACGTGTTCCAGAACTTTATTGTGCGATCCGCTGTACCTCCTCCGGAGGCTAAGAGTGAGTGCTGATGAGGAGACCATGCGATGGCCTTGACGGCAGCAGTATGGTCTGTAAATCGGTATAAGGGTGCTTCGTTTAGTTTATCCCAAACGATTAGTTTATTGTCATTCCCTCCAGATGCTAGTTGACCGTCATCTGTGTTCCACTTGAGGCCACAAACCTCTTGTTTGTGCCCTGCAAGTCGGCGGAGATATTGGTCGGGAGAACGAACATCTCGGTGAAATATTAGGCGATCACGGGACCCAGACGTGAGAATATGGTCATTCCAAGCTAGCGCTCCAACACGGAGAGTATGTCCTGTCATTGTCCGTAATCGGCCACAATGCTCTGCATCCCAAATCTGTACGAGACCTTTGCCCGTCCCGATGGCAAGGTGAGTTCCCTTTTTGAGATGTTAAAAAAAAATGTATATTTAACAAGGATGTAAAGAAAGGAAGCTTACCCGTTGGATCCAATTGACACTGGTCACTGTATCGTCATCTAGTTGACAAAGTTTTGTAACATGACCATTGATAGAATCCCACATGTAGACAGCGGATCCTAGTCCAACTCCCAATATATTACTGCTACCCCAGTCTACGAGGTTTAGGTAGAAGTCGTCTGTGAGATCAGGAGCATCGAGGACCTTAAAGGGCACCTTGTTCACATATCTGGGCTGTTTTCGGAGACTCTGGAGGATTTGTTGGCTGTCAAATCGGATGGGAGAAAGGCTGTACAACTCGGAGCGGGCGTCGAAATTAGGGCCATGCTGGCTTCGGGGTGTTCGAGAAGGGGTAGGGTTTCCGGACGCATTTCTGGGAGACGTGTAGGAGAGCAGATTCTTGCTAGGGGTTGAAGGCGTGATGCTAGCCGGGGGCAGGGACATAGCAAGTTTATGTGATTGAGGGGTATTAGAGGCGAAATCCCGAGAAGCACTCGAGCGTCCGGGTAGTGGGTTAGGGGAGAGGGAATGTATATCAGGTTGGGGGATTGTAGAGCCAAAGAACTCATTACGCAGCACTCTGGAGTATGTTCGGTTGGCTTCCTCCGCTAGACACGCGCACAAAGGTAAGCTGGGGTGTTATTTCATAACAAAGCAGACGCGTTAACACTTACTTTTTTGTGAATGGATTTCGCCGTGCGTTGACTTTTTCTTTGTCTTTGAAGGTGTTGATGGACATCCATCTTCATGAAGCAGGCTGAACCCAGCCTGCAGGTCTTGTCCTTCACGATTAGGAATAAATCTGTATGCATTCGCGTTAGTAATTCAGGATTTAGAGATAAACAATAGAATGATTCAAGTAAACAAGGGTTTCACAGTAAGACAAAGCATGGAGAAACATAAACAATTGCTAATTGGAGACATACCTGTCACCATAAACCCTTTGTCGTTTCCGGCTTGGGCTACTGCCCGGAGTACTCTCACGCTGGCGGCCGGCATCTTCAAAGTCCTGCAGCGCTCGAGCCAAGGCATCAGGATTGACTGGTTCAGAGCCGGTCCGGGAGCGCTGTCTGGTAGATCGAGCTGTGCTGTGTGCCGACTTGGACTTGATCCCATGGCTTGGGGGCGGCGAGTTGGACGCTGGCGGGGAGATGGGCTTCCTGTCCATGCCGGCGTCAAGGGTATCTGCTTTGGCCATCCGAGCAGCAGATGCGCGAGTGCGGCCTAGCTTAGGCCCCGTCTCCGCCATTCCGTTCCTCTCACGGCGCAACAACTACTTCCCTGGGAGGGGGGAGCTCTTCTTCCGGACGATAAACACAGGCAATAACGACGACGACGACTGACCGTGCGGAGCAGGCGTTGAGGCATTAAACAAGCGACGGTCGGCACAGCGAACAGGCGATTTTATTACGAAGCTGGGAGAGTCGAATGAATGCGACGGAAGCGCAACAGGCGAGTCCTCCGTGGATACGGGTGCCGTTCGGCTGGCGACCAGATAACAAACTAGGCGCTGCGTGGTGGACTGGTCGCGACGGGGAAAACGAACATCGAAAAGGGGGCTGGGGACCTCTGTGTACGACCGTGCGGCTGGTCGATTCCTCGAGTTACCGGCAGACGCAAGACCCAGGGGCCGCCCTTCACTGGCGCCAGCGAGCTTTGGGGAGCGGGAGGTGAGAGAGCCGTTGCGTTCCCGGCGTTGTTGTTATTTTATTTATTTATTTTGCTTTCTTTCTTTTCTTCCTCGCTGGTCAAAGCGAACTTTCAGACATCAAAACAAGCTTCTCGTCCCAAAGGGGAAACCCCTGCCTAAAGGGGAAATGGATAAACAAAAACCCGCGACAGTCGCGCGCAAGTGACGCTAATCCTATCTAGGTAATAAAGAAGTCACGTGCGATACCCCGGATGTGTCATCCTCTTAGTCAGCTAAAGCCTTAGTCAGCCGAGGATAGACGAGAAAAGCTTATTACGTAACAGGGCCGAAACCCAACCTCAAGGATAAACACGCCTTAGTAAGGACTGGCCGTCCAATACCCCGTTATATAAACCAGACAGCGACGCCGTGCTTGTTGCATCTTCTTCCTCTTTCTTCTCCCCTTTTTTCTGGACTGGCATTGGATATCTGGATGTCCCTTGCTCCGCTGGACACTGGTGTTGCTGCTCGTTGCGTCCGTCTGTCTCTGCTTCGTCTACCAGTGACCTCATCTACCAGATCTCGTCGGATTGTTACTCTGCGTCCCCCGTCTTTACGGACCCTAGCCACGATGATCACCACCGACGAAAAGGCGCGGGCACAGGACTTTTTGTCCTTTGTCAACGCTTCTCCCACCCGTAAGACGTGGTCCAATCCCTGATTTTCCCGTTGGAACATGCTGACAATCTGAACAAAGCATTCCATGCCGTCGCTTCTGCTACTAAACGCTTTACCGATGCTGGATTCAAGGAGATCAAGGTGGATCTCCCCCTCATTCCCTTCTGGATAGTATTGCCAATGCATGCAACTCCCTGTCTGACACTGCTGTTACTAGGAGAAAGATTGCTGGTCAGAAGTCTGCAAGCCAGGGGGCAAGTACTATGTTACCCGCAATGGCTCGACTATCATTGCATTTGCTGTCGGTAACAAGTGGAAGGTCAGTTTCCTCATTACCACCATAGGAACAAGATAAAAAGGACAAAAAATTTGTTATATCTACTAAAAGAACAAAAGAATGCGCTAACACCTACTCAAGCCTGGCAACTCTATTGCAATGATTGGTGCCCACACCGATTCCCCATGTTTGAGAATCAAGCCAGTTTCCAAGCGAACCAATGAAGGCTTCCTCCAAATAGCTGTAGAACCCTATGGTGGTGGCATATGGCACACCTGTAGGCATTAGTCTCCGACTTAAACAGCAGCTTTAGTAGTGCATTTTACTAACAGGTTGATAGGGTTCGACCGTGATCTCGGCATTGCAGGCCGTGTGATGGTCAGGCAACAGGATGGCACCATTGCATCTAAGCTGGTCCACGTTGACAAGCCCAGTATGTGGAAATGCCTAAATTGTACGCATCCTGACTTCTACTAATGTTTGGTATAGTCCTCCGTATTCCAACTCTGGCTATTCATCTTGACCGTACAGAGACCTTTGCCTTTAACAAGGAAACCCAGCTTGTTCCAATTTGCGGAATGGTAGCTGCGGAACTCTCCAAGACAAGCGAGGACTCTAAACGGGAAGAATCTGGTGATTCCGTCTCTCCATTCAAAAAGATTACGGAACGTCACCACCCTTGCCTGGTTGAACTCTTGTCTTCCGAACTCTCTGCCAAGCCAGAGGATATCATCGACTTCGAAATGCTTCTCTATGATACCCACAAATCATGCCTCGGTGGCATGATGGACCAGTTCATCTTCTCTCCTAGACTCGACAACCTCAACTCCTCTTTCTGCGCGACCGTTGCCTTGATTGAGTCCCTTGCCAAGCCATCTGCTTTGGAGAATGAGTCTGCTATCCGTCTGGTTGCTCTGTTTGATCACGAAGAAATTGGCAGCAGAACCGCCCAGGGCGCCG